ACTCAGAAAGACAGAGTAACATGAATAAATAAATAACCAAATAAATAAATAAACATTGCACGACCAAGCGAAACGGATGACAAGTCTAGAAATAAGCAAGTGCAGCTTCAGACTTGAGGTGAGAAATTGACAAGTTTACCCTTTGGTAAATGCATTTCCTGCTGACTTGCTCTCGGAGTGACACTCGCAATGGATATCGCACCACAAAGCAGTCCGTGTCTCATTTGTTCGGCTAAAGGATGTGAGAGGCAGTGAAGTGGGAGGAAGGAATGTTTCTTACTGTAGCGAGCAGCCAACACTTGGAAACGAAACCCCAGAAGATTGTCCCGAGGAGGAGAAGGTAGGAGCGAGAGAATCACCAAAGGGATCTTTTAAGACCGGGAGGGTAATAGTTAGAGCTCTTGCCTTGCAAGCAAGAGGAGCTGGGTTCAGTTCCCAAGCAAGGAGAAACCTTAGGCAAGTTTCCTTACTCCACACACCTGTTTACTTAGCAGCAAGTAGGAACCTGGTTATTAGTCGATTGGTGGATCACTTTTCTGGGGGTAATAATCCCTCCAAAAAAAAAAAAATCTGGTCACTCAATCCACGACTGTTTGTGGGACACTGCTGTGCGCAATTGGCTGCCGCGTTTCACTCACAAAATATATACAGTCAATTCACTTCATAGTATATTCTCTGAAGCGCTTTGAGATGTCTCGAAGACGTGATAAGGCGCTGTATCAAATGCAAGGATTTTTATTATAATATATTAAATCCTAAAGCTGAGAGCAGGATTATACCTGGGACAGTCTCGCTTGAGACGACAAGGTGATAAATGCATATATTTCAGTAATTTGCATTCATTTTCAAATTTATCAAACCATTTTCTCTTTATTATTGTGCCTGTCCCTTTGGGCACATTCTTGCGATAGGAATAAAATTCCCGGTGGTTTTAAGTAATTTCAGTGCCAGAGAAAACGCTGGGGAAGAAAATTAATATGATCGCATAGAGATGTACTTATGCAGTGTTATATGGTACAGCGCGGGGGGGGGGGGGGGCGGGGCAAGAAAGCAATGGGTTGTCAGTCTTTCGGATGAGACGTGAAACCAAGAACATGAGGAAAATAGATACCGGGGATTATCCTTTGTACACCCCAGTACTTCACACAATACTGTGAACTTTGTGGGCGAAATGCAGCAACCAATTGCGCACAGCAGTGTCCCACAGACAGTCGCAGACTGAGCGACCAAATACAGCGATCCGCCTATCGACTAACAACCGAGCTCCGACTTATTACTGGGTTAACAGAGGCGCGCGGAGTAAGGAAACTTGCCTAAGATTTCGAACCTGTGTCCTCTCGCTTGCGAGGCGAGAGCAATGACCACTACGCTACGGGACCCGATAACCACAGAAGAAAAACGCCACCCACATATTTGCTCGTCCCTTTGTTTCGATGCAGATTGAATGACCTTTTACTGTTTCTTGTTTCAACTCAACACGCGGCGCTCTCCCTCCCAGAGCAAACAGTGCCTCGGTCCGATAAATTACCCCCGGAGAAAGAAAGCATTCGCAGACCAGCAACATAATGAGATTTCTGCTGGGGCTTCGTAAGGAACAGACAGGCGTGTTTTATAGTCCCGGGAGGTCGACAGCAAAGCTTGCAGGGATCAGAAATTCATCAGGTTATCTGAACCAAGTCTGGGCTCCGGGAAAATAACAGCGCATAAAAAGTAATAGACGAGCGATTAAAGAGGAAAGGACACGGGAAATTACATCAGGAACGATGCGTTGTGAAGCTCAGAATGTCAAATATTTAACGCTTATTACAAGATTTTGCATGGCCCTTGGCCCAGTTGGCATTCTGCCAGCACAGATGGCAGCCACCGCTATCAAACGGAGATTTAGTGGCAAAATGTCACCATTGTGCGTGTTAATCCCCCCCACCTCAGGTGGAATACAGAATCTACAAACAGCCGCGATTCACTAATAATGATTAAGAGGTGCTCTTCCAATGTGCCTTCAGCCACTGCGCCCCGAAAGTCTGGAAGTCTTCCCCCAATCCCTCTGCCTTTATCCCCCTCTCTGACTCCCCACTTTCATAGACCTTCCTTTTTGATCGTGCTCACAGTCACCTCCCTCTCTCCCCCCCACCCACCCCTGCCCGTCCCCGGCTCGGTGTCAGGCTCCACCGCTGTCGAGCTCTCTGGGACTCTTCCCTGCGTGAATCTGGCGGGCGCTGTCCTTTAGGTGAGATGTTAAACCGAGCTCCCGTCTGTGACCTGTTCAGGTGGACGTCAGAGATCCCACGGCCCTATTCAAAATAAAAAAAAGGAGTTTCTGCCTCCTGAGATCCTGGCTGACAATCCCACCCCCTCCCGATTAAATTGTTCACTCACTAACTGGTTCAGACAGCCCACATGCACATCGCACAGGGAATGCTCCCCTTTTTTCCTGTGAGGTTCTTTGATTCAATGCCCCTGTGTGTGACCAGCTAACCCAGAAACAAGCTCACGATCGGCCTCCCAAGTGGCTCTGCCTGGTTCCTCAAAGCTGTGATGTAAAGCTTTTGCTCCTAATATTAATTGTACCCCTCGCATTTGATACAGCGTCTTGGAGTTGTCTCAAAGCGCTTCGCAGGATACACTGCAAAATGTAGTGACTGTGTATTTGTAGGCAAAACTTGAAAGATAAATGCCCACAGCACTCGAGGACTGAGTGACTACTTTTTTTATTTTTTTTAATCAATCTATTTTTTGGAGGGATTATTACCCCCAGAAAGCGATCCACCAATCGACTAACACCCTGCTTCCTGCTGACCACGAGGTAAACAGAAGTGTGTGGAGTAAGGAAAATTTGCCTGAGGTTTCGCTTCGGATGGGAATCGAACCCGGGTCCTCTGGCTTGCGAGGCGAGCGCACTAACCGCTAGGCTACGGGACTTTTCATTCCATTCCACAGACGCCCGGCAGCGCAGCACAGAGTCAGGCTTGTCCACAAGATGAATGGGTTGAGGCAGAGAAAACCCTGCTCCTTCACTCCGGTCTCGTTTGTGACCCTCACACAGCAGCTGGCGACACTCCAGGCTCCACCAACATCACACGCTGCCTCTGCCCATTAATCTGCATCAAGTTTACCGCATTGCCTTAGATAGAACTTTGAGATTCCCCAGTGATAGCACCGTGTGACTGAACGCCCTTGAAAGAGCTATTCAAAGAGTTGCTCTGGAGCATCGGTGAGGAGAGCACACATTTGTCTGACCTCCTGTCAGGTGCCCAGGAGCTCGACAAAATGGAGATTTATTCGTGCGTTTGTTAAAAAATGCAGAACAGCGGATTTCACTTCTGCTTTATTCTCGTTCAGCAGAAAACGGGCAGTGCTGCGCTTAACAACAACCCACGAGACCACACTTGTTCACACAACAATAATAATACTTTGATAAAGCTCCTTATCGTGTTGACTGAGACGTCTCAAAGCGCTGCACAGAATATACTGTCAAGTGGATTGACTGTATTTTGTGGGCGAAACACGGCAGCCAATTGCACAAAGCAGCGTCCCACAAACCAAACTATTATTTTTTTTTGGAAGGATTATTACCTCCAGAACATGATCTGCCACTCGACTAACAACCGGGTTAGATATTCAGAGGCGTGTGGAGTAAGGAAACTTGTCCATGGTTTCTCCCTGCCCTGTACCTTAACTGGGGGTTGGGATCAGGAGAGGTGGAGGGGTGGGGTAGAAGTGTGACCGGAGGTGTGGTCAAAGAGGAGGGTCTCAAGATTGGTCTTGAAGGAGGCGAGGTAACCTGCTGAGATAGTTGGGCTGCGCGACTCTACAACTACCTGGCACCTGGCCTCTCCTCCATGAACAGAAACGCATTAAAAAGCTATTAGGAGATTCTACAGAAATCACAGGAAGAGGCAGCCATGTTACAGGTAATTAACCCCCCTGGGTCTGAGCCTCAGCTACAGGCTGAATCAGGGCTACAGGGCGCAGAGGGTTGAACAAAGATCAATCCAGTAATACTCCCACTCACTGGCTCTCTACGCTTCCCACATTTAAAACGCTCTGCCCACACAGCCCCGTTGCAGCCTCACATCTGAAACAGTGTCTGCCCGTTCGATGGGAGGAATTTACTAGTTAATTGTGATTAATTACAGCATCGTCGCTCGGGCGTAATGACTGCAGATGGACTGAGCTGTAAAGGCACCAGCCTTTCTTAAGAGGGTTTGGTGCAGAAGAGAAACAAATAACTACTCTTGAAGCTTAAAGATGAACAGCACGACAGCCAAGTCATTGATAGAATCGAGGCTGAGTAAAGACTTCAAGGTGATATTTGCCATCATTAGAATCCTGCAGCAACAGGGGGGCAAATTGGATTCCCATATAGCGTAGTGGCTAGTGTGTTCGCCTCGAAAGTGAGAGGACCCGAGTTCGATTCCCGGGCAGGGCGAAATCTTCGCCACCCAGTGTAAGGACAAGTTTCCTTACTTCTCATGTCACTGTTTGCCTCGCAGTAAGTAGGAAACCTCCTGTTAATCGATTGGTGGATCACTTTCCGGGGATAAATTATTCTTTATGGTAAATCCTGTCTGGCACCACCATGTCCCACCCACACAGAGACTCACTATGATCAGCACACAGCGGCAGAGAGAGAAAGCGCTGAGACAGTCAAGCTAGCGAAGCCAGTCAGGGCAAGCGACCCCTCCTCCCCACCCCTACACTCCCCAAACCCCCCAGTAACACAGAAGCCGAGTAACACCCCAGTCTGTACTACGTACCCCCGCTCAGTGCCAATATCGCGTTTCGCCCATAAAATATGGTCACTACACTACACAGCATATTCTGTGAAGCAGTTTGAAACGTCGAGAAGACGTGATAAGCCGCTATATCAAATGCAAACATTATTATTAATATCGGATTCCCAGCAATCTCTCCGCACTGGCAAATTTTCAGACCGTCTGACCTTCCCCTGGAACACACTGACCGCAGACGGTTGGAGAACCAATCAATAACGCCCCATATCATCTCTAGCCACCATATCATTTACTCTACTACAATCCCATTGATCACATTGCCAGACTCCCTCCCATACACACACCTGCAATGTTACTGCAAAATACATTCATCCTCCGTTCCCTCAGCATCTGTCTTGACACCGGTTCGGTCACATTTCACTTGATATAAAATGTTAAAGTTCAGGTTAATTTTCAGGGTGAGGGTGGGGGGGGGAGAGCAGGGAGTGGGGTCAGCATAGAGAGCTCCAGTGGGGGAGTGAGCACCAGCAAAGAACAATGTCCAGCCTTGTATACTGTATTGAACCATTTAAATTGATGGAAATTTTACAACGAGAATCTTTATCCAAAATCTATAAACTAATTGGCAAACTTTCGCGAGTTTCCAACAAGTTTATAGACCTTAAAAGTCCTGATATTTCTTAATGTTATATTTAGACAAAAGGCCCGTAATTCCTGTGAAGGGCACCGTATAAAATACAAGTGGTTGTTGACCATCCAAACTGTAAAATGAAACCTTACGGTGAATTTACAACACTAAATATGAACCTATTTAGGCAATTCCAAATTAAGAATCTATATCGAGGCTTAAACCTCCTTTACACCAAAGATGTTAAACAGAAAGTTTTAACGCAAATCAGCAAAAATTGTTTAACCCCTAAATTACCCATTTCCACCACTGGAGGGCGATATTCGTGCAAATGCCTCATGTTGCATCCAATTGCAGTACTGCAGGATGGCCACTGGGTGGCAGTGGTGCTCCATTTAAATAGAATTTAGACGATTTGAGGGCTGATTCTGTTCAAGTTTTTCTTCTCTTTCAGTCTCTCTCTCTCTCTCACTTCAAATCTTTCTCCTTCAGTCTCTCTCTCTCTCTCACTTCAAATCTTTCTCCTTCAGTCTCTCTCTCTCTCTCTCTCTCGCATCTTTCTACGCTCCAGAAGTTTGGTAACGTTGTGTGGAGATGATCCAGGGATGTCTGACATGTGGGTCGACCTGTGGCTTCACACTGGAGGTTGAGATTATAAATTGTTAGTAACAGAGGCGGAGGGTTGAGAGGGGAAGGGAAGGGCGTTGATGCGAGTGGATTAATGTGATGAGCTCACGGTTTGGGTAGAGGGTAAAATTCAGCAATGCAGATTGTAGCAAACAGAACATTGAGGTTATAAACTGTAGATAGATGGTGTGAGATTAGATTTGTTACCCGTTACAATACAATAAAACTCACATAGGTCTGATTTGTATAAGTCGTACATCTAACCAAGTCCTGTTGAATTTCCTATTAAAGCCACTTAAATTCAAGAAGGGAGTCTCTCTCTCTCTCTCTCTCTCAGTGTCCTGGCCGAGATAAAACTGTTCGCTTCCCGGCTGTTTGCTGTTCTGCACTGTTAAACACACAGTCACTACACTTTGCGTGAGATCCTGTGAAGCAGGGTGAGAGACGCAGGGTTAGAGGTGAGATTGTTCTTTACACAGTGAATCTCAGAATTAATTGTAAGAATTTTTAATCTAACGTTAGAGGCACAAAAAGTCATTCTACTCAGTCTCTCCTTCTCAGTGTCTCCCTCTCATCCTCTCCGCCATCTTGTTCCATCTCTTTTTCCTCCGCACCATCCTCTTCCTCATCAGAATTCTCCTCTTCCAGATAGCGATATCCCTTGGTCTTGTGTCTGGGTTTGGGAATCCTTGGAATTCTGTACGGCACTTGTCGTTTAATTTTACGTTCCATCCATCCAAAGGACAGCAGGGAAATCACCAGGCAGATGAGAAGGATAGAAAGTTTCACCTGGAGAAGAGATAGAGAGAGCGACAGAGAGAGAGAGAGACACAGAGAGCGATACAACAACAATAAGATTACATTTATATAGCGCCTTTCACATCGCGAGGACGTCCCAAGGCGCTGGTCAGTGACAGCATCTCAGACCCGAGCAGGGGTCAGGGGGAGAAGGGAGGGGAGGGGAAGCGGGGGGTGGCTGATGGCGTGGTCGAAAAGGAGGGTCTTGAGACCGGACTTGAAGGAGGCTAAGGAGGAGGCGAGGCGGAGTGACTGGGGGATGGAATTCCAGAGGTTGGGGGCAGAGTGGCTGAAGACTTTCCCGCCAATGGTGGGGCGGGTGGGTCGGGGGACTTGGACCAAGCCAGACCCGGCTGAGAGGGAGGGAACGGGTGGGTTGATCGGGGGTTAGGAGGTCACAGAGATGGAGAGATTTTTCTGGTTCTTACCTGCATTTGAAGGTTAGACAACAAATAGTAGCCAAATATGGCCATCGACTGACACCAGTGATAAACCGCGAATATAAAATCCTGTCTCCCTTTATCACTGTACAGTATCCCCAGCAACGCTACGAACAGAGAGAGAGAAAAAAATGCGTGTGAGAGACAGAGCGAGAGAAATGGATAGACTGAGTGTGAGAGCGAGCGGGAGAGAGAGAGAGAAACATAGATAGTGTGTGTGAGAGAGGGATAGTGAGAGAGAAAGAGTGGGAGGGAGGGACAGATGGATGACGTGTGTGTGCGAGAGAGAGAGAGCGTGTGCAAGTGAACGGGATGGAGGGAGAGAGGAATAGCATTCAGGAGGATGGGATGATGTGAATGTGAGAAAAAAGGATAGCGCGAGTGTGAGACAGCGAGCGAGCCTCACCGCTGAGCCCTGACTTGTTGAAGGCAGTCCCGAGCCCCCACAGGCCTGCTATGATGTGCAGAGTCACCATGTTGCCTGTGGTGGGCTTTCGGGGTGCGGGGGCCCAAACCATCAATGTGAGCAGCAGAGTCAGGTGCAGGACACCCCCAGCCACCAGGATTCCACGCCGGGGCAGAGAGAGCGACAGCAACGACCACAGGGACCACGACAAACCATAAACCATAATCAGCGATGACAGGCGCTCCAAACCCAGTGAGCACACACCGTAAGACTGGGTGGGGGGGAGAGAGAGAGAAACACGGGCTTACATGGCTGTAATCAAGGGCTAACGTGGCTGTAACACGGGCTAACACTGGCTACCAAGGCTTTAACACAGGCTAACATGGAGTAACACCAGCTAACAAGGCTTTAACACGGGCTAACAATAGTTTAACATGGGCTAACGTGACTTTAACACGGGGTTGACACAGATTAGCATGGGATAACAGTTTAAAAGGGGGCTAACGCACGGACTAAAATTATCTCACGTGGGCTAGCAAAGGGTGAACACGGAGCAACACAGAGACACGCAAAGCGGACCTTCACCAGCACGGGAACGGATACGGGTCAGAGTCACAGAACGACGTGCAAGAGGAGGGAGCACAGCAACACTGGGGAGCACACTCCAAGCCAAGCCACTGAGGCGTTCTCTCACCAGCGCAAACCCCGTGCAGGCGAACACCATCTCCAAACCACTGAACACAAAAAACGGGATGAGGAGGCGCAGACGGAAATCACGGAGGTGTTTGAACGGCAGCTGGAAAATATTCCCCCAACCGATACTCCGCAAATCGATCTCTTCCGTGGGGCGGTACGCAGCCCCACAGAGCATGAGCACCTGAGAGAGGGGGAGAGAGGAGAGTACTTTTGTTCAGTCGATTGCAGAAAAACCCATCAGCTCCTTCTGTGCTGTAAGATTCTGCGATGAGGGGGAGAGAGACACAGAGAGAGAGAGGGAGAGACAGAGAGAGAGGGGGAGACACACAGAGAGGGGGAGACACACACACACAGGGAGGGAGAGACACACACACACACACAGAGGGAGAGAGACACAGAGAGAGAAAAAGATGGCTTAGACACGGCATAGAGCTCCACTTACATCCCCCCCTGACAGTGTGTCTCTATCCCGCTCTCAGTCTCTACTCCCCCACCCCAGCCTTAGACCCAGTTTAAACAGAATAAATTTACCAGCAACATCGAGAGAAATGCTACTCCCATCATCACACTTTCAACGATAATCAGACTGGTACTTCTCGGTAGTTTTATCAATACCGTTTTATTCAGTCCTTCCAAACAGCCTTTCATCTGTGGACCTGAGAGAGAGAGAGAGAGAGAGAGAGAGTGAGAGAGACACACAGAGACTGAGAGAGAGAAAGAGACTGAGAAAGAATGTGTGAGAGAGCGAGTGTGCAAGTGTGAATGAGAAACGGGGGGGTTCAGGTGGATGGACGAGGGGAAAGAGTACGCGCTCACACGAGCGTGCAAGGAGACCAACTCACCGCAGTGTTTGACGTTGTAGAGGGTGTGATCGTACGGATATAAATAATCCGTCAGAAAACATATCATTGGGAGCTCAGCGCAGACAAGACTCAACTACAGAGAGAGAGAGAACATCATTAACAACATGAATCTCCCATCTGACCCAGTGCCTCTCACCCCTGTCTCAAAGCGCTTCACAGGATCTCACTGCGAAGTGACTGTGTGTTGAAGGCGGCAGCCCCCTGTTTGCGAACAGCAACATCCCTGCAAAAAGCTGTCAAATGAGCGGTTTTATCTGTTGGCCAGAACACCGACAGGGACTGTGAGCTCAAAGTCTCCCTCTCTTTCTCTCTCTCTCTCTGTCTAAGTCTCCTCCTGATGTGTGTGGGGGACAGAGACTCAGTGACGGAGCCCAGGATTTACCGCTTTAAGACTCAGTGGGTGAAATTAACCACGAGTTCTTAAACTCAAAACAAAACTCAAAATATGAACTATTTCCCCATTTTAGAGGCAATGTAAAAAAATAACACAAAATCTCTCCCTCAGTCTTGCACGCGCTCTTTCTCTGTCTTCCAGACTCCCTCACTCTCTCGAAATACACTCTCTCTCTGACTCTCTCTCTCTCTCTGCCACTTACACTGAATATGGCGTAAAAAACAGAGTGGAAAATGACGATATATTTCTCGTACGCTCCTTTTGGGGCTTTTTTCTGTTGCTGAACGTCGATCGCTTTATAATTTGAGTATTCGTAATATTTCTGAGCCATTCTGTAAAACAACTGTGCAAATGTTAGCGGCAAAGGATTGTGAGACGTCTCTCTCTGGTGTGAAAGGCGCTGTGTACAAGTAAACAGTGAAGACGTCCTCCCGACGTGAAAGGCGCTACACAAATGTAATCTTGTTGTTGTTGTTGTTGTTGTGAGATGTTTCTCTCTCACCGGGTGATGTAGTTTCCAATTGACGTCCAGAGGGGAACTATCGAGAAGCCAATAGCAATAGCTGATGGAACCAAGGTGTAATATCTCTCCCAATAATTGGTTGACACAAACAAGGCGTACACCCCAACACAGAGAAATAACAGCCATTTTGTTCCAAGAAACCTGCCAAAAAATTGACACGCAATTAAAATCCTCATCCCCTTCCTCCCCAAGTCTCTGTCCATCTCCTTCTCCCACCTCAATCAACCCCCTGACTCCCCAAGTGTCTATTCATCTCCTTTTTGCACATCAATCCATTCCTTGACTCTCCGAGTCTGTGTCTTTCTCCCTCTCTGAGTCAGATAAACTGAGAGAAAGAGAAACACTGAGATAGGGAGATGACAGAGACACAGTGAGAGAGAGACAGAGACACACACACACACACACACACAGACTGACCTGATAAGGACTGGGGTGTAGAGTAAAGCCACAACTGGTGTGACGTTAATCCCCATTAACATTTTCTGATCAATGTCCTGTAAGCCCATGTTGCCATATTTCACTTCACGATACGTCTCGTCATAGTGCAATATCAACTGCATTTGTAACAGCCCTGGAGAGGGAGAGTGTGTGAGAGATAGAGAGAGACTGGGAGAGAGTGACTAAGTGATTGAAACAGAGAGAGAGAGAGTTTCCGCACAGCCACTGAGCCGGGGTGACACACAGACTTACCCAAATAGATGCCGTACGTTAGCATACAGGCAACACTCACACACACCAGGTTCTTAACAACCGCAACTCTCTTCCTCCAAAAGTGCCTTTCCTCTTCAATTTCTGCATCATATTCCAAGTTTGGTCCAATAAAATCGTCGATCTGTGGCCAGGAAACATTTTAACGCAGTTAAATAATAATCATCTTCAGTTACTTTTTAAATAAAGATTTAATACGTTTTTAATCACTTAATAAGATGTAATAACTTCTTAAAAACTTCTAACACACAGTCACTCCACTTTCCAGTATATTGTGAATATACTTGAGACGGCTAAGTGACGTGATGAGCTGCTATATCAAATGCAATGATTATTATTAGTATTATTATTAATAATTAATATCCGGTCCGACCTCTGTTGATCTGTCCTCCAGTATTTCTGCAGGCGACGAGTTGCGAATAACGTTCCCGGTCTCTGTCGCGTCTCGATCATTTTCCATGTTTATTTTACATGAAAGGTTTGCTGAGAAACAAAAAAGAGGCAAAAATTTGCATTGAATAAAACGATTCGAACCATCGTGTCCTTGATGGCTCCTTTGAGAGCAAAGTGTTCAGTCTATTTACAGAGATTGAGAGACAGAGGGCAATTTTTTTTGTTGGCTTGCCGGGTGACTGATGCACGAGGAAAACCGATCACCGCGCTTAAGCGTCTCCAAACCAAGCTGAGATTTCCATGCCTATCATTTCCACGTGGAACTCCAAGAGATAAGATTGTTCGAAGGAAACGCAGTTTCTCTCTCTCCCTGGAGGGACGCACCCTGCTCACCTCATTCCAGAAAGTACTAGGCGCAGGTTGGCAAGAGCCACAGCTTAGGGGGACCCCATAATGTGCGTTGGGGGTCACTCCTGGAGTCTAACCAGCTAAAACCACACAGCTTGGCCATTGATATTGCTGCTTGGACTTCGGCTTGCAGGGTAAACAGGAGCTGAGTGACAGAGAGTGTGAGAGAGAGAAAAACACTCCCTTTTCTCCCCCAACAGCGCCACTTTAGTCCGCCCTGACCAGACACAGCACGGTCAGGGAGTGAGTGAGGATTAACGCCTCGCCCAAAGGACAGCATCTCCGACAGCGTGATGCTCTCTCTCCCCACCCCACCCCTGCAGGGTCAACTTAGACTGTACGGGTTCAGAGTCCCGTATAATCTGACTCGGCGGCAAGAGAGAGAGAGAAAAAGAGGGAAAGAGAGAATGAGAGTGGGGGGCGGGGGGGGGGGAATTAAGATATTAAACCTCAATTCACCCTCCCCCCCCACCGCATGCCGCACTGTGATAATTATTGTAACACATGTACATTAAAAAGAATAATTGGATTGGAGTCCAAAACACTTACCCAGTAAACTCTCTCCTCTCCGTTGGTCTCTTTTTCTCTCGCTTAAGTTTCACTTTCACTTCCTTCTTCTAAATCCAATTTCTCCTCCATTTAAATATTGTTTTTAACGCCTCTTAAAGCAGTAAATGATTTTGTGATCAGCCGGGTGTCTGACCCACAGAAACCCGTCTCAGTCTCTCAATCTGACTCTGTGTGTGTGTGCGCGCGCGCGCGCGTCAGACACATGGCTGATCAAAGATGCGTGTTTCACGTGTGTGTGTGTGTGATTTGGGATGGATTTCCCAGGTGGGTGCGTTAGCAGTTCCAGGGATATCGCAGCTATCAGTATAAAATGGAGTCCAACCATAACGCTGAAGAGGTCACAGACTGGAGACGATCTCACTCTCTTCCTCTCCTTCCCAATCCGCGCCCCTCTGTCTCCTCGTCCTCTTTGATGTCTCTGCTGCCTTCGACACGGTCGACCATTCTATCCTCCTCTGCTGCCTCTCCTCTCAGCTCAATCTTCAGGTCCTGCCCTTGCCTGGTTCTAATCTTACCTTTCCCATCGTCTCCACGAATGGCTTCTCCTCCAGCCCCCGCACTGTCTCGTGCGGCGTTCCTCAGAGCTCTGTCCTTGGTCCCCTCCTCTTCAATATCTATGTGCGCCCTCTTGGTGACATCATCTGCAGACATGGAGTCAACTTCCATATGTACGCAGATGACACCCAACTCTACCTCTCTGCCTCGACCCTCGACTCCAGGACCACTGCTGTGCTGACAGAACGTCTGTCTGACATCAAGTCCTGGATGAGAGCTAACTTTTTCCAATTGAATGTCAACAAGACCGAGGCTGACTAACGTGGGACATTGCTTTGTGCAAAATGGCTACCGTATTCACCTCCAAAAATAGCTCACTTTACAGTAATTACCTGTGAAGCACTTAAGAGAGATTGACTTTTAATTTCTTCTTATTAACGTGTCCTTCCATCTCCAGTATCATCTGGGAGGTGGGAGTTGGGGTTTGGAAAAAAANTTCCCAATTAAAAGTATTCATTTCACTTCATGGACGTTTGTGGAAGGAACATTGCTGCATGTAAACTGGCTGCTTCATTCGCTTACAAAAAATAGTTACTGCAAAATCCTGTGAAGCGCAAGCAAATACAATGATTCCATCAATCAATTCCACGAAGCACAAATATAGACAGGATCTTGTTCCAACGTGAGACCAAACAATGACTAGACTTACCATTTCAGATCACAATTTCATCCTGTCCAGGTAACCCATTAGGTTTGCCAGCATACTACACTACTACTAATAATACATTATGTTATCCAGTATACTATAATATACAGTATAGTTTCAGTGATCTGTAGGTTCTCTTCCTACCTTCCCTCAGTAAATCTTCACGCTAGTTTCTTTGCACTGCAACCTAACAATGCAGATGCAATGGTTATTTTTCTAAACTGGCAAATTTGGTAGATTTTGGAAGAAGAAAAAAAAACAGGGCCACAAAGTTATGAATAAATTATTTATTTTTCATTTGAAAATGTTTAAAAAGTATAAACTTTTTCAACAATTCAACCATAATTTGCATTTTAAGCTCTTCTGGACTGTATGCATCTTTTAGTGTTTGCCATGATCTCCATACTAAAAATTTGTTCATAATTCACTGAAGGAATCTACAATTGCCAGCTTTGCAAACAGGATGCTTTCTACCAAAACCGAATGGCAATTAAAAACAAGTGGATCGATTGGGATTTCATCACTGCTTGCTCAGGTTAAATCGCCCCTTCAGCAAAACATGACATTGTTCTCCTGATACTTTTTTTTAAAAAAAAACAAGCAAGCCATCATCAACGTACAAACTCGGTAAAATCCAACAATGAATAAAAATTTTTAAGTTTTTTTTAAAAAAAAATTACTACAATTTCAGCTCAAAAAAAATCTATAAATAGTTTAACAGAAGATTAAATTATGAAATTTAAATAAGACAAAACTTTTAAGCAATGCGGTATTAAAGTACTGGGATTGCTAGTGTTTGCACACAAAAAAAAACAGACCACTTTCAGATCCTAGTCTGGGCATCATCGGGAACTCAGGATAACTGAAACCTCGAACTGGACCAGGTGATTGGGGTATAAGTTTCCGCAAGAATTGTATCTGGTCAATTACCAGAAAACTGGACATCCACCCACCCACCATCTGCAGACACCCTTACCTCATTCATACTGAACTGGTTCAGAAATGGTTTACTCCCATCACAAAACGATCTGAGCAATAAATTGTGGGTAACAGCAGATACCTGTGCTATAATGTAGTTCTATACATCCCATTTTATAAAGATAAACTGTGGGTCAGGTAACTATTGGATGCAACTGTGATAGGAGGATTCAGGCGAGATAAGTCAAGGAAGACAAAGCACGAGAATTAGTTTCATAATACATGGCAGGTATTCAGCATTTATCTTTTTTAAAAAAGAAATAATTATTTTCAGTTTGCTTAGTTTGTTGAATTTGGAATAAACTTCTACAGCTTGAAGTAATCAATATTCAAAGTTAGGAGAAAGTAAAGAACCAATATGTGCACAAGAGGAAGAGGCACAAGGAGGAAGGGATATCTTATCTGCTTGTTAATATTTTAGTTACAATTAGGAAAAAATAAATGGTCAGAAGTCTAAATATGAAACATAAGTTTCAGGATTCAGATCAGTGCCTACGTGGAGTTCCTGATCTCAGAAGATAAGAACAAACCCAAAGAGGTCGTTAAGTAGCTTCTGGTTAGTAATAAAGATCCACGGGCTTCTGTGCAAGCTGTACACCCAATTTTTAAGGCAGGGTAACAGTATGGAAAGGGGTAAAGTGATATGCTGAAAGGAAAGCGTTTTGTAAGATTTAATATGTTTTGACACCCAAGGACATTAATTGCCGCGTTACTCACTTTGTCACATAGTGGATGTGGCAATAAGCAAAGTGAGAAGGGTACAGAACCTGGAATTAAGTCCTTAATAGAGCAATGTAAAAAGATAACATAAATCATGCTAGACGAAAAAAGACCAAGGTCCATTTAGTTTGCCTTCCACCTTCCTGGCGGTCGCATATTAAGATACTTAATCCTCATACTGATTTATAAATCCCACTCAGTTCCTAGATCATTGTCCAATCGTCTAAAACTCAAATTAATATGGTTTTTAGCATGCAATATTATTCAACTGAACAAGGAATAATTTTTGTGTGCACTTTTTGTTTAAAAAATAATTTTTAAAGCTGTCCAATACAGTTACAACAATGTGGATGTTAAGCAAATACAATTAAAAAAAAGTTTATAGAGTTTGACATAATTTGGTCAAATCATCTTCTTTAAGAATTATATGAAATAAACTATTAAGGATTAATGCATTAAGAATTTAGGTAAATTGGAAGTAGAATCTAGAGACCTGTGTTTGAAGATTACCAATTATTAGTCACTATATTTTACTTTATACATTTCTCCCCTGCACAAATCCTGTTCCAGTGTGGATAATGCTGGGCGTGGACCAATACTGCTTTGCAGTTAAGATAGTACAATTAAAGTCAGTTCTCTTGCCTCCTCCACTAGCCCTTTGTGATAGAATTATTTTATTGCTGCACACAGCATTTTGCAACTTAGTCAATAACTCGGGTAGAAAAGTGACAGGTGATTCACAATACTTTTACTATCTGATGATTGGAAACTAAGTACTTTCAAATCCAATCTCTGCAGGAGTGTGTCTGCTCTGTAATCACTATTAAAATTACAGATCTATATAATTATTAATTACTATACTATATAAATCTCTACATTTTCGTTCTTCCCATTTGCTCTTACCTTCCTCCATTAATTTTCATTTTGGCGAATAAAGCAAATGATATAGTAGTTCTAGAAGTTATTGGTAAGTGACTGACAGCATTTGAGAGTAAAAGCACCCGAATAAAGTCTGATCAGAAGGTTTTAAAGGGCTTCAGGTCCCATAGTAATTTTAGTATGTGTCCACACAACTCAATACAAAAGTAGGAATTCCCAATCAGATTTAGATAAATAGATGTAAAGAGATAAATTTAGTGTTTATAATCCACAGGTTCAAGTTAATGAACTTTCGTGAAACTCATACTCAAAGGAATGTCAAGAGAACGGCTGTGATCCAATGTTTTATATTCTACACTTTTTTGTATCAAACCTTTTGCACTCAAAACGGGAAAAGACCCTTCCCACACCCATAGCTCTTGATCTATGTGTTTCAAAATGATCATGAAATAGTTGTGATAGATAAAGAACCAACCAAAATGTAGCAACTCAAAAGTCACCATTGAAAAGAACCAGGTGTATGAGACGTTAAATACAACATTATCTTAAACGAGGGAAATCATTTCCAATTTGCTGCCAGTTCCTCTAGAAGTGATGGTTTTGATTTTGTTTAATAAAAAATCATTCTTAATTTAGCTTCAAACTCCATTTAGTGCAAATCATACTCAAAAGTTAACTTTTAGTCATATTTACACATCCAGGTCTTTTTTTTAATACAGGATTTGTTTTACTTCAGGGGCATATAAAATTAGTTTCACCTTTTTTTCCAGCAAAAAGACACAGCATCTTTTAAAAAAGAACTCAATCACCCCTTTAGTTATCACCAAAAAGTAGTGCAGAACCCTCTCAAGAAAAAAGAAAGAGCACAACGCAGCTCAGATAAAAAATGAGAACTGGTTCGTTTGAACAAAATCTTCAAATTGCCCTTCCCTTCTGCGACCTTTTTTTTTGTTGAAAAATACCTTCCTCAATTCTATCCCATCACTCTCACTTCAGGCACACCGGGCTGCAATCCACTTTACCCACAACTCACTGCAGACGTTTTAGTACGGAGTTTTAAAAAAAAAAGTCACAATGGTTTCAATACATCACACCTTATAGATTTCTCCATTTATAACCTGAACACACACACACGATATAATAATGATGAACCAACAATGCCCAGAATACAATTGGTAGCTTTTAGATGGGATTTAGTTGTATTTGTAAGGGGGGGAAGGGGGAATAAAGCATATATGGCGTCTCATAATGTAAAAATATCAGGTATGGTGATTAACCACTGTCAATTCTCAAAACAAAGCATGAAAGCTCACTGTGATGTTAGTTTTTAAGTGAGGCTGTACCTGGAGCAGTCAAATGGTCCATTCACTATAAAGCCATCATCAAGTTTGGAGAGTCTGGGCAGAGAAACCTCAACACTACAACAGACGTTCAAACGCATCTGCATTGCTTTTTGATTCAATTTTGGAAAAAATTCAGTTGCTACAAAAATTTACCACTCTGCACAATAGTTTTTATACAGGAGTAACAAATTAAAGTTACTAATATTTTTTATGTACAAATAGGCAGGTCACTGAGACTAACCCAAATAAGGGCAGCCCTTTCAGCCCCGACTTCATAATGCATGATAGGAAATGTTGTAAGAAGTATTTTTCAATTATAAACAGTGAACCTTTTTATTTACTGTACAAGTACTCTGCAACCACAGCTTAGCTGCAATTGCACCACACACGAGGCATGGTCAATGCTAATCCCACCCTGAACCAAAATGTACACTGAACCAATAGTTATTTGCCTCTCTCTCCCTACCCCCCAACCTTAGAGTAACCTACCTCAAACTTTTAAGACGATTATAGATATTTTAATACAACAAATGCTTTGAAGCATGAAGCATTAAACCTTCTTGAATTTTTTTTCTTTTTTAAAAATACAAAATATAAGACAATGTATACAACATTTAAAAACTTACAATAAATTAAGATCAGGCATTTTTGGACAACTGTAAGTGGTTTTAAAATCCACCCGACAATTAAAGGGGGAGGGGGGAACATCTTGAAGTTTTTGTCAGGCCCATTTCCAACATTCCTCCTTTGAGTCATGTCCCTTTCCATTGATTCCCTCTTTGTTGACTCCCGCAAATGATATCCCTTTACCGAGAGGTTAATCCTGAATCCCAGTGAAGTTTACAACATGCTTGTGATGAAGTTGTACAACTGTGTCAGCACCACAAAGTGCACGGGGAGGCAGGAGCGTCGGTCCTGGGTAGCAGGGTCACAGGTCAGCCAAGAGAGAGCGTTATATTGTTCTAAAACAAACCTGCGGTTCGAAGAAGACATTTAGATCAGTGACAATTTTTAAAAAAAAAAACAGCATACTGCTTAGAATGTAAGAATTTGCTAAGCGAAAGAAGACCTCTAGTTTCTCCTTTCATCACCTTGCCAGTCACTTGACATGTCGCGTCACAAACTATACACTGTATCCGAGATATTATTGCCTAGCAGAAATCTATCTAATTTGCCCTTGAACCAAAGGACATTTTCCGCTTCCACTGTCTCCCTTGGGAGCCTGTTCCAAGTTTATTACTCGCTTATTTACATACAATTCCTGCATCAATATGTACAGCCAAGTCTCCGCTGTGCTTGATCCAGATCCAGTTTCATATTAAGGTTCCTGTTTCTCGAAGGAACGTTAAATAATTTGTAGCTTTTGAACATTTCAAACGATATTAAAAAAACTATAATATGTGTCTGACCTACACTCATGTCCATTAAGAACTTTAAGAACACATTTAAGATGTACCAAAAGAAGGCCTGAGTGAAAGTCAGAATGAGTTTCAATTTTGGCATCTCACAGCCCGAAGGGGAGAGAGGCAAAAGAACACAGTACAGGCCAAACTCAGCAGCTGTTAAACATTGCTATGTACAGGCCAGGTGCTCTCTCCACAGGGGCAGGAGATCAAGAGCAAGCCACATGACACTTACAGTATAAGGCACCTAATGTTTTATAGGGGCGGGGGAGGAGTGGCTGGGGGGAGAAACACAAACAGAACACAGTACTGGTACCTCCCTGATTACTTGAAAAGCAATCTTGCAGTGGATGAACAGGTTATGTGTCCATTCCGGTTAAATAGCACAAGTAAGTCAAAACCGAAATAGATTGATTGACAACAGTAAAGGGAGTGAACATTTCACTCTTAATATTCTAAGCTTGTAAAATATAAAAATAATTCTAGAATGTGGTTGCATACCTGAGCACATCAGAGGTCTGATTTGAATCGAGTGGGTGGGAGTGCTTATTGTGAAGCAGCTCATCTGAATGCACTGAAGGCACGTGGAGGTGCAATGAAGCCTGAAACAACAATAAAACAAATCATTTAAATGACACTTTCCACAACATACAGGACAGGCATCTAAAAGTCACTGTTAAATCTTGGCATTTGATTGGATCCTCAGCTGTATTGAAGGATGAAGCTAACTTTCAGAAATATTTGTACCCAGAGAGCTGTTATGGTCTGGAATGCACTGCCTGAAAGGCTGGTGGAAACAGATTTGATAATAGCTTACAAAAGGGAATTGGATAGGTACGCGAAAAGGAACAATTTGTAGAGCAATTGGTAAGAGCGGGGGGAGTGGGACTAATTGGTGGCTCTCTCAGAGACGGCACAGGTACGGTGGGCCGAATGGCCTCCTCCTGCGCTGTAAGATTCTATGATTATGATTCTATAAAGTGTTACGGGAGTAGAAGTATAATCCTACCATCTAGTGGCATGGAAAGGTAATGCATATATTTATGCAGACTACAAGGAAACGAGCCGTTCAGCCCAACCAGTCCACGCCAGTGTTTATAACTCACGTGAGACTACCCATTCCTTACTCCCTCCCACACTTTCTATTCCATTCTCCCTCATGTGAAGGTCCAGCTTCCTCTTAAATGCATCTACATTATATACTTCAACCATCACTTCAGGCAGCAGGTTCCACATTTTTACTACTTCCGTGTGAAGTAGTTCCTCCAAAATTCACTTTTAGATCCTACAGTCACTATCTTATACTGTTCCGCCTGATTACTGGATCCTGACAAGTAGGAACAGTCTATTTATGTTAACCATATCAAACCCTTTTATAATTTTAAAACAACTTTATTAGGTCCCTTCTTAAATGCGTCTTCTCTTGCGAAAAAAGACCTTAACTATCTATCCTAATAGTAGTAACCTGTCACTCTAGCAAACCTTCACTGTACTCTTTCCATCACTGCTATATCCTTTTTAGTGTGTGGAGACCAGAATTGGACATAATCATTCAAATATGATCTAACCAAAGTTTTATAGATTTAACATTACGTTCACAAAATAGTCAATTCACTTTACAGTATATTCTGTGAAGGGCTTTGAGACATCTCGAAGACATTAATGTACCTTCACAAGGTCAATGACAACAATATTTTAGTTATTACTCAATTAGATTTGAAAACTCAATACTAAATCAATAAAAATAATCTCATTATGAAGAGCACTTATCTGTGACCAAAAGTGTTTTCTTAGCAGTCGTTTGTGATTGAATATCATTTTTAATCAATACAAAATTATATCACTGTAATAGTGGCAAAGCAACTTACCTTTGCACATGAAACAGTCTGACCAACCAACAGATCTCAACAAAATGTGGTCCTTTAGTCAGTCACTGCCTACTTTCACAAAGATATTCATCTGGACAAGATATGGCTGTATTTACCTTGAGAAAGAGTGGACATTGGTTCTGTGCTTGAGGGCAGGCCGACCAAAACCACTCAGGAAGTGGCCCAGCCTTCGCTGTCGAGACAAAGTAGCCCAGTGCCAATGGCTGCTGTAAAATGGTTACCTCATCGTGAGACTCCTGTCGATCTGTGCCTGGTCCCTGAAAAAGTAAAAGTAAAAACAAGTTATTGCTGGTTACAAAAAACAAGCAAATTCTAGGATGACTTTTCCTGCACACAAAGTTCACAACTTTATACAGTATATCCCGTGTATCCCATGAAGCTCTTTGAGAAATGTCGAAGACGTGATAAGGCGCTATATCAAATGCAAGGATTATTATCTCAAACACAATCCACATTTTTACATTGGCCTTCACACAGAAGACAAGCACACATTTCTGTGATTTCAGATGAAGAGCCTTTAGAGCAAAGAACACATTTTAGTCCATGCCTGCTCCCCTTCTGACACTACATAAAACTAAAACAACAACATGTTTTACCTTGCCAGTGTCACTACCGTGTGGGTAATGAGACCCTGGTGAATGTACTGGTGACGTGGATGGAGATGCTGGCAAGTTAATGATGAGTTCAGGGTCTACATAGTTATCCTCTGGGTCCAGCAAGTCAAAGATCCCCTGTATCTCATCTGTAAAACAGAGGGCAAACGTCAAGTAAAAATAAACACTTCAGTCTTTAAAGGATAGCTTGAAAAAAATACATTTTCTTTGCCCAGCCCATTAGACTAAACTTTATACGAGAGTTGTACAATAGAGGAGGCTAACATTTGACTAGTTAATTAACAATGAGGAATGGAAGAGTTAGTCCTGCAGTACCCAAATTTACATCAATGTAGCACAAACCTTCTAAACAGAGCCCCCATACCAACCAATGAATGTCTAGTATGAATATTTTGTTGTTGTAGTACCAGTGTCATAAGACCCTCAACATCCACTTAAACATCTCATTGATCACCAACAAAGCAATGAATCATATGAATTTACTAAATACACCCAAACACCAAAGCAATCTTTTCAAAACATGGTACAGTGACATCTTCAAGATTACATGCAGACTTTGAAGGACATGATAGATGACGAGAAGGATCTTATTCAAACCTTATTCTAAATATTAGGTAATATGATTTATCTGACACAGAAAAATATCAGCACTTCGAAACACTATCCGGTGTGAAGGGCACTATAAAAATGCAAGTAGTAGTTGTTGAAAAGCACCTGCAGTATATTCAGCTCACCTTTGCATTGCTTTATTTACCAACACACCACTACACTTTGCTAAAGCAGATATTGATGCTTCAAACTGATCCAACATCCACCTCATTAGCTGTAGGGTACTTCATTAATTTAACAAACCTAAAAATCAGGCAACATTATCCCTAAACTCAGTAAATCTACTCACAGAACATGGCTGATTCCAAAGCACTCAACCCAAAATGTGTCCAGAAAAAAAAAATACTAACCAACATTGTTGGTGTTGAATGGTATTTCAAATGTTTGGGTGGCAGATGCCACCTGCACGGTGGCAGAGGTAGGGAACACCAGAATGTGAGTGCACGATGTATCTTGCGGTGTACTCAGCTGCGATGTCTGCATGTTAAGAGAGGTTCCACGACCAAACACAGATCCAACTGAGACAGAGTCTGCAAACACAAAGAAAGAATAATATGCACCTTATTAAACCCATTTGTCAGTCTGGTTCAATTGTTTATCATTAATATTATTAATAATATCATTAATAACAACAATAATAATGGTAGCACTCTCATCTGAGTCAGAAGGTTGTGGGTTTAAGCCTCACCTTGGGACTTGGAATTCATACAACAAACTACATTTGTATAGCGCCTTTCAAGTCTAAGATGGCACTCCTGGGCGTGTGCTACATTGTTGGAGGCACTGTCTTTTGAATGCAACATTAAACTGAGGTTCTGTCTGCCTGTTCAAGTGGACATTAAAGATCCCACCGCACTACTCGAAAAGACGAGGGAATTTCTCTATCCCGGTCTCCCGGCAAACAATCCCCCGAATAAAATTCGTCATTCACTTCATGACTCTTTGTAGGGCATTTCTGTGGGTCAAATTAGCTGCAATGTTTGCCCACAAAACACAGTCTCTTTAGAGTGTGTACTGCGAAGTGCTTTGGGACATCCTCATGAAGCGAAAGGTGCGATACCTAAATACAATTATTATTATCATCATCATCATCATCATCATCAAGTGTTTAGTCTCCACGTTAAACGCGGGAATTTATGCTTTTATAGATTTGCCAACTATTCTTACCTGGCATGATCACAAATGAGCCTTGTGGTTCCATGGCAACTAAACAAGCACTGAGGATGCTGGGAGAATCGGCCGCCGAGATACCACACATCCTGCACGTGTCCTTCAACCGCCGGCTCAGGGACTGCAGAGTGCGCCGACCAAGCAAACAACTCCAGTCTGTAAGAAACAATTTGAGTTGACAACCATGGAGCAGAGGACAATAAACCTGCGTTAGATATGAACCTGCTCTTATACACAATCATGGTTACTCTGTTATGAAGAATTAAGATGCAATTTGATAAGTGTTTTATAGTGCCTGGAATATCAAACCATCTCACGCCCCTTGATTTAAGAGTAAGCAAGGAAGTGGGAAGAAAAGAAAATAGACTGCATACTTGATACAATAGTTCTTTTTTAAAAAAAAACATTAAAACGAGTCTCAACGTCCCTAGGAAGAGTGGTGGGGAGTAATGGAGACACTGTTCACCTCTTCTGATCATTAATCTGTTGGAATGTATGAATGCGAGGCAAGGAGATACTTGTCCCAGAGATAAACAATTGTTGGAATGGAGTGCGCACACTCTCTCTCTTCCTGCTTACCTATAGGACGCGTAGCTCCGGGGAGAGAATCTCTCTCTCTCTCTGGAATTTCCAATAACTCATTTCAAGAAAATGGTAAACAAATAAATGAGCACTGTTGACTGCTTTAGAATGCTGCCCAAGGTCCACTCACGTTATTTCTCTACAATTGTTTTCCTACCTTTTAACTCTCCATGTCCTAGCCTCCCCAGACGCCCTACAACAACCCGCCAGGGCAATGAAGTCATCTGCATGATGCCGAGGCACCAGTCCCATAGTTTCTGCAGCCCCATTCTCCTGGCGGAACCTTTCCGTCTCCGAGCTCTGTCAACATCACAAACGGAATAGCAGTTAATCATGATTAAGTACGAAAATAGATTTTTTTAAAAAAATCTCCCTTACAATCAACTGTAAATATGTATTTATTTTGTCCACAAAATATACTGTAAAGTGAACTGACTGTATATTCTGTGAAGCGCTTTCAGACGTCTCAAAGACGTGATAAGGCCTATATCAAATGCAAGGAGTATTATGATTACTAATATTACAATAAACTACCAGTTTGAATTGCTGTCAGTTTGAAAACAAGTTGGTGTAGAAGGGGTTAATTACTCTGAATGGTGTTTTCTCCATGTTACATACCTGTTTGGTACATCAATATTAATGACACATGTTTCCAGCAACTCCCCATAGAGATCAGTGCATGTTGCAAGGAGCCACCTCTGGTCGTGTGATAAGCAATAGCCAACAAAAAGGACATTGTATTTCTGACTAGCCTCTCCAAAGGTCTCTCCCAGCTCAGTTTGCTTATCCTTCACTGGAGCCAAGATAAATGGCGGGGTGTAAATACGCACACACTCTGGCCTCTGTAGCAAAATGAAAAGAGAAATTTAAACTAGATTCATCTCTTACAAAACTCAGTGAGTTAAAAGTATTAAAACAGGGGAATATTAAACTACATAGATCCTTGATCCTAGATTTTTTTAAATCTGTGTACTTTGCTGAATTAGCACAACTCGCCAGGAATAAGTAGGATTTGGACATGACCCCAAAACACCATTAGTGGGGAGAAAAAAGGATAGGAAAGAGAAAGTGAAAAATAAAATCAGCCAGGGTTCTCGCTCCTGATTTCTAGCCAGTGAACTATTGCTGAAAAGTGCAATGTGTAATCGTCTGATAAGGACTGGATTGTCCTTGCATTTGAACATCTCATCAGAACTGCTGGGTGAAAAATAATCACTTAAGCAAGACTGATGGGCTGCTGACACCTGCCCTTTCAGAAGAGGAAGTGATTTTAAATTATTCACACCACAGTGGATCAACTGCATAGCTGCATTTAATGGCAATTAGCTTAAAAATGTGTCTATTTTGTATATGAATCCAGCAGTCAATCTGCACACAGCAATGTCCCACAAGGCTTGCGGTACCAATTTTAAACCAGCTAAAAAATCCAATTTGTCGAGGCAGAATATGAGACAGGTGGGATATTAGATCTATAAAGTCCCAACCTCCATTCTGCTTCTAGTATTACCAGATTATCTTTGTTTCATGTGACAGCCTGGCTCAGTTGGTAGCACTCTCACCTCTGAGTCAGACGGCTGTGATTCAAACCCCATGTCAGAGATTTTGAGCTCAGTGTGGCTGATGCTCCAGTGCAATGCTGGATTGGAGCACTGCATTGTCAGAGGCACCATATTTCAGGTGAGACATTTAACAAGGTCCCATTTGTGCCTGTTTACACAGTCATAAAAGGTCCAGCACTATTTCAAAAGAGGAGGGAGTTTCCAAGTGTTCTGGCCACAATCCATCAAATTAGTCACTTAGATGGTTGTTTGTGGGACATTGCTATGCACAAATTAGCTGTCGTGTTCACCTAAAATAGCCAATCTTTTTCCTTCCTAACCCTGGAGCATACAGTAAATGAAGTGTAGCATCCTTGTGGTTACTCTAGCTGAGATCATTCATCCCAGGTCTCAAACATGGGATCTTTGCACTTTTATAGATCAGAAAGTCACTACAGAGCCCATTTATCCACTGTAAAACCAGAAGAGTCCTTAGATTTTAAATTAAACATTGTAAACGTCAAATTGAAAGGGCAAACATTGAACTGTGTGCTAGGAAAAGGGGGGGAAGGAAGAAGCGAAACATTTTTAAACAAAGCATACTTACATCTGGGCTCTTTAAGGTGCTATCCAGGGCCAGTCCTGGTCCAAAACCAGTTAGTGCTTTCACATAAGTGGAAGCTGGCAAGGGTCTCCGACATTGAGTGAACACAGAGAATGCCAGGGATTTAAGGTGCTGGGAATATAGGTGTCGATCTTCATTTTGCACAGGTTGCAACAGGTACTGACATGGAATAATCTAAGAGGGAAGAACTAATAAATATCAAAAGAACTTGAAACCGAAAATAGGCTCATAAAAGTGTTAATAAATCCCTTTGTTTTCATGTTCCAGTTGAATATACAGATGTCAGCTGGATCAGTCGGTGTCACCTCTAAGTCAGAAGGCTGTGGATTGAAGCCAAATGTTTGGACTTCATGAGTTCATACTCAAGGCTGACACTCCAATGCTGTGCTGAGGGAATACTGCATTTTCCTGCAGAGTGACCAGTGTACTTTCAAATCATTTTAAGTTTTAAATTCAAGTTTTATATCAAATAAATTTACATTATATTTAGTATACAAGTTGGATATACCTCATTATGGCATAGGAGTTGGATGTATGGTTTTCGGTGACTTGAAAAACATTACAACAGTAAAAAAGGAGATGGATAGATCCTTGTGAAATAAAGGTATTTAGGAATATGGAGAAATTAGTCTAAAAGATCTGAAAGATCTAGGCTCTAAGGCCTACTCCTTTTCTCATTTAAGGAATGGATGGATCTAAATATCAAAACATTTTGAATTAACTGGTGGAAGTTTGAAATAACTCACCTTCACAGATATGGCGTTCCTGATGTTCTGTGGTAACAAATGGATCATTTCCAGGTAGCAGCGCAAAAGACCCAGTGTCCAAACACTTGAAGGTGCAGATCCTTCATCCTCTGCATTGTACGTAAAAGGATCCACAAAATACACAACAATTGATGGTGGGTAGGTAATGGCATGGGATTCCCCCTCTGTAGGCACTCCAATTTTATCCCTTTCCATGGCACTGCAAGAGAAATGAAGCCATTAGATCTTCGTTTTATACTGCGTTTACTCAGATCACCTTCAGCAGAATGATTCATTTCTCAGGAGAGATTATTTTTCTTATCTCCTGAACTCGTCATTGTTATAAGGGCAGGACTTGAAGTGAAAAATGGGAAATAGTAAAAAACACACACGTTATTCCGTCAGAGAAAAAAAATTAGCACAGCCATGGCCACACCTAATACAGGCAATCAGATCAAGGGTCAGGCTGCACCATACAAATGATGTCTTAAAACTTCTTAAAGATGACCCTTTAACTTTTTTCCATCTTCTGCCCAAACAGCTGAGTTTAATTCAGGGCTACGTGAAGGATATCAAACATCAAGTGAGTAATTACATTTGATGTAAATCACCACCACAACACACTGCTCTTACCTCTCCGGAGGTTCCTGGTGCTGTAGTCCCATGGTACCTGCCGTTGTGTCAATAGATGTCCCTACAATCTGCTGACCCAATTGTCCACTCTGTGTGGTCAAACCCTGCATAGACTGTGCGCCAGAAGAACTGCTTAAGTGTCCAAAGGGAGGAAAGGATGAAGACTGTTTCACTGAAGACATCCCGCTTCCCAAATTTGCAGAGGCACAAACGACATTTGATGATGGAGGAGTGGTAACTGTAGAGGTGATGGAGGTGTTAACAACGGTTGCTACAGTAGTGGTTGGGGCAGGAGCAGGAGTGGAGGATGTAGCAGATGAAAGCCCAGCAGGAGCCTGTACTGAGCTCTGGCAAGTAGCAGACTGGCTTGGTGAGGAAACAGGGTTAGGTTGTGACAGCAACGAATTGTCCAGTATCTGAGCAGCAAGATATGGACCTGAAAAATAAGGAGAATTTAATTTGGCAAGCGTTTTAGAATATTATATTATAGGTCTGAGGTGAATGATGATGTTTTTGTGGGGTTACTAAACTAATAATCTGAGACAGCGTGAGATTACATTACTGCAGCATTTACGGTGAAGTTCCTAAACGTAACTGTGCTAAACATAACAATTGCAATATCTTTTTTTCAAAAACAGTTCCCAAAAGCTGAGACTTAATAAACCAAATGTGCAAACAAGGAGAATGGGCAATTGGTTTGTACAGGGTGACATTAGAGGATTTAGCCTAAGGTATAGGCTCAGGAAATCCACCATAGTGGATGCTGAGAGCACTGAATGTTTCACACGCATGGCCCCCTTGAAAGAAAAGAGTAGAATTCAAAACACGAAGCACTCCACCTCTGCATATCCATAGACTGTCTAAACTTTTTAAAAAAAACTATAAAGAAATGCAGGACTTCTGAAAACACATTCACGTTATTTGTGTTACCCAAAGTGTAAGTGAAAATGTACTCACCCAGATTGTGTCTGCATACTTGGGCATAAAGTTTGAGTTTGGAAAATGCTTCGTTATTGCTGTTCGCACAGTGCTGTAAGAACCAATCGTTTACCGGCTGTTCCACGAGTTTTGCTGCTGCTTTGGTCCCCACTTTCATGATGCCGTCAGGAAGCAATTTTGAGATTGGTCTGTGCTGGCCCAGTCTACAGGACTACATGTTAAAAATAATAATGATAATAATAGCATTTGATATTGCGTCTTATCACTTTGTTGAGACGTCTCAAAGTGTTTCAACAACATGTTGCATTTACATAGCGGCCTTCACCCCGGACAGCATCTCGGAGCGCTTGACAGAATATAGTGTAAAGTGTATAAAGGGTAACCCAGCAGCCAATCACGTACAGCAAAGTCCCACAAACAGTCGTGGATTGAGTAACCAAGTTATTTTAATTTATTATTTTTAAAATGATTAACACAGTTAATAATTAACCTCTTTTTCCAGCCAACAATGTGAAAGGAAATTTATCTTATTTCACAAAACAGGCTGCATTTCAAAACATAATTTGGTAATATCTCAAGCATGACTTACCTCATAGACCGCACCGAGATCTCGAAAGAAACTCTGTGCCCCGTTTAAGAGGGCCTCATTTTCTGGACATACCACTACGTAGCCAACATCCCTTTGTGATCCATAAGGTTCCAGGAGAAGCTTCTCCCAGTAGGGCAAAGCAAATGGAGACAACACAAGGAAATCACATTCATAACCCAACATGAAAGTTGGGATAGGCAGTGGCTCTGGAGACTCGTCTGTACCTAGTAAGAAAAGAACAGAATAAATCCTGCTTTGAGACTGCCTCGCAAAGTGAGGACACACAACCAAACGCAATGATTATCAACTAACTTAATTCTAAAAATGCAGTGAAAATGTACAACCCGAGACACAGGATGAAGGGTATAAAGACAGGTTTACCATAAGATCCTCGCCCAGCCATTTTATGGAATTGTTGCCAAGTGAGGGGTCCTTGCACATGTTGGATGCTCTCCCATGACCTGACTGCCCGTTTTTTCTGAATGGCGTCCTGCAGCACAGGCTGGAGTGAGAGAAGCAGACGCAGAAGGTCTTGCGAACACAGCATGCTGACGTCCACAGCTAGAAAAATATTTTAAAAAGTAACTTTAGACAATATAAACGGGAATACGTTGAGGCTCAAAATGTGATAAAATAAAAATCAATTTCCAATAATAAAAACCTAATAGTAAATCCAATAATAAAAACCGTGAAATAAGTGATTGTGCAATACAAGTGAACTTGGGGTGAAAGAAAAAGTTAAAGAAATGAATAACTGCTCACAACATATAATGCTATCTCACTAGCTCCACCATTCCTTTCCCGAACTCCCCCTCCCAACTCCCAGCTTGGCATCCGTTCCGGCTACTGTGAAATTCTCTGGGATGTTGATCGACGAGAAGGGTGTTGTATAAATGCAAGTTGTTGTACAAACACAGCTATGACTGTCTAAGGACCTCTGCTCAAATTAAAAGATCTAAAATACAGTCACTACATTTTACAGTGTATCCTGTGAAGTGTTTTGAGATACCTCAACGACGTAATAAGGCGCTATATCAAATGCAAGTATTACTATTATCTACCTCTTGGTGCATTCAGTGGTGTAAGTCAATTACTGAGTTATTCAGCAATCCCAGTTAGAAATTGTGTGCTATGATGAAGGTTTGGTCAGGATGTCCTGTGTCACTCACAGCTGACAGAACACATACCCCATATTAGTGTCAGCATACCCCGACATGCATCAGATGAGGAAACAAACAACAAAGTATTAACCAACTTAAAAACAAAATAGAGATGGATTGAAGAATGGTGAGAAAATTCCAATCCTAGATTCTGGATTACTAACCATTTCGTTTAGACCAGAGGTGCAAACAAGAGCTTTTAACAAGTGCTTCATCAAGCTTGCCTCCCGACATATTGTCCATGAACTGGCATCCCTGTTCCAATGCAGTATAGCATTCCCTGTAGTAGTCTCGATCTTCCATACGTACTGGTTGGCTAATAGTTCGTAGTTTTGCTACCAGTAATGGATCAACTGATCTCATAGGCGAGAACGGGTTTGTGCACTGGTCCTGAAGTAGCAACATTAATTCATCAGGCACTTTCTCAGGCTCCTTCAGGCTTCCTTCACTCTGCTCAAGAACAACATTCCTGAGGTCTTCTAAACGCTTTTCAGCTTCTCTGCTATAGTCCGTATTCCGACCTACAATATCCAATTCGTCTTCCAAGAAGAGCCCAGAGTTGTTTCCGAACTTCCTGTTCATTACAGCACTAAATCCACATGTGCATTTGGATTGCGCTTCATTGGTGGGGTCTGGGACGTACAAACCAATATCAGCTCCTTTAATGTTCATATTACAGACACAGATGCAACAACTGTCAAAGTTGCAGTCTTTGAACAGATTCATGATGGAATCGGATAGAATCAGGTTTACATAAAGACTATGCGCCTCAGGTATGGACTGCACCGTTGCAGGTTCCACCGAATTCAGTGGTCGGCAAGTCGAAGGCGTGGAGGCAGGTGAATATAAATCAGAATTATCATACTTCACGGAGCCCTGAACACTGGCCGGGCCACGAGGTGTACGTGGAGTCCTTGGTGTCCTTGGAGTCGGTGCAGAAATTCGTGGAGTGGCGGGTGATGGGAGGACGCCAGCACCACTATTGCTGGGAGGGGCACTGTTTGTCAGTCCAAAAGGGGTATGAGTCTGTGGTGTGCACGTCTGAATGTAATCCTGGTCCATTCCACTGCCAACACTTGGAATGTTTCTAGAAAATAAAGCACACACAATGTCACTACCGAAAGCAAAACACGTTTCATAATTTGAAATGTAAATGCTTAACCGTACCCATTAATTGGTTACTTAATCCAAGACTGTTTGTGGGACACTGCTATGCGCAATTGGCTGCCGCGTTTCGCCCACATAACATGACCAAAGAATTCACTTTACAGTATATTCTGTGAAGCGCTTTGAGATCTCTAGAAGACATGGTGTCTAGAAGATAAGCGCTATATCAAATGCAAAGATTATTATTGAACGAGAAGTCACAATACAAACTCACATGTCTCGGATGTATGGCATGGAAGGTACAGGAGGAAGCAGGTCCAGCTTGCCAACAGTCCACGAAGGACGATACATACACTCCTCCGGCAGTTTGACAGGAGCCAGACACTGACTTGGTAAGATTTTCAGTGGTGCAAATAACGTACTACTGACATACGCATGACACTTCTCAGGGTTGTAAACATAAGAAAAATCCTGCAAGACAAACAAAAGAGAACACCTCATTAGTTTATGGAATTAATGCTCTAGTTGTTTCAAGGCACATCTCAAAATGTACCCTTGACTATGCTTTGGCACCTATCCCCTGCCACTGCTGTTGGCTCCCACCCAGCTCGGATGCCCATCAATCACTGTGAATGAACTTTGGACATCTTCCCAATGCGAAAGGAGCTATAGCTATATTCGCCCACAAAACACAGTCAATACACTTTACAATATATTCTGTGAAGCACTTTGAGATGTCGCGAAGATGTGATAAGATGCTATATCAAATGCAAGGATTATTAGTATTATACAAATGTAAATTGTGTTTTTTGTACAAATACTATTTAAAATTTGTTTTACACACACACACACCTTAATTTCTGAAGGTTTAGGGCTACCCATCCCCTCTTCCACCTCAATCTTGAAAGAATTCAGATAATGACTGTCTAGAGTCATTCCTGAGGGATTATCCAGACTTCCAAATTCTTTGTTTATGTTCATTGGAGAGTAGCCTGGACCATGCTGTTCCAAGGATGGAGGTGTTGGGAACATCTGTTGCAGGTCAGCAGAACCTGAGAGAACAAAATCAATTAGAATGAACTGGGGATATAGTTGGATAGCAATGAACATGAAAATACTAACAACAGTTTTGAGTCAATAAGATAACAGTACACTCTCAAGCTAAAGCTAACTCTCCTTTGGCTTCAAGCATTATAATTTTTGTGGCTGCTTTCAAGCTAATAGTTTACCAACTGTGGCCCTCAAAGTGCTTTATCTTCTCTATTAAGCCCAGGCTGACATATATGGAAGCTGAAGGCTGAAAGATAAGTTCTTAGTCTAGATCAACAATGTTTGACTATTAGGTTAACGAATAGCTATTAAGACTATCATAAAAGCTGGAAATAAGAAACTCCAACAAAAACATTAAAAGATGCTCTTGGTTAAAATCAGTGTTGGGATGATGTAAATTAAGACTTATTACACTGTTGAACAATGTTTTATAATGTTGTAGTATTCATGAAAGGAAAGCACATACACTACAGCAAATATGCTATGTAACTGGGTACCTAAATACAAGACTGACAATGATATAGGTTTGAAGTGACTTACTTATACAAGGAAATGTGTCAAAAGGCCCAGTCCTTGAATCCTTATTGCCTGTTTTCTCATCGTGTCCAACATGAGCATGTCGAGAACCAGTCTGTGGAACAAAAATTTAAAATTAAGATGAATTAACAATTCGGGGGCAAGAATAAAAAAATCATATGAAACCTCCGTCTCTTTCAAATAAATTAGTTAATACATAAAGTGGTAAAGAAGTCATATCACCTACAAACAGTGAAGTCAACAATGGATTCATATTTTCTGTCAAAAATAATCCTTGCTCTTGTCTTTAAATAAGAGATTTGTTTTGCTGTTGAATATTTAATGCATATTCCATCTACATGGTGCCACAATAAATTAGCCACCTGTAGTCAGCTAAATACTATCTCTAAAGTTGCATAATTTACAAATATATTTTGGAATGCAACTCACCAACACACACTAAGGTCACCTTAAAAAAGCAGCACTCCAGTACACTGAACAAAGCCAAAAGATCCATGCTCCACCGTGACCCAGCTTGTCACGTTCGCGACCTAGCAGGGCCATGGGAGAGTGGAGAATAAGGTAATTCTCAATTCATTCTCTTGGCTTCAGAGCAGCATTGGAAAAGGCTGGGAAGGAATTGATCTCTTTGCTACAGCTAAAGGCAGGAATGAAAATCAAGCAAAGTAAAACCAACCGGAAAACGAATCAAGATCCCCAACATTGCAAATTTCATACAAAACTCACCCCAAGTTCATCTTCATCATCGAAAAGATTGTCAAGGTCTTTGTACGAGACAACAAGATCAAACTCATTCATGAGACTGGTGGATGCAGTTCGACTCTGCGATTTCTGTCTGTCTGTAATATAAAATATATAAAATAGATTCAAATTTGCAACTTTTGCTAATGCTGCATTTGGTTTGCATCATCCTCATAATGTAGGGAACACGATAAATAATAGCGTAATGGCCAGGAGATGGCTGCACAAGCTGACAGAGAAAGTTACCCATACCTTGCTTAGTTCCAGAGCTGAATATTGACATGGCATCCTCTCCATTGGCTGGTAATGTAGAATGTGATATACCAGGACCGTCATCATCTCCCTGGAATACACAAAAGATGCAACTGATACTTATCATAGAGTCTATGTCTAACAAATGGCATGCTGGACAGCAAGAGGTCAGAGGTTCTCTGGTAAGTTTAGGTTGGTAAAGTAAAAAAAAATTAAACACATCAACGAACATTTGGTACACATTTGTGGGCATTTTCTTTTAACCGAAACTTATAACCTTCAGAGCACAAGGCCATGGCATGTGTACGGGAGAGGTGGGGGGAGGTATAACAACAATTTGCACAGGACCTTTCATGTAGAGAGCACGTCTCACAAGACTTTACATAGTGGGAGCACGAGCTGGAAGGGAGGTCAATGGGAAGGCATGGTCAAAGCTAAATCTTTAGATGGGATTAAGAAGGGAACGAGTTTTGTTTAAATGAATAGGCTGCAAGCTTGAGGCTTTTGTAATGTGGCAAAGGGTTAAGTGTGCGATTAACAGGACACCACAATACAGTGCAAAGCAAGATCACAAATGAACTAGGACATATTTAAGTGCTTACCAAAAAATGTAGCATAATCTAAAAAACAGAGAGATTAAACCTCCGCAGTAATCATCATACTAGAAAAGATAGATTTACTACTAAAACCCACCTTATGCAAGTGTTTCTTTCCCGGGTCTCTCTCGTTGCCCTGCTTGTCCTTCTTATCGGGAAAACTGAAATCCTCATCACCATCATCAAATGCATACGGATCAACTTCTGACTTGGAATCAGATTCCAGATAAGATCCCCTAGAATACTGGTTTCTTCTCTGGATGTACCCATTTACCAAATCCTTTGAAATCTTTAATGGCTTATTTGAATGAATAATCAACCTTTAAAAACAGAAAAACACAACTTATTTGGCTGTAAAGAATTAAAGTTTGTCTTTTCCTTTTTGTATTTAATATTAAATTGATGACTATGAAACTACAGTTTCCAGCCATAGTTTGGATCAGGTCCCAGTTTTGCCTCTTCCCTGCCCCGGTCACACAGCGATAAATAGCTTCCAAAATAAAATCAGAGCGGAACATGGCAATTACCTTGGAACACGATGATTAAACACTTTTTCCATGTAAAGAGCTAGCAATGAAAGGTTGTCCAATAAGCTTGTACCATTATGCAACATTTACCCTTGTGAACCTGTTATTTTCCCAGCCACATTTCACATCGTTATACTGAGAACAGCTTTCCCTCCTTATATTTGAATGAAATTCATTAATTATAATTTTCACTGTGTATTACCCCCAGAATAAAGAACTTTGCAGGAGATTGTTAAACTCCTGCAAAGCACTTTGAGACACTTCCATTCTGTTGGGGCACTATCAAATGCAAGTGTTATAATAATAATAGTGTTATTATTAGGATGATATTACAGTTTAAATCAATCTGTAGAGGTCGCTTCTAATTTACAGTGATGGGTCAGCTAATACTGCCACGTTACTTACAAATGGGTGTTACTTTTCTTAGTATGGCTTAGAAATTACACATTTCTGAAGCATCTCCTTAAGGGTTCTATGAACCATTCTACCAGCCCACCTGTCTGTGGGTGGGAGACCAAGGTCCGAATGGAGGTTTATTTGAAGCTCTTTATGAACAGACTGTAGGAGATCAGACATGAAATCTGTTCCCTGGTCCATCAGGATTTTCCGAGGTATCCCCACGCTAGAGAAGAGTTTGATTAATTCTGTAGCTATGGCCAGAGCTACAGCACTGGGCACTGCATGGCAGTATTAGATCAGCTTTGCTGCAACTTATCCCTGGAACCTACAACCCAACACTAATCCAGGTCCTTCTTGAATACAGCATTAGTGATCTGAAGCAGAATAATCCTGTTATAACAGCGTTTGAGATCATGTAATTAGACCATGCATTATAATGGGCTAGTGAAAAACATGACCACTATATTGGCAGGTCACCATCAATTTGGCTTTCTGGCTTCCTCTGCACATGCTAGCTGAGACAACCTGACAAGCATTTTTAGATTTAGCAACCCGAGTTAATGAAACACACGCTCTAGCATGTTACAAACAGGGTTGCCATATAGTAAACAAAATCCCAAACTCACTATTGACTGCCCTGAATAATAAGTTTCCAATGTACTCATAAACCAGAAGAATATCAAAGAAACACAGCTCTACTAAAAAAAATTGATTTAATACAATTAGACCATTCGTTGATAAACAACAAACTTAAAGGTGGGAGAGTAAGCTCTGAGGTTGATGCAAAAAGATTGCAACAGGATATAGATAGGCGAGGGGAGTGGGCGAGAAGGTGGCAGATGGAATTTAATGTAGGGACGTGTGAAGTTATTCACCTCGGTAGAAAAAATAGAAAAACAGATTATTTTCTAGAGGGGGAGAGATTAGATAGTGTTAGTGTTCAGAGGGATTTGGGTGTCCTTGTACACCAGTCTCAAATGGTTAGTTTGCAGGCGCAGCAGCAACTAAGAAGGCGAATGGCATGTTAGCGTTCATTGCAAAAAGTTTAGAGTACAAGAGTAGGGAAGTCTTGCTGCAACTATATAGGGCCTTGGTGAGACCGCACCTAGAGTACTGTGTGCAGTTTTGGTCTCCTTATTTAAAAAAGGACATACTTGCCCTCGAGGGGGTGCAGCGTAGATTCACTCGGTTAGTTCCTGGGATGAAGGGACTGACCTATGAGGATAGGCTGAATAAACTAGGATTATATTCTCTAGAGTACAGAAGAATTAGTGGAGATCTTATTGAAACATAAGATTCTTAAAGGGCTGATAAAGTAGACACTGAGGGTCTGTTTCCCCGGTGGGAGAATCTATAACCAAGGGTCACAATCTTGAAATTAAGGGTCAGCCTTTTAGAACAGAGTTGAGGAAACATTTCTTCACTCAGAGGGTAGTGAATTTATGGATAAATAAATGTGTTTATTAAAATTTATGGAATTCACTACCCAGAAGGGTGTAAATGCTCAGTCCTTGAACATCTTCAAGGCTGAGACTGATAGATTTTTAAAAAAGAGGGATTAGGGGATAGGGCAGGTAATTAAGAGTTAGGTCTGAAGATCAGCCATGATCTTATCGAATAGCGGGGCAGGCTCCAGGGGCCAAATGGCCTACTCCTGCTCCTAATTCGTATGTTCTTATTAAAAAAGTTTGTAGTTTCTTCAAAAAAGCGATAAGAAAATTGAATAGATCAAACATTAAAGGCAATTATTCAAGTAATTAATTTGCAAATACTTACTTTGAGACAGAAGAAAGTGCATTGTCTTGTTTGTTCACTGCAGGTACTCCTCTCTATATTTATCAAATGGCAACTGCGGTGGTACAAAATCAGAATCCTTCTCTTTGGGCAGATGGTAACACTTCCATGTGACCTCAGGATCATCATGCTCAAACTGCACTACACTGCCGCTATAAGCTGTAGGCTCCATAACCTCTGGGAATGGCAATGGAAAAGCCTGGGCTGGGTGAGGTTCAATTCTTTCCTCGGCAGCTTTAGCAGGAAGTAAGGGATCTGGGACAGGAATCTGGCAGAATGGCTGACTTTGAGGCGTTAATGGATTTTTGAATGCTTCTCCCACTTCTTCTCCCCTTTCACATGGATGAGGGCTCAGTGGTGGTGGCGCTGGTGAGTTTACGATCTCTGGGATATGTAGCTGCGAGGCTTTTGTTGAGCTAACATCATTAGGCCTTGTGTGTGGATACCTTCCTCTGTTGTCCTGGGGCCTGATCCCTAGTCTGTGATTAGCAGAGTCTTGCTCCATTGAAGCGTCATCGCACACTGAAGTACGGTGATGAAAAGGAGTAAGCGGCCTTTTCTGCTGTTTCTCTCCCTTTTCCTGTTTATCGTTCATCTTGTGCTTGAGTGCAGTTGGTTGTTGCGGGCCGGGAGGTTGATTCTGTCCTTGCACACTAGTCCCCCTTTTGTTTTTATGCCTGCAAGTATATTTACATAATTAAGTCTATCAATTTCCAACATCTAAGTTATTTTTAATTTTTAGCCAATCCAAAGGGATGAAGGGCTATAGTTAAGAGTAATGGGATTTTATAATAATACTTGCATTTGATATAGCGCTTTTTCACATCTTCTCGACGTCTCAAAACTCTTCACAGAATAGACTGTAAAGTGAATTGACTGTATATTTGTGGGCAAAACACAGCAGCCAATTGCGCACAGCAGCGTCCTACAAACAGTCGTAGATTGAAAATGACCAATTTATTATTATTTTGGAGGGATTATTATTAGGCGCGTGGAGTAAGGAAACTTGCCCAAGGTTTCGCCCTGCCTGGAATTGAACCCAGGTGTCTAAACCACTGAGCTACAGGATTCCACAATTAGAATAGAGAAGATTGGAAGAGAACCTGATAGAGGCTCTCAGAGCAAGTCAGAAAATGCAACAACAACAAAATGACATATACAAATGTCTATCACGTCAGGAGGCGCTGCACAGTCAGTGTTTCGGATCTGGTCTGGGGGTCGGGATTGGGAAGGGTGGAGGGTGGAGGAAGCAGGGTGATTGACACAAAGGTTTAACATTCTTAAGACATATGAAAATATATATTTAAAGTATTCGGTTACATTTTTACTTGGATTTGAAAAAGACTGTACCTTGAACAGCTGCAGTTCACCCTATTTGTAGCTTCAACAAAATCCCAACACATCACTTTGCAGGTTACATCTTCTTCACAGCCATTGAGGGTGGTGTACTTTCGTCTACAAACAAATCACATTTACAATGTGTTCAGTCAATACTTTAAACTTTGCTAATTGTTTTATTGTGTACCAATTGTACAAAGCAGGCTACGACCTTAAAAGTGACTACATGCTAAATCTTAATCTCATTATACCTAGCATCAGATTTCCCACCCTCCGTAATTGTAATATATTCCACAGAGATCCCTCAATTCCATTGACGTAGTTATCTTCACTCTGCTTAATAGTTTGTCTGAAGATTTGCAACTTATAGGAGGACTGCCAACTTCAAGACTGTTTTGAAAACAGGAAATGATGCTTTATAAAAATACTTGCACTTATCATAGCTTTTTTACATCAGGAGGAGGTCCCAAAGCACTGTACAACAAAGTCCAGTGAAGTAGGCGAATGCAGCAACTAATTTGCACACAGCAATGTTCCACAAACTGCTATTAAGTTAGTGAATAGTCTCTTCGAATAGAATGGAATCTTTAAATGGCTGAATACCAAATGCCTGATCGTTAAATGCCTGTTAAACCTTATTTCTAGATCTGGTGTTCTCCTTGTAGAAGCAATCAAAGCAATTAACAAGTCAAGAATTTCCTTCAAGTTGCTTGGAATCATTATGCCATGTGCAGGTTGTCTCACAAATCTATCAAGTTATTTATCAGAACCACAGGGGTGATAAATAAAGATAAAAGCTATGGATGTCATCAAAACTAAATTTAGATCATAACCCTCCGAATTACTGCCTCACCTTCAAATGTTTGCTTTTAAGTTAACAGGGAAGTACTCACCTTTTCTGGGTTCGATTCAGATTGCACTCTTGCCACACCCTTTCTACTACCCGACTGGCTAATTTTCTAGGAATTTTTCCACCATGCACAGAACTCTCCGTATTGAACCCTTCAGGCATTGAAGTGAGTTTCGCCCATTTATGGTTGAATTGTACTTCAGCTGGAAAAAAAAGACAAAGCAGTAAAGTAAGCAATAAATAAAATAAATTAAGCACTCATATTTTGACATAGGCAGGCCAATTACAACTTGCCTTTAACTAGCGCCATTCATGTGGGATAATGTCTCAGAGTGCTTCATAGGGGTGGCAATGGACGTCGAGCAAATAAGGTGGGTGGGGCAAGATGATCAAAGGTGCAGTCAGGGAGGTAGGTTTTAAAGTGGGCTTTAAAGATAGCCAACGAGGCAGACGGAATAGAGCAGGGAGTTCCGAACCTAATGGCTGAAGGGCTTGGCCACCAATAGTGGCACAGATGTGGTTGGGGACGAGCAGCAGACTGATGCTGAGCGGAGGGAGTGGGGTAGAGGTGTGGGGTATGAGCTGATCAGAGAAATAGGGAAGTGCTAAGGTGTGAAGGGATTTGCAATGCAACGATGAGTTCCTTGAAGTCAATTCATTAGGAGGCAGGGAACCAGTGGTGCCTCGAAAAGATTGGGATGATGGGTGGGTGGAGTTTGGTGCGGGTGAGTATAAGGGAAAAGGTGGCAAGTTCATGTGGACTATAAACAAGACAGACTGGTGGGAACGAATAGTACCTGCTTCAGTCTCTTCTGGCGATGTTGGTGGAGTCAGAGTCACGGAGGAAATGGCGGGATCCCTCACTGGGGCAGGCACTGGATGGGCACTTGAGTAGGCAGCAGTGAAATGGGAGGTCCCAGCAGAGCTGCTCAAGATGACTGTAGCAATATCAGGCTGAGGCACCAGCACAAAACAGGCTGGGTACACCATTCTCACACCAGCTGTGAATAAATTTAGTAAAAATTCATGGCCTGAGCAAGCAGCGTTGGGTTCAAATGCCAGCTCCTATGCAGTCAAACGCATACTTGTCAAATAACTTACTTTGCTGCCCCAAACTTTGACAAACAGGGAAATTAAGCGCAGATACCAAAGTGGTGTTAATCCAAACTGTAATTCTTTGGGGTCAGACAACTTGAAACCCATCACCGTACTTAAGAGTATCCAAACCAAGCTGAGAATTCCATGCATCCCACCGACACAAGGGAATTCCAGGGACAGATTGTTGGAATGGAATATGCGCTCTCTCCCTGGAGAGACCCTTTAATTCCTACTTACCAAGGATGACTTCTACAGCTGCTATGGAGTCATCATCCCAGTCCATCTCCTCCACTTTGTCACCTGTTCCCTTCAACTTGGATTGTATTGGGTAGAACTGCTTCCATTCTTCAATCAGTTTGAGAGTTGGAGGGTCAGAAAGCTTGAATGACTGACCAGTCAATGTACCATTTAATCCAAAAGGACTTAGAATAACTGGGAGAACAAACCAGAAATTAAATGATATTGGAAACTGGGGGACACCTTTCACCTCCAAACTTCGGGTCTAAATTTAGCAGAGACAGCCAGAACGAAAGTCTCCCATAAGAATCCTTTGCGAAATAAAAATAAACAATCCCAATAAAAAATCTGAGCAATAAACACTGTGGAAAACCCTGGAGACAAATAGCAGAAAACACTAAACCAAGTGATCACAGTAGTACATCTCTTAGCATCTGGCCAAAGAGTCATTTGAGGAATGGAAGCCACAATGTGATGAATGATGCATTTTCAATAAATGTGCAGATGTTAATAATAGTAGGCAAAAATCCAACAATACTTGCAATAAGTTTTGTGAGAAATAAACCTATATTAATCTTACCTTGGAAGGGGTTTGATGATCCCTGGGCAGCTGTGACATGTTCTTCACTCAGACGATACACTGGCTGGTGCTGATTAATCTCAACACTGGTGCAGACATTACTATCCCCATGTAGAAAGAAAGTGAAGGAACAGGACAAGTGCTCACTGGAGAAAGGGGGGAAAATTGATAACAAAAATTAGTGAAACTGTCATAACCCTCCTGCTCCCACATGGTCATCTGCGGGGTATCACTTGGCCACTATTGTTGCCCCACCCCCCCTTCTCATTTACATGCTCCATCTTGGTGATTGCATCCACAAACATAGGGTCATCTTCCGTATGTATGAAGATGATATCCACATTCAATTTTCCTACTCCAGCCATGACCCCAGATCCACCAACATCCTGTCCGCTTGCTTGTCAGACATCAAACACAGCCAGAAATTTCCTTCACCGGGTCTCTGTCCACCTGTTCCTCCTTGCCACTATATGAAACTAGCATGACTCCCAGGACACAATGCTAGTGACGCTTCAGGTTTCTGCTAGCATCCTATTTACAGGAGGTTGTAGAGGCTCTTGGTGCTGCAATACCTTATGGATGCTCAGGCTCACTATCACCTGTCGCTTCACCCAGGCATGAAGGTGTCAGTGCAAGTCCAGTGGCTCGGTTGCTATGTGGTCAGTCAGTACATAAAGAATGTTACAAATCTAAATGTTCAAAAATTTGCAAGCTGTATACAAATACACTCTAGGTCCAGCTTGAAATTCACCTTGCTGCCATAAGATTCTTACCTTTTATTTGCTGGTTTCGCATCTTTTTCATACGGTTTCACAAACCACTTTCCAATGCGAACAAAGTTTCTGTTCAATAAGCACCTTGAAGGGAAAAATACATAAAATCACTGATAAAGAATAGAAACATTATTTGATTGAACCTCCCTGGCCCCACTCTCAAACGTGCAACTTTGGCGTCTGGTTCAATCCCCAGCTTTCCTTTCTCCCTCACATCCTGTCCGTCACCAAGACTGGCTTCCTTCACCTCCACTTTTATCGGCTGCATCCACCCCATCTCATACCCACTCCAACTAAAACACACGCTTATACTTTTGTCATATCCCGCCGAGTCTTTCACTAGGCATTCCTTTTTGGTCTCCCTTGCACAAGCTGCAACTTACCCAAAATTCTACCGCCCACATCCTCACCCAACCACACAAAACTCCACAAGTCTTGTCTCCCAGTAGACCAACTTCAAGATCTTCACCCATAAATACATACACCCCTTATTTCTAACCCGCTCCTCCAGCCATCCATCCACTCAGTTAACTGCTGTTATAATAGTAGTTAAGAAAGTTCCATCTTGAAAACAGATGGTGGGTAACAGATGGGACAAGTCAGTTCTGCTGGAGCAAGCGTTTTGTGTGCAGGGACGCACCTCTCCAGCAAGTTGTGGATCGCCTTGAAAAGTAGCGTCCGGCACTCGTAGGACAGTCCTTGCTCCCAGAATCCTTCCTCTTCAACTGAAGAACAAAAAGAAAAGTACACAGTTTAACGCGTCACATTATAAACAGACTTGTTGGGCCGAATGGCTTGTTTCGTGTCATACGACTAAGCAACTCTTCTTCCCTTACCGTCTCCCCACCTCCATGGAAGAAGAAAGAAATTGGAAAATGCAGTTAAATTCAACAAAAAGAGTTCTCACCTTTGAGTTCATGGTGAATGAGGTCAGCAAAACTAGGCTCTTCCCCCCACCAGAAAATCCAAAGCTCCCGGTGGCCTGGGATCGGGTCTCTTCTCCAAACACAGAGTACATTAGCCTTCAGGCAGCGGCTAAAGCTGCAGAGAATAGCATCGTCCTCAGCCACCGGGATGACGAGCGGTGTTCCTATAGGGCCTTGCCATGAATATCGACGCCATTTAATTCCAGTCAGATCAGCCTATGGCAAAACAGAAAAGAATTTAAATTATTCAAAAATAAACCAACTTTTAGCTTTTAATACTGCCAAGTCTTGTTCTGGATGATCTTTTATTTTTTTCAATTTAAAGTCAACAAAACCAAGGCTATCCTTCTCAGCTCCCAGCAGTAGTACTTCCATCTCAGGAATGCATCACATTAATCTCCCCAGTTTCTTGCTCCAGCTCACATAGCCAGCATCAAATTGGTGTTTTGTTTAACACTCATCTGCCTAGTCAGGTGGATGTTAAAGATACCATGGCATTACTCAACAAGTCAAGGGAGTTCCTCAAGTAAATCCCTCAAATAAAAATAGTCTTCACAGCTATTTGGGGAATTTTTGTGCACAAATTGGCTGATACGTTTGATAATAAAGACAGTGACTACACTTCCTTTGTAGCTCTTTGAGATGTTTCAGCAACAGGAATCAGTGGAAGTATCTTAAAATGGATACGTAATTGGCTGATCAATAGAACCCAGAGGGTGGTGCTACAGGGAATATTATCAGGCTGGGAGAATATCAACATCCCGCTTATGTTGATAAAATTCAAATTGCCCCGACATAAGCAGGTAGGACTGTGCAAGAAACATGCTCTCCCTTAAACCTTTCATCCAATTCCTGTCCGAAGTCCACTTTCCTTCACTCCTATTTTACTTCAAAACGCTGCCAAAATCATGCCTCCTTCTGTCCCACCTTTGAAAAAAAATTCCACTGCGCTTTTGGTCACTTTTTAATATAACAGGATTAAATATAAATAAAACTGCAGCGCACAGTTGCAAGTATTTTGGACACTTTGTCCAATTCACTACAAAACTACACATCTTTAAAATTCATTTGTACTGTAGATGTAGTTACAATATTGCTTTCATTTTCAAACATTTCAGCTTTTAACAGCGAGTACAGTGCAAATTTATTCCAACAAAATAAGTATATTACTTCCATTATTGCTTTAATATAAGAATGCAAAAAGCTAATAAGCACTCTGAATCAACCAGCTGTAAATTAATACATTTACTATAGATATTTATGGCAAAGCAAACGGTTAATAGTTAATGCTAACTTTTCCAGCTGCTATGGAAAGTACTTGTTCAGCCAAAATCTGCATAGAACTCAACATCTGTGAACAACTATATAGTACACTGGGATTAGAATGAACTACAGGTCCCTGGCTTGACTACATTATGAATGCCGTTATACTCTGGGCAGAGTCCAACAGCACACAATTGTAGAAAGTTACGTACACTCAGCTCACTGCAGGCCCTCAGATAAAGTTTGAAAACAGGAAGTCACTGCAAAAAATGTCATTTTGTTTTAGAAAGCAACACATTAAAAACACAAAAGTATCTGTCAAAATTCCTGGTTAATTGACAACTGCTCACTCCTTAAGAACTCAGCTACTGACCATGTTTCCTCAGTTACTGTGAGAATGAGTTTAAACTGTAAGCATTTGGAATTTTTCCACTAACTCAAGAGTTTAAAAACTAATTATGCATTACAGCACTATACCAAACTGTCAAATAAAATACCACTTTCCTCCTCCTTCTCCCCCTTCCAACATTTATTGAAAAGTTACTTGAAAAGTATTTATTGAAAAGTTCTTGCACATCAATCACCAATGACAGACTAAAGCTTTGTTTTAAAAATTGTGAACTCAAACTTGGAGAATGCCACTGCATGGTTTGATTTACTTAACATCCTTCTCGCAGGGTAGCATCTGAGCAGTTAACAGTGGCAATGCTTCACGCCAAGCCGGAGAGAGAGAGTTGCGGTGACCGTAGGCACAGTCGAAGATGAAGGTCTTCAGGTGATGGGGGCATGGCGGAGGGTTTGAGACAGAGTTTGAATTTTGGGGTGTAATAGCTGAAAGCGTGGTCGCTGATGTTGGAGGTGAAAATAGGGAGATAAGTGGATCGGAGAACCTTGAGGCAATTAAAGATTTGTCTACTATTAAAACACACCACAAATGCAGTACTGGCAAATAGATTAATTACCAGTTGTAGAATGAGTAGTTTCCATTAGGAATGTAGAAGTTACATTTCAGAGAATATGTTCTTCATAGGTGTCAACAACAACAAAACATACACCGCAGAACTTTTAAGTGAGTCACTACTCGGTCTGATAGATTTAGAACAAGCTTGGGTCTCAAGGTAAGGAAGCAGATTTCAGCGCTATTGCTGCACATAGCTTGAACTCAAAGACAATCATCAAAAATAGGCGGTATTTGGTATAATACTTGTCAGGACACAACTTGTTGCAACAACATAAGATTCTTGACGCAAGCCTTTCTGAAAGCTGACCCTACATTCCCATAGTACTAACATATTTTTCAGAATTTTGTGGTAACAAAGTACCCACAAGGCCAAGTATTACCAGTTTGTTGAAATCATTTCCACATTAGGCTAATAATCTCAGCTAGACTGCTAGGCAGAATATTGCACAGGATCAAGACATTTTCTCAGAAAGTAGGGTGCAGTGGGAAAAGAAAGATCACCTCTAGCGAGGTAACAATCCTACATAAAGCCATGAAGTCTGTGGTCCATACTCTCACAATTCCTCTCGGGTTCCTTCTAAACATTTATTGAAAATCTGTAAGGTGGTAAGCTGTAAGCTCATGACTACTTTCTCTTCAATTTATATACTTTTCCTTTATTAAAAAAGTACACATTACCAAATAGTTTGTTTTAAACAAAAGTAGAAGGATCCAGATTCCAGCTCATCAAAAGAGAAATAAAAATCAATATTTTTCTAAATGTACCATACAATTAAACCACAGAATACCGAGAAATTCATCAGTACCCAAGAAAAAAAAACTCCCAAAATTTACTGAAGCAATTAAGCGGGTGTTTTCCACACCAAATCTGAACCCATTAGACTTTTTTTTAAAAAAAACATTTGGGAAAGATGCAACTTGAAAAGCAGAGGCAACATACCGTCCATTAAAAGTTAGTTACAAATGGACTTTCCCCAGACAACTTTCCACTTCCTCCCTTCAAAAACCTTTCAATTCTCCCCCCCAACCACCCCCACCCCAAAAATAAATATGCACAAGAAAAATATAATCCTAAAACCCTCAGATTACAGGAAACTGAGGCACTTTATTCTGGCCAAAGAAAGCCAGCTGGAGCTCTCATTTTGAAATCCTGCTTTGCATATTTTTTTTAAAAAAAGTGATTTCTCCTTGGGGGGGGGGGGGTGGGGTGAAGAGGGAGGGTTGGGGGGGTGAAGAGGGGGGGTTGGGGGGGTGAAGAGGGGGGGTTGGGGGGTGAAGAGGGAGGGGTGAAGAGGGAGGGTGGGGGGGTGAAGAGGGAGGGTTAGGGGGGGTGAAGAGGGAGGGTTAGGGGGGGTGAAGAGGGAGGGTTAGGGGGGGTGAAGAGGGAGGGTTAGGGGGGTGAAGAGGGAGGGGGGGGGTGAAGAGGGAGGGTTGGGGGGGTGAAGAGGAGGGTTGGGGGGGTGAAGAAGGAGGGTTGGGGGGGTGAAGGAGGGTTGGGGGGGTGAAGAAGGAGGGTTGGGGGGGGTGAAGGAGGAGGGTTGAGGGGGGTGAAGGAGGAGGGTGGGGGGAGGGGGTGAAGAGGAGGGTGGGGGGGGTGAAGAAGGGGTTGGGGGGGTGAAGGAGGGGGGGGGGTGAAGGAGGGTTGGGGGGTGAAGAAGGAGGGTTGGGGGGGGGGGGGGGGGAGGGGGTGAAGGAGGAGGGTGGGGGGAGGGGGGTGAAGAGGGAGGGTGGGGGGGGGGGGGGGGGGGGGGGGGGGGGAGGAGGGTGATGGAGTCCCTTTTAACCAACTCACTCTCTCGCTATATAAGAGCAGTGTAAATTTCGCTGTTGCACATTGACCGGGGTTGGGGGGGTATATAAAACCCGTCCTTTCGTTTAATGCTGAATTAAATGATTATAAACAACGCTCCTCCTTCAGAGGTCGCGATTTTTTCTCTCTCTCTCTCTCTCTCTCTCTCTCTCTCCCCTTTCTTTTTTTTTAAAAAAAACAACCACTACGGTTTCGTTTCTCGCCGTCTGACTTGACGGAAAAGCGAAGGCGAAAGCCAAATCACCGCCCCACACCCCCCCCTACCCCCCGAAAAAAAAACACCCGAACCCCTCAAACTCGCTCCCCCATCCACTCGAAACTCGCAAACTTTTCGCTGCTAAAGTGGACCCCTTTTTTTTTAATAAAAAAAAATAAAATTTTTTTAAAAAAAAAAAATCCGACCGCCAGAGTTCGCGTCCCTCTGGCCTATTGCTCCAGCTTTTTAATTACGAGCCTTTTATCCACCACCATTCCCCCCCCTCCCCAACCCCCTTCTTCTTCTCCTCCTCCTCCTCCTCCTCCCCCCCAAAAAAAAAACACTTCACTCCTATAAACGTCCCGACCGAGAGCCACGGAGCCATTGATGGATGGATGGATTAATGGAGACGTTCACCACCACCACCAAACTTATGGCCAAGGAGCCGTTAAAGTGTGTGGCCTTTCCGCACAGGCTCCTGGAGGGAAGGGGGAGGGGGGAGGGAGAGTAGAGTGAGGTGGTGGGGGGGGGAGAGCCGTGAGTCTGACGCCGGCTCCTCACCGTCGTCGTCGCCGCCGCCGCCTGAGGGAAAGGCCGCGGATTGAAGATGGCTGCGGGCCCACCCGCCCTCCCGCCCGCCCGCTCCCTCTCCCCTCACCTCCCCTCTCGCTCGACTCCCCCCCCTCACTCACCAGAGAGAAGAGGTTGGAGTGGCAATCCTCCAAACTCGCCCCGTTCGCCACCCAACAGCCGGACGAACTCATCATCATCACGGTCCCCGCATCGTCCAACACACACACACACTCACTCACTCACTCTCCCTCTCACTCACTCACTCACTCACACACCGAAGACAAGAGAGAGAGAGAGACGACAACAACGACGACGACGACAACAACGCCGCCGCCTCCCGAGCCCCGTCCGTCCGTCCGTCCGCTCGCCGCGCGGGAGGAGGTGGAGGGCGGCGGTGGCCTGATCAACAGCGTCTCCCCGCTGGCCTGGGCTGGGCTGGCCTCGCCTTCCTGCCTCCCTCCCTCCCTCCCTCCCTCGCCGCCGAGGCCGGGCCGCTCCGCTAAGCTCGGCGGTCACTGGCCGCCTTTCGCTCCACACACTTAATGGCGGAGCCCCGTCACGTGAGCGCCGCCTGTAATAGCGGCGGCCGCCGCTAGGGGAGAAGGGGGTGGGGTGTGTGTGTGTTGGGGGGGGGGGGGGGGAGCTCACAGCCCAGTCACTCACCTCCCTCCCCCCCACCCCATCTGTGTGTGTGTGTTTATTCTTATAATAGTAATATTCCTCGCGTTTCATACAGCGCCTGATCACGTCTTCTCGACGTCTCAGAGCGCTTCGCAGGACACACCGTAAAGTCAAGCGACCGTGTATTTTGTGGGCAAAGCGCGGCAGCCAATTGCGCACGGCAGCAGCGGCCCCGGTCGGGGATGGAGTGACCGCGTTATTATTATTGTTATTTATTTTTTNGGAAGGGATTATTAACCCCCGGAAAAGCATTCCGCCAAGCGACTAACAACCGGGTTCCTACTGACTGGGAGGTAAACCGAGGCGTGCGGAATTAAGGAATTGTAGATCCCATCTATAAATATCTTCCTCTTTCAGCTTCACACAACTGACTCCTGGTGACCTTTGTGGAAATATCATTGCACTTATCAAACAGCACTGCTCTGCCAGCGGCAGCACTTTGGCCTCTGAAACAGAAGGTTGTTGGGTTCGAGCCTCATATCAGAAGTTTTGACATAGTGAGCGATGGTTCAGTCTATGGGGCACTTGTGTTTCCTATTCTTCGATCCTGTATATACGTTGCATTTATCTGCCAGTGTCCCACAAACAGTTGTGCATTGGGTGACAAATTATTATTATTCTTTTTTGGAGGGACGTCCCTTTCAGTGTGTGGGGCTCAACACCAGGGACAAATAATAACTTACCAAAATCTGTTGACAGAGAACATTATTGATTTATATTTTCAACTTATATGCGTGTGTTTAGTCCGTGCTGTATTCCTCCACGAGGTCACATAAGTTAAGTATTAACTGATACGTAGGTAGAGGTCAGTGCTCTGTTGACATACAGCTAAATCTCCGTCAAATAAAAAGGAGAAAAGAAACTTCACTCAGCTTGAGAGAAAACCAAAGAAATACTAAGAACGAGGCACACAGACAGGCAAAGAGGAAGATACAGACACAAACAGACAGAAAGAGACTGAGAGGGAGAACTGAGAGGGAAATGTAGACATGGAAAGGTATATAGAGAGACTTGAGGGACAGAGAAACTGAAAAGGGGAAGAGAGAGACACAGAGAGAAAGAGAAAGAGAGACACACACACACAGCCTGAAATTTAAACATTATTCTGGAAGATTATCAACCAGGACACAAGGGGAAAATTCCTCTCGCTACAAAGGGTTTGGGAGGAGGGACAGGCACACAGGCACAGGTACTGAGGCACACAGATGGGAGCTGTGAGTTTAAGGTCTAGTTTGAGAGGCAGTACCTGCTACAGGGTTTTGACAGTGCAAGGTAAATTCTATTAATTTGAGTTATTTGATTTGATTCCCTTCTTATTTTCCTCTCTTATCTGTACTGGTACTCACTCCTCCACTTGTGCTCTCTACTCTAATCCTATTCTCTCGCTCTTTCCCCATCCTGTCTGTGCGGGTGCTCACTCCTCCACTGGAGCGCTCTACTCCAACCCCATTCCCTGCTCTTCCCCCATTGTGCCTGGGGTGGTGTTGGTCCTACAAATATTATTATTTGTCATTTTATCCACTTTCTAGGATGTTTCTTCTGATGATAGTTTCGATTTCACTCCTGCCTTCAACCAAACAATTCCTGCAATCGGGACAGAACATTACGTGGAACAATACCCTTGGTAAGAAAGAAAAATTTAGAGAGGATTTGTAGGTATAAAATTGACCCATTCGGGTCAGGATTGGTGTGATTGGCGTGCAGCATTTGGTATGGATGTGAGCGACAGAACTGCGGATATTGGCAAGGAGTGTGTTAGAGAAATCAACAAACAGAACAGTATCTAACTCTGTCTTACTCACTGTCTCTACCTCCCACCTTCTATCTCCGTCTGTATCTCTACATCTGACTCTCTAGTCGTTCTCTATCCCTCTATTTCTGTCTTTATCTCCATCGCTTCCTATCTCTCTATCTATTTCTTTCTGTCTCTCTCTCTAAACTGTATATTATCTCTATTTATTTCTGTCTCTCTCTAAACTGTACGTTATCTCTCTAATGTCTTGTATCTCTATCGCTCTTTTTTTTAAATCACTCTCTAATATCCTTGTCTTTCTCTTTTTGTCCTGCCCAACAATCCCCTAAATAAAATTGGTCACTGTTTGTGAGGCACTGCTGCGCACAAACGAGCGACTGAGTTTCACCCACAAAATACACAGTGCAACCGCACTTCACAGTGTGTGCTGTGGCTTTGAGGTGTCTCGACAACGTGATAAGGTGCTATGCCAAATGCAAGGATGATTTATGTACTGTTTATTTTCTGACCCTCTCTCTATCGCACACTCCCGTCTCTTTCTCGTTGACATTCGGTCACTTTCTCCCTCTCTTTCTCACGCTGCCTACCTACCTACCTATGTCTTTCTCATCTGCACCACTCTCCATCGCTCACCCTGTCTCTGTTTTATGGCATTCTGCCCCTTTCTATCTCTCTTTCCTTCATGTCTTTCTCCTCTGTCCCGCTCTCCCTCTCTCGCTCGCTGTGTGTCTATCTCTTTCTCTATGACATTCTGTCGTTTTCTATCTCTCTCTCGCGCTGCCTACCTATGTCTTTCTCATCTGTACCACTCTCCATCGCTCACGCTGTCTTTTTCTCTATGACAGACTGTCACTTTCTCTCTCTCTTTCATGTATTTCTCCTCTGTCCCGCTCTCCCATCACTCACTCTGTCTCCGTCTCTGCGACAGAATGTCACTTTCTATCTCTCTCTCTCTCTCTCTCTCTCTCTCTCTGTCTGTCTGTCTGTCTGTCTGTCTGTCTGTGTCTCTCTCTCTCAGCCTACCTACTCATGACTTTCTCCTCTGTCACACGATCTGTCTCTTTCTTTAAGATTCTGTTACTTTCTCTCTCTCTCTCTCCGTCTCACTTCTTTCTCCTCTGTCCCACTCTCTTTCTCTCTTTCTCCTGTCTCTGTCTCCTTCTCCTTCTGTATGGTGTTCTGTCACTTTCTATCTCTCTCTCCTGTCTCTCTCTCTTCTGTTCCGCTCTCTCTCTCTCTTTCTCGCTCTCATTCTCTTTCTCTCACTCTATCTCTCTCAATCCATCTCTTTCTCTCCCTCTATCTCCTTCTCACTCTCTTTCTCTCACTCTATCTCCCTCTCACTCTCTTTCTCTCACCCTATCTGCCTCTCACTCAACCCATCTCTCTCACTCTCTCCATCACTCTCACTTGATCTCTCTCACGCTCTTCCTCTCGCTCTATCTCCCTCACTCTCTTTCTCTAACTCTATCTGCCTCTCACTCTCATCCCATCTCTCTTACTCTCTCCATCACTCTCACTATCTCCCTCTCATGCTCTTTTCTCTCACTCTCATCCTATTCTCTCACTCTCTCCATCACTCTCACTCTATCTCCCTCTCACGCTCTATCTCCCTCTTTCTCTCACTCTATCTGCCTTTCACTCTCATCCCATCTATCATTCTCACTCTATCACTCTCACTCTATCTCTCTCACTTTATCTCTCTCCATCACTCTCACTCTATCTGCCTCTCACTCTCATCCCATCTCTCTATCACTCTCTCTATCTCTCACTTTATCTCTCTCTCTCTCTCCATCACTCTCACTCTATCTGCCTCTCACTCTCATCCCATCTCTCTATCACTCTCACTCTATCACTCTCACTCTATCTCTCACTCTCTCCATCACTCTCACTCTATCTGCCTCTCACTCTCATCCCATCTCTCTATCACTCTCACTCTATCTCTCTCACTTTATCTCTCTCTCTCTCCATCACTCTCACTCTATCTGCCTCTCACTCTCATCCCATCTATCACTCTCACTTTCTATCTCTCTCGCTCTCACTCTCACTCTATCTGCCTCTCACTCTCATCCCATCTCCCTATCACTCTCACTCTATCTCTCTCTATCACTCTCACTCTACCTCTCTCTATCACTCTCACTCTATCTCTCTCTATCACTTTCACTCTATCTGCCTCTCACTCCATCTCTCTCACTCTATCTCTCACTCTCTCTCTCTCACTCTCTATCACTCTATCTCTCTCTATCACTCTATCTGCCTCTCACTCCATCTCTCTCACTCTATCTCTCACTCTCTCTATCACTCTCACTCTATCTCTCTCTATCACTCTCACTCTATCTGCCTCTCACTCTATCTCTATCACTCTCACCTGCCTCTCACTCTCTCTATCATCTCTATCACTCTCACTCTCTCTATCACTCTATCTATCACTCTCACTATCTCTCTATCTGCCTCTCACTCCATCTCTCTCACTCTATCTCTATCACTCTCACTCTATCTGCCTCTCTCTCTATCACTCTCACTCTATCTCACTGCCTCCCTCCCTCCCCCCCCTCAGGCTGTGGCCGCCCGGTGACGCCGCTGACCCCGGTCCAGCGGATCTTCGGCGGGCGGCGGGCCCTGGGCTCGCAGTTCCCGTGGCACGTGCTGGTGCTGACGCCGGGCCGGGCGGCCGGGACCCTGATCAGCCGCCGCTGGGTCCTCACGGCCGCCCACACCCTGTACCCCAAGGGCTCGGCCCGGCGCGGGGCGGCCCAGTTGGCGGCGGCGGTGACGGTCCACGGCGGCAGCGGCAGCGTGAGGGAGCTGCTGGCCTCGGCCCCGCTGGCGGTGGCGGCCGTCGCGGTGCACCCGGGCTTCCCGCCCGACCCGCACGACTTCGACAACGACATCGCGCTGCTCCGGCTCCGGCGGGAGGTGGCGCTGAGCGCGAGCCTGTCCCCGGTCTGCCTCCCCGAGGCCCGCGGCCCGGGGTCCCCGGGGTCCCGCCGCCGCCGCCGCGACCCGGCACCGTGGGCCTAGTGCCCGGCTTCGGCCTGACCGACGAGCACGTCCTGCCGGACGGCCTGCGCTACGCGGCCCTCCCGCTGGCCTCGGCCGCCGACTGCCTGCGCTCGCTCGGCCCCGCGCGGGTGGCGGGCCGCCGGCCGCTGCTCAGCGACAACATGCTGTGCGCCGGGGCCCCCGAGGGCGGCGCCGACTCCTGCGTGGGCGACACCGGCGGCGGTTGGGTCACCTTCGACCGCCGGGCCGGGCGCTGGCTGCTGCGGGGCATCGTGTCCTGGGGACTCGGCTGCGGCCGACCCGGGCGCTACGGCGTCTACACCCGGGTGTCCCGGTACCTGCCCTGGATCCAGAGGGTCACCCGGGCCAGCGAGCCCTCCCCTCCCTCCCTCCCTCCCCGCTCCGGACGCACAAAACACAGTCACTACACTTCGCAGTGATAGCCCGTTGAAGCGCTTCGGGACGTCCGGAAGACGTGAGAACAGGACGCGCGCTGCGGCGGCGGCGGCTGCTGTTGTTGTTGTTGTTGTTGTTGATGATTATGATTTATGAACCCTCTCCCGCGGCCCCTTCGCTGCCCTTAACCCCGAAGCGGTAACGCGTTGCCCGCCCGAGGCGTCGCTCGCTCGCCGTTCGCGGGACGACGCCGCCGCCGCCTTTACCCCCTCTACTCTCCTCCCCATCCCCCCACCCCCCGACCCCTCACGAAGTACAGTCGCTCCACTTCGCGGTACATTTTTTTTCCCCCTCGAGAACGTCTGGAAGGCGTTGATGGGGCGCCGTACCAAAACGCGAGGATTAGTGTTGTTCTCCTCCTCGAACGGGGGGGGGGGGGGGGACTTCTCCCGCCGCGTTAAGCGCGGGTGTGCGGGGGGGGCGAGGCGGCGTAAGAGAGGGGGCGTGGGTGGGTTATGGCACCAAACCTATCCTGTTATGGTATTTCCTGATCCAGAATCACGAATTAACCCGAAATATTTAATCCGAATAGACCCACTGTGGAAAAAAAAAGGAGAGCCCCTGAGAACCAGCCCGTAGCCTCCGGGTCAGAGGGCTGTCCGTTTAACACTCGCGTCAGGACTTGGAACTCGCGCGGTCAAAGCTGATGCTCCAATGCAGCACTGGGGGGGGGGGGGGGGTGGGGTGCGGGGGGGCAGCCAGGGAGATGTTGCATCGTTGTGGGGGGGGGTGTTGCTTTGTTGGAGGTGCCGTCCTTTAGATAAGACGTTAAAACTTGACGTCGCAGACGATAAAGGATCACCTGGCATTTTTGGAGAATAATTTCTCTCCCGGTGTCCTGGCCGACGATCTCCCGGATAAAGCACTGTGACTTTGACGAGGGCTGTCTCGGTGCTCTGCGGGAGGGGCTCAAGTAGGGAGTGGCCGAAAAGGCAGGCGCGAGTAAGTTATTTGACGTGTTCCAGGAATTTAGAAATGGCATTTTTCCGAGTGATTGTTGCCATGGAACCTTAATGTTCACCCAAACAGGCAGACAAGACTTTAGTTTAATGTCTGATCCAAAGGACGGCACCTCCAGCGCACTCTGTATTGATTGGGTTTGACTATATGAATTCGAAGTCGTGACATGCAGTAAACGTTTTAAAAATTTTAAAGCTACGTTTCAAGCGTTTGTGTTTCATCTGCTAATATCAAAGCTTATCGAAAACTGGACACAATCAGTTTAGACCAAAAAGGGAGGCATACAGAAAATAGTCATGTTAGGCTTAAAGTCACTTCAGAAGTGAAATCCTAGGAAGATGTATACATTTTTGGCTTCTTGATTATCTGCATTACAGAGTGCAGGTCAAAGATAATTGACCTGTTTTTGGAGAATGAACAGCACCCAGAATATAAAATAATTTTATTTGGGGTCTTAAATGCATGATATTCACAAAGGACAAGTATGGCTGGTAACTGGAACCACGTCACGAGAATCCCCCTATTAGAAGGTTATTGCGTGATGCACACAGGTTACCATTGAGACTCCACTATTGGCGGTGACTCCAGTTATGAATATCTCGTTTTAGATCCAATCGCTACAAATCTAGAAATACTCGTATACCAGTGAAATGAACTGATACAGCACATGCTCTAATATATAAAAGGATATCAACATCATGGAAAAATGTACACAGATAAAAGTGATCCCTTTTCTGCAGGGTTCAGCTCTTGACAAAGCTGCAGCTCAAAACTCAGCTGCAAATGCTGTCCATGTGTGCTGGCAGGACAGGGAGCCAATGATTCCATTCTTCAGCTGAATGTTCACCCCGATTGTACTGAACTACAGCTTCAGTCACTTCTCAACTGCCCCTTCACTTCTCGACAGCCCCTGCTACACCACACTTTTGATCTTCAAGCACAGATCGTGTTTAGCACTCCTTCCTCTATACTCCAATAGAAGCTGTATTTATTATTTCCAGAAAGGTTGCTTCAACACACTGGCAGAGCTGAACCTCTGGGTCGACGCTCTCAGGCCCAGGAGGCTCCCCTTTCTTAATCGGATCTGAAGCTGCTTCTCGACAGGGATGAATGCCCCCCTCTGTTCTCTCTTTTAGATATTTGAGACCTGCAGAAAATAAATCAAACCCGAATGAGAGAATTAATGTGCTTTGCTTTTTCGAACGAACGATATCTTATTGTCGAAAATAGAAAGTTGTTTTTAAGACATGCTGGATGTTTTTGGCCACCTTCATTTTGGTTGGTAATTTAAACACTCATTAGAGTACAATAAAACATATTTACATGTGTGATTCCAGAAGGCAGTGGTGGAAGAGGGCATTCTTATGGAAGTGGATGAAAGGCAGAATGATCATGGCACAGTTGTGCAGTTTAAAGAATAGTTGAGTGTTGAACACGACACTAAGGTTGAGGACTGGCTCTGTGAGGTGGGGAGTGCATCTGTGAATAGTGATGCTGTCAGCGCCTGAGGTGAGGAGGCGCTGACGGGAGCCAACCAGGTGGGTCTCAATCTTATCAACGTTCAACTGGTGAAAATTACCAGGACTCATCCAGGACTTGGTGACTGACAAGACAACCAGACTCCCTGGGTTGAGGGAAGATTTTTTTTGAAGGGTGGGGGTTTTGATGGCTATTTTTAAGAGGGTGGGAACGGTGCCAGTGGACAGAGAGAGGTTGATGTCTGTTCACTTTATGAGACCTCTCGCCGACGTGATAAAAGTACTATATCAACTACAGAGATTAGTAGAACCAAATTAAACTTCAGCAGTATTTCTAGCCAACAATTAGCTGCAGTGGAGAGAGAGAGAACCTTAGAGCACAAAAGGAGGTCTTTCGGCCCAAGATGTAAGGATCAGGTCAGGCGTCAAATCTATAAATCAGCAATTGACAGGGTGATACATACGTGTAATGATGGGGTCAATATCCGGAGCCTGAGTGGCAACATGTGAGGCACAAACTTGTCCAATTTGGATCAGTAATGAAGTTACATCATCATATAGCGGAGGAAATGCTCGACAGAAGGATACTAAACAGGGCAACGTAGGCATGAAGAAGGCAAATCGCTTGGCTTGGGTCAGCACTGTTCAGGGAAAGAACACAATACAAAAATAAACACTTTGCTTTACACTCTCTTCAATATGAAAGTTGAATGTGTGCCAATTTTCGCTCCTTTCGCTGAATACATCTCCCTTTAAAAACACATCCAACTAGGAATAGACTTAAAATATTGTTCCTGTACACTACCAACTGATCAGAAGAGATTTGCGTGAGGCCTGCGAGCAGACCACTCACCCTCTTATATAAGAACATAAGAAATGCTAGATGAAAAAAAAACAAGATTCATCTAGTTTGCCTTCCACCTTCCTGGAGTCGCATGCACATATGTCCCTAACTACCTATGTACTATATCCCATAATGTTATTTCCTCTTAACAGAAGGTAACAATAAGGGAGACCTTACAAAGGGCAAAAGCACACATATGAATGCCCATAAGCACATCCTCATGTACCTTTATGCAATGCATGAAAAATTTAATCAGACAGTTTAATCAGTAAAAGACATGCCTGGGCCTCACCTGTCAGGATTGTTTGCATGACATTTATAGATAGACGGGCAACACTGAGAGATTTGGGTAAGGCATACTGGATACACAAGTGGGATAACAGCTGGATTGCGAAGATCTGAAGAGACAAAATCATTCTGTTACAATTATAATACATGAAAAGAAGACCGAGGTCTCCAGATGCCTCAATGAATTTTAAAAAGAGCATCACTATTAGGAGAGATGGGGGAGCTTCAAACCTACAATTCCTCAAAGACAAACTCACAACCTTACGTGAACCATGACAGGTGGTGGACAGAGCACTTTCTGATCCTGATTCGACTTAATCAAGTTTCACATAACTCATACTTTGCATAAGTCATATTAACTGTATGGTCCCAACTGATAAAATGTGATGTGATGTTCACTGTATTGTATGAGACGAGGATTTGAGGGAAACCTGAAGCTGGAGACAGACATCAGACTCATTCTGAATTCGAGGAATGCAGCAGATGTAATTTAGAACACAATTTAAAAGTTGAATTTGAGCATTTTTAATTAAAAAAAACATTTATTTTTGTTTGTTTTCGATTCCATCTATTTGTAAGGGAAGAAAAAACTGGGAGAGAAGACACTTTAGGCCGGCAACATTCATGCAGCTTCAGTTTGCCTGAGGCTTGAGTGGCAACAGCTGGGACCACTCTTTTTGACAGGAAACGGTGCAGAATCTCGGAGATCAATGGAGATTATAGGGGAGGGGTGTGGGGGGCAACATTTTAAAATCAGAGCCCAAATGGTTGCAACCGAGGTCTGGAAACATTTCTTCACCCAGAGATCTGGAATGCTCTGTACCAGAAACTACAGAGGCCAAATCAATAAGAGGTACTTTGAAAGAGAAATAGACTCGAAACTTGGGTAGTAGACAGCAATAGGGGTAGATGTAAAAGACGGGTCATTGGGATTAAAAGATCTGCCAAGGTATAATAAATAGGATTGATGGGCTGAATGGTCTGCTTGTGCTCCTGTTTTCTAATGTTCCTAAAAGGGGAGAAGTATGTCTTACATGGATTTTATAAATCTACGAAAAGATATATTACCTGTTTCTCCAGCTGAGGCTGTGCCAAGAGCTCTGGGATGAAATCTAGACAGATGTGCATAGAGGGTATTCCAGCCACTGTCAAGGGCAGCAATTCACTGGGGTAACCCTGTTCAAGCAAAACCCAGAAAATTTAAATTCTCATTTCACCAAGCCATGGAACTAAGATCATAATTTTCTGTATTATGAGGACTATACATCCTGCCTCTGCTTACACTCACCAGTTATACAGTGACACAACTCATCAGTTTCACTTATCTCAGGTGTAAAAAAAAGTATTCCCAATTATTTATATAACATCTTTCAATAGAATACGATACAGTAAGTGCTAATACTAAAATAACACACCAAAGAATAGAATACTACCTGAAAGTGAACCAGTTTGGCAATGTTAGGGTCTGCAATAAACATCTGATGCAAAAGACAGCAGATAAGACACTGAACCTCCCGGAGATTGCTCAACAAATTCTCCTGACTGTCCTCAGATGACTTTCGGAATCCGGCTGCACCTTTAGCACTCGTCTCAGCAGGTAAGCAAATCTCTAGGAGAATCTGAACAGCCGCACTGTCCTGTCAAGAAAACGTACTTGTCATTGGGTAACAAACCACTTATTAATCTACAAGATAGATGTTTGTCACAGTAAATCCCACTTTCAATTTGCTTCTATTGTCGGTATATTTTTAATTGTAGCAACTATATATTGCATTCCCTTCCCTTCTCCATTTTTGTAATCTTTCTCTGACTCTGGAGTGTGGTGCTTCGGCCTCGTCTGCCTGGGCTAATGATAATGTTGATGATGCAGTTGGCATTAATCAACACCACCAATGAAACCAACATCAAGATGAACACCAACACTACCAACATCAAGAGGAATACGATACAGATTTACACTTATCCAGCACCTTTCAGGTCCGAAAGACATTTCAGCTTCAAGGAGGCCCTGTTTCCCTTCCCCAAGAAGGATTGTCACTATTTGGTCATTTGATATCCGACAAGTCCAAGTTTGAGCCTCGGCTAGATGGATGTCAAGTAACAGGAACTCCCTCGAGGGTCCTGGATAGCAGCATAGCTCAGCATGAAATGCATAAGAGCTTTGCTACCATCTTCTAAGCGCACAGATTGGCTGAAGAAAGCTGACGCTCATTTAGTCTTCAATCACTCAATAAAGCAAGACAAAATAATGGCATCAGGGAGAGAATCAAAACCGAATTCTATTTGGGAAAGGCCAACAGAGATTGTCGGACGTTTTTGTGTTACCTGTGCTGAGAACAAGGCATTTTTCAATTCCTCTCTGGTGACCTCAGGGGCTTCTGGCTGTCCCATTAACCCAATGCTATTGCTCTGGTATGGCTTGCTGTCCAGCTCCATGTTTTCCTTCAGATGAGCATTCAGGTAGGCCTTTGAAGCTAGAAGATAGCCATTTAGCATGTGCAGAGTGATGTCCATTAAAGAGGGGCACCTGGAGTCCACAAAACGTAAACTTTATGGGAACAATTCAATTTCTCATCAAAACAGAATTTGGAATAACTAACATATACTCAGTCAATAACAGGGGAGCGTTTTTAATAATTGGTTGGATCCTGGGGCTCACCTGTACACTCTACGATCACATCGCAACACAATCAGCGGGTCAATCATCAGGTCATTCTGAGTGTACTTTTGCTGTCTGAGCAGCTTGGCTTTCGGCTGCAACGCATTCACAGTCATCACCCACAGCCTTTGGGAACAAACAGGGCTTTCAAATCAGCACTTATTGATAATCCACGAAACAGCTCTGATGAGCTTTGTTACAATAAACTCCCTATAAAACAAAGACTCTTAAAAATGCCCAGAGAACCACAGAAACTTATAGCACAGAAGAAGGCCACCTGACCCATCGTTGTCTGTGCTGGGTCCCTGAAGTATAATCCTTTCAATCACATTTACTTGTCATTTTACCATACCCCGGTATCCAACTCTTTTTAAGGTATTTGTCTGGTTCCCTCTTGAAGGCCAATATGGAGTCTGCCTCAACCACCACGCCAATCAGGACATTCCATATCCTAACTCTGCATGTGGAAAAAAAATCTCCTGATCTCCCCATTTGCTTATTTACTAACTATCTTAAAATTGATGCTCTCTGGTTACTGATTCACCAACCAATGGAAATAATTTCTTCCAACTGAACATCAAAACCCCTCATCCTCATCATTTTAAAGACCTCGATCAGATTACCCCCTCAATCTTCTTTGTTCCAGCAGGAAAAAGTCATAGTCCAAACTCATCCCCGAGATTATCCTAATAATTTACAAATATCAATAACAGCAGCAAACCCACCTCCTCGGCATTACAGTATTGAGAATCATCCAGAGCTTGTTGACGGTCTGTAAGATCCGTTGGGGAACACCTGACTCCAGCAGCCGGTACAAGTCTGACATCAATTCTTCAGCGTATGGGATCAGTTGGCTCGCTGTTAATAGTGTCAAATCCTCCAAGACCTGCATCAGTTGGGTGTGATTGGCAGGGACCATTTGGAAAGCTGGTAATAAGATGGCGATTAGAATTAGCAGGCCAGTCCGGCTCTGTTGTTAACACACTCGCCTCTGAGTCAGTCAGAGGTTGCAGGTTTAAGCCCCAAGTCAGGACTGTGAACTCACAGTCCGGTTGACATGCCGGTATTCTGCATATAGTGTACCTAGGGCACCGGTAATCTGGCAGTTGCTTTTAAGAGCCTACCTTCTTGCAGTTGTGTTGGTGAGTGTTGTTTGGCCTGACTAGTCAATAACATCCTGCTCAACAGAGCATCCGTGCCAGTCACCTCCTCCTCACACATCCAGTCATCCACCATGCATAGATGTGGGTAGTTTGTAGCAAGCAGGCGCAGCAGTGCGGAGTGCAAGCCTATAGAATGGGAGAGTAGCATTAAGTTCAAGTGCCATTTTTCAGTAATAATAATCCTTGTATTTAATATAGCACTTTTATGTCATGAGGATGCCTCAAAGCATTTCACAGCATTTACTATAAAGCAATATCCCACAAACCACCATGTAGTGATTGACCATTTTTATTTGGCGGATCATTGGCCAGAACACGGAGAGAATCTCCCTCCTCTTCGAATAGCTTCATGGGATCTTTTACATTTCTACATTTAGGCTTTGCATCTGTCCTCGTGCGTTTCAGGTTTAGGAGGAACAAAGGCAGTTCTTTGATAGAATACATAATGTTCAATACGCAGTCCCCCAACATGTGGCTTGAAAGCCATAACCTTCTGACTCAAAGTAAGATGCTCAGAGGTGCTACTGAATGAGCTCGGCTGACAACAAGTCTTGTATTAAAACTGTATGACTGTACGACTTAATCATATTGGGAAACCAGGGATGCAATTTGTGGATCTCACTGCACACTGAATTTCTTACTTAAGTGTTCTTCCCATACCTCCTAGTTCGTGTTGGCGCTCCTGTGCTTGACGAATCAAGTATTTGATTGGAATTTGGTCCATTAACGCTGAAGAGTAGGACTTGAGCTTCTTCTGTGCTGTTGCTATTAAAAAAAAGAAGAAAGCACAAGTTAGTGCAGATCTGAGCAGACTGTGCAGAAATCCACCAGACAGTCTTTGCTCCAAACAATTTGGATTGTTTACTATTTGAGATACAGTTGGACCCCATTATACCCATATGGTTCTCTGGTTCAATGTGAAGAGTTCTAACTTCTCTAACCACTGCTCAATTTGACAAATGAGTGAAAACATTGTAACTTTAGATCATTAGACTGCAAAGACCGTTCTTTGTGGAAGAGATGTAAAGATTCGCCTGATGCAAAAGAGGAGATTCCAATCCTTCAGCAAAAATAATCTTTTTATGAGTATTTCACCTAGAGATCTGCACCAGGCTTCAAGAAGTCTACATCTCACACCACCTGACTCTGAGAACTGAAAAGCTGACAACCTGTACTTATGTGGAGATATCTGTAACCCAGGACAAGGAAAAATAAATACAATTTCTATGATGGAAAAAACACACACAAACCTACCTAATGGTTTCGTATTAGTTAACAGGATTTCCTCATATGAGAGTGTATAATATAGGACCAGGAGTTGTGCTGTGATACTGTGTCGTTGTCGGAATCGGTTGTTCTCTCCCTGCATACAAAAATTGAAAAAATAAAATGTTTGCAAGCCAGTAAAAGTAAAGCAGCCAGTTATATTTCTAATTCAGCTACATGAGGCTAGTGTGAGTTTGTTTGTTTGTTTGTTTGTGTGTGTGTTTGGGAGGAGAAGTGGGGATGCAAACCCTGATTTAGTGACTTACTGCCAAAGTTATTGCCAATGGAACTAATCGATCGGCTGGATTTTGTGGATGGTGTAGCTGGGGAGACAAACGAGGAGGGCATTTGAATAGTTGAGGCGGGAGGTGCCGAACGCACACGTCTCGGGTAAGGTACAGTCAGAGGCAAGCAATGTGGCGGAAGTGGAGGAAGGCAGTCCTAGTCAGGAACTGGATGTGGGGTAGGAAGCCCAGCTGTGGCTTCTGCTACCTTCTCAAACCCTACACATCCTTATTCTCTTCGCTCAGCAAGCACTGGCCTGCTTCATGTCCCCAACCCTATCCAATTCACTGACAGGTTTTCAGCCTTTGTGCCCCCACTCTCTGTTACTCCAGCTCTCCGATTCGCTCTCTCCCTCACCTTGTTCAAGATACATCGAGATGTATCTCTGACTACGTTTTCAGTCAGCGTTTCCCTTCCCACCCCTCAGCTCCCACCAGCTAAGCCGGGACATCCTCCTGACATGAAAGGCACTATATGAATGTAAATTGGGAGACTTGGGGATTTATTTTAAGGCAGTGACCCATTTGATGCTTATCTCACCCAGGTAAGGCCATTAAATACATTGATGATCTCCTGCTCGGTGATGGGTTGGTTGGTGGCTTCGGGGTTAGCCTTGGATGCTGGAGTGAGGATGGAATTGATGTAAACGTCAATCAGAGGAATTAGCTGAGGGTGCAGCGGTGTCACTGTTTCACACATCTGCTTGTAAATCCAATCCTAAAAAGAAACCCACAAGTAATTTTAAAAATAAGCATGGTTTATTCACATAAATTTTCAAAAGAAATACTAATTACTGTTCATAGAATCATAGAAATTTTAAATTTAAGGAGGCCATTTGGACTATCAAGTCCACACCGGTCTAAGAGCAAGGTATTCATTCAATCATACTTGTCTTATCCCCATCCTCCTTTGACTCTATCCTTCAGATACCTGTCTAACCCAAAGGCTCTCACTCACCTTGATGGAGACCTTGTGTTTGGTGAAAGCACGACTCCTCAGTAGTTGGTATATACAATGTATTGGGAGGAAGCCAGTGATAGTGGCACTTAGGTTACCAGTTACAGGCACTCGAACAGCGTGGGCTGTTACCACCTAAAATAGGGGAAAAAATACAAAAGTTTTAAAATTAATATGGATTCATATATCCTCATCAAGTTGATAATACTGGAACATTAAAGTACATTTGACAAAATGTTGTACCAACACATTGAGCAGAGTGAAGGAGGTGGGTTTGTATTTACAGGTTCCCAATCTGAGCCAGAAGATAATCAGTGGCCAGTTTAGAAACTCAGCTCAGTCTCCTCCAACATCATTTATGTTAAATCAAGTGGTAGACTAGCTCAGTTTGTAGCACTGTTGTGTCTGGGTCAGAAGATTATCAGATGAAGCCCGGGTTGGGTATTGGGCCGATGCCAGAGAAAAGAGGAAAGAGATGGTAGACTGGCTGGCAAAGGAGGAGGTCAGGGAAGAGGTGAGGAAATAGAAATGAAAAATACACTTATTGCAGAGGGCTATACCCAGCTCCTGATTCTTTTCCAGGATCTCACCCCAAATGAATTCCTTACCTCCCTCAGTCTTCCTTTCTTCTTACAATCAACAAGCTTTTCAAATCCAAGATTGATTACCTAACCAACTCAACCTCAATGGCATCCTGCACCAAGGTTTCAGGTAAAATAAACTGAAGGTGTGTGGACGAGGTAGACTCACTTGTTCAGTAAAGATTTCCTGCGTGAAGATGGTTTTCATTCTGTTCAGTGAGCTTGCTTTAATTGCGATCTAAGGACAGAAATCATAAACTGGTTATGCACAGTACTCTTCAGGTGATATTTTTGCTGTAGCCAAGAGCAGGACGGTGGATTCAGACTTACCTTCATCCCCAGAGTGGAGCAGACCAAGTCGATGATGGCACTGAGCTGGTTGCTGTGGAAGTACATTGCGACCAAAAGCAGCATCTCACCAAAAGATGCAGACACACCTGTAGTGCTGGGATATACACAAGAGAAAATATTTATTTCACCTATTAAGTCACTCCAAGCCAACTATGATAATTTCATCCTAAACGTTAGTGCCTCAGGGGTACTCTGATGATAGGATATTAGTAGATCCTGATACCTGGGCTGACTAGCATTGTTATTCTGTTCTCAAATCTGTACTATAGACAAACTCAAAAGTGTTAACTTTGAACTTTATTTCACTGTGGACGATACTGAAATTCACTTCACGTTGTAATCACATTAAGGATTAGACTCATTAACGATTAATACACATTGGTGCAGTAACCAATATTTAACCTCACCTCTCAAAATACGCCTCCTCTCTGATCATCCAACTCAACCACATCACAGTCATTTGCTCCTGTTCAGGGGTGCTGCAAACAAAGTTAACTTTAACATAAATCTCTGAACATAAAAGTGGAAATACACAGTTAACTTGTCTTCGTTACTTTGTAAGCAAAATATTGGATATATCGCCATAGCAAATAGCAGGAAAATATTATTAATATTATTATTGTACGCTTACCTGACTAGGCTTGGAAAAGCCAACAGCATGCAGAAAGAGAGGGAGACAAAGCGGACCCCAGCTGGGGTTGCTGGTGGACGGCTCGTCATCAACTGTAAGAGCTGCTCTGCTTCCTCGTCGGTTGGCCTAGACAAGTCCGCAAATGAGACAGTATTCTATCAGAATCAGGAACAAGCTGATGACTTGCAAATCAAAACATCAATGACACGCAAGATGAGAAAAGAATTCTGGGACAGGTCAGTAAAGCAATGCAGTGACTTTAAAGGATGAGCCAGTAAAATACTGCCAATATATTTACGTGATGCGCAACTCAAGAATATTGTGGGTTCCAACCCTCCGTTGGGACTTTAGAGGTTCTTATCCAGGCTAATACTCCAGTGCTGTATACTTCTGTGCCAATCAAAGCCCTAACAACATTGCAAGGAGTGATATGGCTCAGGAACAGGCCATTCAGCCCCACTTGTCTATGATAGCATTTATATTCCACATAAGCCCCACAGCTCCTAATGCCATTGCCTTTATCACTCTTCGCTTCTCGCACATTCTCACCAACTTTTGCATGCAGAGCCAAACTGAAGCTGTCTCAGCATCTGGGCTCCGGTGGAGATTCTGTGCCTCATTCCCCCAATTTGTATTATGTTTTCTGCACCACCACAGCACAAACAATGGATTATAAACCAGGCCTGCCTACTTGAGACCAGCAATTCCCATGAGTGCACAGTAGAGTCGAAGGAGTGCACTGGCCTTCACCACATTCTCTTCCTTCAGTGCAGAGTACACAGATATGTTAGGTTCCATGTCTGTATCTGCCGTGTCCTCCCCAAGACGGCCGCTGCTGACCGTAGGAAGAATAGCCATCAGCTCCAGCAACAACTGCCGTCTCATCTGCCACAGTACTGAGCTGCTCATCTCTCGCTTCCGCTGTTTGGAAAAACAGATTACACTGACTTCAAACACTATTTTTGAGGATGGAATTCAGGTAGCTGACTTGTAGGTAGGTATTTGTAATACATTCCACTCTCTAAATATCTTAAAATCTCTAGAATGTTGATTTTTAACATTTTCAATTTTTTTTTATCTCCCCCACCACTCCCTATTATCAGCTTAGATTTATTTTGCTCCCTCTTCCTGTTGCGCTCTGAGATGTTATTGTTGCTATTAAATGTCTTTCGTCTGCTCCCAAAATGTTTTTTTGCAACATCGGAAAACACTTCTTTCTGCCTCCTAGTGGCTCAGTGAGTTTATTTTTATAGCTGAGTCTCACGTTCAATTCCCAGTTTGTACTGAGTTAGCTGATCAGAGTTGGGAGTGCTACAATCGATTACAACCTCTTGGAAAGTGTGTGTGTGAGGGGGGAGGGAGAGAAACAAGCCAGGTTTCCTGCTTCAGATCATTATCCAACAACTGCCACTGGAGGTTGAATGTGCTTGAATATCGGATGAGCACAGGATTTCAACTGTGATCTTTTCTGCACTTAAATAGCTTGGCATTCTGAACTGTGAAGACTCTTAAGGCTAACATTTTGCCCCTCTCAGAAATCGAACACAGGTCTTCTCGCTTGTGACGCGAGTGCTCGAAGCAATATGCTGCAGGACTCCATTGTGATGATTGCTTTCAGAGCAACCATTTTCCTCACCAACTACAATTTTCCTTTCTTTTAAAATAAGAAACTCAGGATACTGGTGTCAGAAAACTCTTGGTTGATTTGTGCAGTCAGCTCCTTACCTGTTGGCCATTGCGGATGAACATTCCAAACCAGGTCCTCACTTTTGCGTTGGTCCCAAGCAATAAGCCGCTGACAAATGAGACAAGATCAGTCACCTGATCTTCAGATCCATCATTCTTACACTGATCTAATGTCAAAGCCACTCCGAGGCCTGGGAGGTGACACTCCTCCACCTGTCACCAAAGCAGAATAATTATTAAAACAGTATCAATATTTTGATAATGCAGTGCAAGGAAATTGTAAGGATTATTATTTTAAAAGTTTAAATGGGATTGAGAAAGGAAACCCAAATACTTTTGGATGCACCTTTACGCAGGATAACATCAACAGTGTGCAAGTGCAAATGCCACTGCGTGTATGAAACCAGCACTTACCACCATGGCTCTGATATTTGGAGCCTGGGTAGGATTCATCTTGCACAACTGGCGAAGCGCCTCTGTTCTGCGTCGACCTCCAATACTTTCCTCATCCTGTCGTTCACCATTCTTAATTAAACCCCTGCAAACTGAACAGCAAGGCCTGTTTTATATGTGAACCCAGATTTCCTTCCCCCAAAATGCACTCTCCTCTCAAGAGAACTGTCTGCTCTTCAATAGCTCACCCAGTGCTAAATGGCAATGGGTTGGGGAGAAGAAATTGTAGCTAATCTCTGGCTTGTCCTCTCCCCAATACCAATAAACACACACACACAAACACACATGTATGTAGCAGGAAATATGCATTACAATCATACATACATGACTGGTTTTCTCTTCTTAGCAAAGGGGCACTGAGGTCAATTTTAAACCTCTTTGACAATCTAGACTGGACAGTGGACAACTTTCAAAAACAATCCCATTCTCTAAACACTCCATGTTCCAGAGAATTACACCTCAAACCAATGCACCTTAAAAATAACACACTTAACACAGAAAAATATAATCATTGGTTTTGAAAAAATTACCAGTGAAATTCATAAATAAATGATCTCAAGCTGCTTCCAATGCATTGGTGGTGATGGTTTTTTGGGGATATTAAAGAGAGACCTTTACCTTCATTGAAACTGTCAGGTACATTGGCAACTAACAAGCACAAGAACCAGGACCCATTCCGAACGTGCAACAAGGACTCGGCTACGTCTGTGATCGGCAGTAGTGAAGGAAGCTCTGTGGAGACAAAATAGGCAAAATATCAATACAATTCTAAACACATGGGATTGTGCAGTAGGTTCTGTTTTGGAACTTTAGCTCCTGAAAAGAGAAGAATAACTGACCCCCAGAGAACTGAGAGGCAGATTATTCTCTTTCTGGAAACTGGCAAGCTATCCTGGAGCTTTACCCCCTACATAATACTGGTTGCTTAGCCACTTTTCTGACCACCATTCATTGGCACAGAAAGTGGGACCGTTTGGAATAAGCAAACTTCTGGGTTCAGTATCAATGTTGTTCCGTGACTGATCAACAGATGGTGTACTTCTGCAAAGAGTTGCAGCAATCTAGACAATTTCACCACTGCACTCAACACAGAACTAGCTCATGGATATGTTTTATTGTGCTTGGCAAATTACCAACACATTCCACCACAAAATGAAAAACCCTGTATCACTCTTCCAACTTCCCCTCCTTCAAGGGTAAGATACTCCCGTTTGACAGCACCTAGAACTTAGTACGGAAATTAGTAAGGAACCTCCTTGGATCACTATCTGAATTTTATATGTGGATGCCATCTACTCCATCTAAAACACAAAATGTTATGGTCCAATCCAAAAATATTTCACAGAAGTATTTTTGTGTATTTTAGGTTTGCAGCATTTGGAACAAATCATGGAAGAATATTAATGCTGAGAATACTATCTGTATTCGGCAGAGAAAGGGAGAAAGCATACCCACCTGTCCTTATCCTCAGATAACTTTTGAGAGCAGGAGGAAAATTGGATCAATAAAAGTGATATAAACCCATTAAAACAATTATGTACATTGCACTACTTCAGCATTAATTCTACCTGCTTGTAGGATGCAGAGCACATCAGCAACTTCATCCAGGTAAACGGGGCTTTCAAACAATTCTGAAGACTTCATGAAAAATTCTCCATTGGAATCAGACACCTTCAAAGTGAACAAAAATAAGTTTCAATTTCAATTCACTAATTTGACAGAACAATACCTGGGGTAGGCAGGTCCAAGACAGTGCTGATGACCAGCCAGCCTGGCTTGTCAACAGAACTTAGAGCTGCAGACCAGTCTCTGGGCCTTTAGATTCTTTTCATTTAGCTCCTGTTGAACCAAAGCCCTAATGAGTAGGATGGTCTTATCTAGATAAACAACAAGAAGCTTGCCAGCGTTCAAAGTTTTAGCTGGTTAAACTCCAGACCTACCCAAATGTACACTTTGGGATCCCTAAACTTTAGCTTTTATCAACATGCACTTAAACTTTCCAGAAACAGGGTGCATCTCTCCAGAGTGTGTGCATGCCAAACAAACAGAAAGCATACATGTTTGAAACTGTTTGTGTGTGGTTTAGAGACTCTCAAATAGGCACGACGAGTTTCTACACCCGACTGACAAAAAATAAGGCTCAGCTATCCACTGGCTAAAATCGAGTGGTTTTGTACAATGCATTTCTAAGCTTTTATGAAATATGTATTTATATATGGAGGAATTAAACTTGGAAGTGATCACATGAAACACAAGTTTCTTTCGCAGCCTAGTTCAGACCCTCCCTCAGTTACCTTGTTCATGATTGCGAGCAATTCACTCAGTACCAGACGGAGGCGACGAGGGGAATCACTGTGTTCGAACTCTAAAGCCAGACCATGTTGCAGCTGTGACACCAAGATACTCTCTCCATTTGCTCCACCTAACTTGTGCCTGTCAAAAATAAATTAGTGTTTCAAGAATTCTTCCATTATTTCTGCCCCATATCACTCAGAAGCTACAAAGATAGAGAAACAGCAGAATGGCGCATTTCTCTGCTTAAACACCTGGGAGCTGTTTGATAACAGTTCTAGCAAGCTGTATACAGTAGCAATATTTTATTATGGATGATATTTTATTTTTCCCCTTGTGACATCCACTATAAAAAGTCTTAGTAACTCCTTTTCTAACATACAGATGCAAAGCCTCAACACACCACTTTATGGATATCAGATATTTATACTCAGGTTGCTCAGTATTTAACTAGTGTTTTCAATACGTGCCTCAATTGTTGTTCTTTTGTTGCGTCCTGTTCCAGTGCATGAAAATCCACTGAAAGCAAAGCCACGATGGAGTTCACAGCCTCGACCCCGGACAGGAGCCGAAGGATGAGTTTCTTGTCCTGTGCCCAAGCCTGGCTTTGATCAGCTGGAGCACAGAGTGCCATTCTCACTAGGCAGGGCAACAGTAGTCGCAGCTCGGGATCACTTAGAGCAGCCAGCTTTACCACATCCACCTTCTGCATTGCTTCAAATGCAAAGGAACTCACAAACTGCAGAAATGCACACTCTGACATTTTGGTGAAAATACCTAAACAAAAAATAAAACCCATGAGATCCCATTTCAACCAGCACTGAAATGTTTCAACTGTGTAGAAGATTTTGGTTTTTAAACCATCACCAGCAAACTATTGTATAAAGGTCCAAAACATCTCATTTCTGTGCATTTTTACCTGACAAACTCGCTTGCTTCCTTTGTTCAGCGGCTAGACTATTTCAGGTACCTGTCCTATAATCGGCGGTCAGGCTTACAACCTCTATGTCCCACTCTCTGGATCCCCATCCCGGAGTCCATACAACTTCCCTCACCTCCTTCAAAGTGCCTTAATTCACCTTCACCCCTCCCATCCCCCTTCCGCCTCCCATCCAACCCCCCTCGGATCCAACCCCCAGCTCAGGTGCAAATGGTGGACTGTCCAGTACGTTGGGACATCCTCCTGACATGAAAAGCACGACATAAAACTTAAAAATTTGTTACCAATTTTGCTTTCACACGATCTTGCAGTGGAAATGTACGAGATATATATTTATATACACGCCTGACACGTTGGGACGGCTTGGGCTCGATGGACCGATTGGCGTTTATGCCGTTCCTTTTTTTCTGATGTCCCTCAAAACCTCAGGAGGCGAATTTCAAGACGGGTCGAGGAACAGCCACAAGTTGTGGTGTCACGGGAGGCGCAACTTTTAACGTTTAACTGATAGGCTCACTTTTCCTGATCAAGAGGATCGAATAGCGATTTAAAGCACTCAACTAACTTGCAGTGCTGGCAAACCCACCGATCTACATACACACACACACACACACATATATATATTAAAAGAAACAAGCCCAATTTGACAGCAGACGTGTATATGTGGAATCGGAGGCTCTGGGCTGTTGCAGACTGCAGAAACCTTTCAGCAACATCCGATTTGAAGTTTCACACCAGTCCCGTGGACAACCAGTGCTTTCTGTGCAGAGGTTTCGGACGCTTTTGTACGATTTTATGACACAAAGAGGGGTTTTGTGCTGTGACCTCTGAGGAAGCGAAGGGTCGGCGGATGGTGTGGAGCACAGACAACCAGGAACTGCCGGTGACTTCAGCCCATCCGTGTTGACGGTAACGCCGCAGACCTGACGCCCATTACCTTGACTGAAGAGACCAGAAGAAGAAAGTCTTTTTTTTTTTTGGGGGGGGGGGGGGGAAATAATCTGTTGAACGTTGGGGCCTAGAGCTGTGATCCGGTCCCCGGCCTCGCGTGCCGTCAGCAAAGCCCGGGCTCTCCAGGGCCGCGGAGCCCTCGCATTGGAGACGAGCGGCGGGGTTCAGAGGTCACAACCCGCCAGAGCCCGCCTCCCTCCCTCAGTCAGTCACTCTCACTCCCTCCCTCAGTCACTCTCTCTCTCTCTCTCCCTCCACCCCCCACCCTCAGTCCCTCACTCCTCCACCCCCTCAGTCACTCTCTCACTCCCTCCACTCCTCCCTCAGTCCCTCTCACTCCCTCCCTCCCTCCCTCAGTCACTCTCTCTCACCCCCTCCCTCCACCCCCCACCCTCAGTCCCTCACTCCTCCACCCTCTCTCACTCCCTCCACTCCTCCCTCAGTCCCTCTCACTCCCTCCCTCAGTCACTCTCTCAGTCCCTCCCTCAGTCACTCTCTGTCCCTCCCTCCACCACCCACCCTCAGTCCCTCCCTCCCTCCTCCACCCCCTCAGTCACTCTCTCACTCCCTCCACTCCTCTCTCAGTCCCTCTCACTCCCTCCCTCCCTCAGTCACTCTCTCACTCCCTCCTCCACTCCCTCCCTCAGTCACTCTCTCTCACTCCCTCCACTCCTCCCTCAGTCCCTCTCACTCCCTCCCTCCCTCCCCCACCCCCTCAGTCACTCTCTCACTCCCTCCACTCCTCCCTCAGTCACTCTCGCTCGCTCCCTCCACCCCCTCAGTCACTCTTTCTCACTCCCTCCACTCCTCTGTCACTCTCCCTCACCCCCTCCCTCCTCCACCCCCTCCCTCGGTCACTCTCTCTCACTCCCTCCCTCCACTCCTCCCTCGGTCGGTCGGTCAGTCACTCTCTCTCTCGCTCACTCCTTCTCTCCCGAAGGTATCTTTCACTTCACTCAGTCTCTCTGCTGTTCCCTCTCTCTCTCTCACTCGCTCCTCTCCGAGCAACCCCGCCCACCCTAGTTGCCATGGTGACGGACAGCTTCGCGGCTCCCTGTGTCCGAGCTGCTGATTGGCTGGCGGGCGTGCCGCAGCGGAAGGCGGCTCGCCGTTCCGAGCTTTCCCATTGGTCGCTAGCGTCCGTCCAATCACGTGCCCCGAGGGCGCCGATTGGCTGTCCCAGGCGGCGGTGGCTGCTGCGCATGTGCGGGGCGGCGGCGGCGGGAGAGAGACAGAGAGAGAGAGAGAGAGAGGGATTTGGGCGCAGTTTGAAATGAGAAAGTGGCCGCAGAGTAAGTAATGATAATAATAATAATACGGCGCCTCATCACGTCTTCCAACAGCAACAACGACAACTTGGATTGGTACAGCGCCCTCCACGCCGGACGGCGCCTCAGAGCGCTTCACAGTAATGGATCCCGGGCCCCGAGCCCAGGAGGAGGGGGAGGGCCCAGAGGGAGGGGGGAAGGTGACCAAAGGCGCGGTCGAAAAGAAAGGTCTTCAGCCGAGACCTGAAAACGGGAAGGGAGGGGGCGATGGGGAGGGGGAGGAAGGCAGTTCCAGAGCCTCGGGGCGCAGTGGCTGTGAACCCCTACACCGCCGAGGGTGGAGCGGAGGACTCGGGGGACGAGGAGGAGGCCAGACCCGGAGGAACGAAGGCAGCGGGTGCTGTGCTGAGGAGAGAGGAGGTCAGAGAGGTCGGGGGGTGCAGAGGAGTGCAGGGGCTTGAATGCGAGGGCGAGGGATCTTGAAGTCGATCCTCTCTGGGACAGAGGTCTCGAAGCGCTTCACAGAGTATACTGTATTTTGTGGGCGAAACGCGGCAGCCGATTGCGCACAGCGAGGTCCCCACAAACAGCCCTTGGGGCTGAAGTGACCGGTTTATTGTTATTTTTTGGAAGGGATTATTAGCCTCGGAAAAGCGTCCGGCCAGTCGACTAACAACAACAACAAAATGACATTTGTAGAGCGCCTTTCACGTCCCGAAGCTCTGAACGGTCAGGTGTCGGGGCCCGAGCATGGGGGACGAGGGGCGGTGTAGGGGTTCCTACTTACTGCTGCGCAAACAGAGATGCGCGTGTGCGTGCGGAGAGTAAGGAAACTTGCCCAACGTTTCGCCCTGCCGGGAATCGAGTTCTTGGGCAAGTGCTTTAACCACTGAGCTACAGTCCTCCATGATTTTCAGAGAAGCCGCAGGGCCTGCGTGGGCCTCAGAGAGAAACCATCTTGAACCCAGCTATTTATTTCTAGGTCTGTAGCGGGAACCGCTGTGAACCTTAAAGGCACAACTGCTGAACTTTCCAGAGAGAAGTGGGCTTGAAGCTACCTATTGATTCCTCCTGTTGGATATGAGAAGCTTGAGCAGCACTTGCTTACTCTACTGGATATATGAGCCACTTTGATATTGTAGAGGTGCAACTCAATACCATGTTTACTCAACACCAACTCTTTAATCTAGGTACTCATAGAGAATTTTGCAACTGGATGTGTCTGCCATGTAGCTGCCTTTTCCTCCACATTCTCAGCAACAAGTCAGTGTTGACCAGAGCCCTCCCTCCCTGCAGCGACCTCCTGTTTTCTACAAATCCAACTCATTGCTTGATTCTGGACATCATAAATGAGTTGGAGGAAGCCTCACTGCTGCATTGCCAGGAGCTCGGAAGAACAAAGGGGAACCGTTTGGACATGCATTTTGTATGCCCTAAGGTTAACCAGCATTTGGACTCCCTATAATTAAGGGGAGTGAGAATGATATGACTGCCCTTTACAAAGGATAGTTATACAACAGCAGTTGATGTCCACAACCCCTAGATATTAGAATGAATGAACAACTGGGCAAGGTGACATGCTTGTACTCTAGGGCACTACTGATGCATACTATCCAGCCTAGCTCATTGGTAGGACTTGGAACAGTAGGACTCATCATATTGCATATTGTTAAAATGTCTCAAAACACTTCTCAGTTTTCTGTAAAGTGGGCTTGAGCCCACACTAAGACTTCGAGGTGAAAGTGATATTAAAGGTGTAGGAATTTATTTGAATATTTGAATTATCTTGATAAGATGGAAACTATGCTGCTTTCTTTGCAGAATGAAACATTAAGCTTCAATGCTTTTGTGTATTTAACAAGTTAAAATGGCATCATCAGAGTCGGAATATACTATTGGTGGGGTGAAAATTCTCTTTCCATGCAAGGCATACCCATCCCAACTCGCCATGATGAATTCAGTAAGTATGTTTATTTCATACATTCATCTATTTGATCAAAGAGGTGAAGGGATTGAGGCAATGACATCCAGAGTTTCGGGACATAGTGGCTAAAAGTACGGCTGCCCAAGGTGGAGTGGAGGGTCGAGGTACATATAGAAGGTCAGAGCTGGCCGAGCAAAGTAGGTGGGTAGAGCAATGGGGTATGAGCAGATTGGCGAACCAGGGAGGTGCTAGGGCATGAAGTATTTGTAGGTGAGTGAGAATCTTGGAATCAATCTGTTCTGCGACAGGAAACAATGTAGATTGACATTGTGGAATACAATGTGTTGTATTGCTCTTTTTGGCAATAGCTTGGCAGCAGTTTCAATATGGTAAATGTTATTATTTGACTCCTTCCATCTTGTTTACAATGGAATCTCAATCCTTCCATCTCTATTTTTCTTCCAAGTTCCACCTTAAAAACTATCTCTCTGACTGCAACGATCGTCACCTTCCCCTTCCACCTCTCCGTTCCTGTTCCTTTGTGTCAGCCTGTGCCACTTTTAAAGCACTCCAAGACATTATTCTATCTGAAGGATACTATATAAATGCAGGTTGTTTTGGGAATTGAATTAATCATGCAATTGTGCAATTCAGCAATAAGGTATCATTTCAGTCCAAAGTATAGTGGTTCTGTGTTTCTTTTGCAATGGTATGTTTATCTCAATCATAATAGAAGTTATGCATTCATCTTATTTTCTTTCATGTTCAGATTATTCGAGGTTTGAACTGCAGGCAGCACTGCCTATTAGAGAGCCCAACAGGAAGTGGGAAGAGTCTTGCGTTGCTCTGTTCGGCACTGGCTTGGCAGCAGTCTCAATATGGTAAATGTTATTGTTTCACTCCTCCCACCTTATTTACATGTGGAAAAGTGATTGACTCCACGTCACCAAGATTGAAATTCCAATGGTGTTTAGGATTATAGAGTTACACATTCATCCTTCAATGTCTTGTCACTTTGCTGCATAAGCATTTTCGTACATGATAATCAGTTTTGTATTTTGCAACTCAGTACAGCACAATGGCATCCCTAGCACTAGGCAATAAAAATTGTTGCATGAAACATTTATTAATTGATGAGTAATTTGTTTTACACATCTTACAGATTTTGAGCTGATAGTCTAGACTCTAGACTGCCACTGCAATACAGTGCTGAGGACCCGCTGGATATTCAGATGTGTCCAGCGAGTAGGTCGAATTGTCTAGCTTGAATGTGATGAAGGTATTAATTAAATACCTTGTTTTTAATTAGAAAAAGCTGCAGCTGGAGATTCTTCAAGTGATTGCAAGAAAGAGGGAAGCACATCCTTGTGTAACTGCGACTGTCATGTGGCAAGACCATCTTCCGCTCAAACTACAGCAATCAGCCAAACAGCAGCAACAAGTCCAGATGCTTCAGCAAGTGCAAAATTCTCACCATATTCAGACCAAGGTAGCAATGTGTGTGTTGTCATCTACTTATCCAGCGTATATTTATAACATTTAATTTTCACAGGTTGGTGAGTCAGTAATTAGAGGACCTCACTTTAAGGATAGTTTACAAACAAGTGGGGAGAGGTAAAGAGAAAATAAAGAAGAATGCCTTAAATAAATAAGAGAGAACAGAAATTTAATTATCCTAAATTATCCAAAGCGAGAGAAAAAGGGCAAATTGAATAAAATATTAATTTCAGAAGCTTCGCAGTAACTTCAATTTCAAATGGCTTGAAATCCAAAGCTAATCTAGAGCAAAGTTCTCCATCTTACAACTTATTCCTTTTTTTTAAATACTAATTTTCAATATACTACCATTTAATTCACTCAAGTTTTTCCTTTGTCAGATGCTGATAATATTTCAAGGAATACTTTGGCTTCTAAATTACGTGCCAAGATGACAGCATCTTTAATTGTGGTCGATGATGATTTTCAAGTGGAAAAGAAGCGGATACGTGAGCCGTTGAATGACCCACCGGTATGAGTATATTTTATGCTATAAAGTAGAACATCATTATAACACAGAAGTTTGGAGATAAAATCCCATCAGGCCTGTAATACCATGCGATTGCTGGTCAGCACTTCCAGATTCATCATGCGTGTCCGCAGTGAGATTGCCTGGTTAATTTTTTATTGTAATGATGGGGTGTGATTTTTCAGGTGAGAAAGCGGAGGTGTTTTGAGCCAGGAATACTTTATATTGACGATGAAAGTGATGGGGAGAATGCAGGATCGCACAAATGGAATGTAGATTTGAATTCCAAGGCGCAGCATGTTATACCTTCGCCACAAATATCGGTAAGTTAATTAAAACATGACTTTATTGCTTTAAAAAATGCCTTTAATGGCAGGGCATTTACTAATACCAGCATCTTGTTAATGTATTCTGCGCATGTTGGGCAACACTGACACTCATACTGATTTTGGGTAGATATCCGGAACAACTTTGTTTCTAATTATAACACATATTTATAATTTAAAATAATTGTTAAATCCTACCACTTATTCTCCAGTTTAACTCTTGTGAGACAAATGTACATTTGGATACCATGCTACATGTAATTCTGTTTCATGGACTGTAGAGTGTGATGTTGTCCTACGATAGTAGACTTGGTTCTGCCATGCAGGACTCCACACATAATCCACATTCAAACAAACGTCTGTCTTGTGGGGTATTTCAGAAAAGTTTCTGAGGGACCACGGTTTGACTGGTGCTACCCACCTTCTTGTTTCCCACTCTGAAGAGCTTTGGAGAATCTTTCCTCCATGAAAGGTGCTATATAAGTGCAAGTTATCATTGTTGCAAGGATTATTGCTTGTTTATAGTGTCGGGCAGAATCGAAAGCACCAGCAGTAACGTGGAGACCAATGTTTCTGAATCCCAAATTAAATTTTTTATCCCAATTTTCGCCTACAAAATATACATTCACAACACTTTAGAGTATATTCTGTGAAGCGCTTTGAGACATCTCAAAGATGTGATAAAGCGATATAACAGATGCAAGGATTATAATATTATATTATAATTTCAGAAGAAATTAACAAACTGTTTTCATATACCAACCAATAATGTAGGTAAGGCAGGCTGATAACTTAACACCCAGCACACAAAACACAGTAGGATGGACTACTTACCCTTTCTGTTTTTCTTTGTTTCCAGAGGCAGGATTAAAATCCATCTTTAAAAACAACCTTACCTGTAGGCATTATAAATAAAACTGATATTGATTACCAGAGCATTGTTTGTAGGGGCTTCAGGTCCATATACGACCAGATGATTCAGACAATCTTTCAACTTATTAAAAAAAAGTTGAATTTAAGACTCTACAAACTCTCCAACTTGATCAGAACAACACTTTCCTTTACCCAGAGATTTTCTTTGGTCAGCTGCGTGTCTGGCACATACGTAAACTCATCACGCTTAAGAGTATCTTTAACCAACTGAGAGTTTCATATGTATGCCACCTTCTCATGGAAATTTCCCTATGTTTGGAATGAAATGTGTACTCTCTCCCTGGAGATTGGCATAGCTTACCATTTGGAAAAACTTTCTGTCTCACATCTAGGCTCAACTATGCAAGCTCCCTGCTTGTTGGCCTTCCCAACTTTTCCCTCGACAAGCTGCAGATCATTCAGAACTCTGCAGCCCGTGTCCTCTCCCACACCAAATCAGGAATATATAACGTATACATATATTTCATATAAAAAGATTTGTACACTGCAGATTACAATGTAGACATTGAGTTAGGTAACTTTGCAGGACGTAGCCGCAGCTGTACATCAGTTTCTTGTTTATCTGCTTATGTATACTTAAAATGTATAATTGCACAATGTAGAGCACAGACATTTATAAGAATGGAAACCCAGTTCTGAGGACTATAACAGCTATTGATGCATTTAACAATGTATTGAAAAGAATCTTGGTGTTAGTGTGGCAGTCTTATCACACAATGCTGTATTGCACAAAGTTTCCTTACAATGTTCATAATAAATTGAGAAGGACTTTAGTTACAAATTTCTGGAGACTGGCAGTCTGTTACAATGGAAGTCATAGCGGTGTCTGAGGGTAATCTACAGTGATGGGATGAAGAAAGTTGCGGATTTGTATTACACTCCCTCACCTGACACTGCATTTGATCCCTTTCCTGTTGATTGACATTTTGAATGGGCCCTTTGAAACAAGCTCCATCTTAATTAAAATGTTCACTAAGTTAGCTGCGATCAGTGAATGTCTGTGATAAATATTGAATCAAGTTCACCTGCTGGTTACAGAGGGTGCATAAACAGCTGCTTTGTGTCGTGTATCATGAGATCACCAGAGGAGAGCACCACTCTGTAAGAAAAGGAAACGAAAGAATAGATGCTGAGTGATAGGATTGCAAACTCACCTCACTTTTGATATCTTAGTCAGATGTGTTAGTGTGAGATTTCACACGGTGGGAATTCAGAACCCTGATCATTCAGATGCCTTTGTAACTGTATGAAGTGGAAAAAGTTTGTATTTTGTGGCACTCTTTCTCCCTACTCTATTTCACTTTCAATTAGAGTGAGAGAAAGACCTCGGAGAACATAGCTGTTATCTGTTAAAACGCAAAAGGAATAACATTCAGCATAGAGGACAATTGTAGACTGACCATTATTTTCTGCGGTCCCATTTGTTTTCAAATGGTTCAGGTTCCTGTAAGCTTTCAAAATCCTTTTTTTTAAAGAAGTACAAAAAATGGTAAGCAAACTCTACCTTAATGCATACTTACTGAGTTGCAGAGATGTAGATAGAGCTTTCCTTATATTTAAAAACTCAAAAGGTATTTATTTCATCCTTCACCAATAGAAAACTGTTTGCTACGCACCTGGTCTTTAGATAAGATAAAACATCATAAGTGACTAGCAGTATTCAGTAAATGAGCAGTGTGGAGACTGGAGCCTTCACCTTGGGTATGAAGAAGGGAGAGAGGCTCAGCTTTTATACTTTGGATTTACCATTGCTAGAGTATTTGATAGAATTAAAATGAGGGATGTAACAAGTCTCGCAATTTCAGCATCTGCACTTCATTGCCACTTGGGCCAACAAAGTCTCAAAGCTATGAAAATGCTGATAGAGATGGCAAGATTGTGAGAGGGGGGAAAACAGATTGTTATTAGATTGGAGCCTGGGAAAAGGACAATAAATAAGTGAAGTGGGCTGGAGTGAATCTGTCATCAATTTACATAGGTGCAAATAATCAAGCGCCGACTGACCTAGGCCAACAGTAAAATTGCTCAAAGTTTGAGGTGTGAAAGAACTTGAACATTGACATTGGTACAATAGACCGTGAAGCATTTTATAACTTCAACAGATGAACAGGAGTGCAGGCTGTTTGGAAAACAATGTTTATGATTGATATGATTAATCAAACAGACTCTTGTTAGGCTGGAGATTTCTCTGCTTGGACTGGATGGTTTCCATGTTTTTATCTTGCAAACATGATGCAGATATAACCACAAATATTGGACTCAAAAATCAAATTGAAAACGAAGAGCGACTTTATTGCTGAAATATTAATTCTATATAAATAACGAAAATAAACATTTAATTTTAATAAAATCTTCCTTCTCTTGTCCTTACTTTCTCATCATTCTCTTTGCCCTATTTTCTGTCTACTCTGTCTTAATTTTACTATTGTGCCCAATCATACCTTTTTTTCTCGCTTTTTCAAGTACATTAAAGTTGTACAGGGGATTCAGAGGAGATTTATTAGGATGATACCAGGGATAAGTGGTTTGGTTTATGTGCAGAGATTGGAGGAATTGAGACTTTTTTTGCTGGAACAAAGAAGGTTGAGTGGTGACCTGATAGACGTCTTCAAAATTGTGAGGAGTTTTTCTCAAGTCATTGGGAAGAAATTATTTCCACTGGTTGGTGAGTCAGAAACTAGAGGGCATCAATTTAAGATGGTTCGTAAACAAGCAAACTGGGAGGTCATGAGCATTGTTTTCACACACATTTAGTATTTAGGATATGAAATGTGCTCCCGGGAGCAGTGGTTGAAGCAGAATCCATATTGGCCTTCAAGACGGAACCAGACAAATACCTTATCTACAGTGGTATGGGGAAATGAGATTGAAAGGATTGATGTTGATTGGCTCGGATTCAATGGGCTTAATGTGTTGTAATTTTCTGTGGTTCTATGGAAAATCATGTTTTCATTGGCTGAAAAACAGTTTTAAAGGGGAATGGAAGAGACAAATGATTGTTGTTTGCACAGGGTTGGAACAACTCAACACTAGACGTTGACAAAATGTGCTGAAAGTGGCCAAGAAGAATATTATTCTCTAAACTGCATCATATTGATTGAATATAGCTACAACCAAATCACCACCTGGGATTTTTGACACAGGCAGTTGACCTCAGTGAATTAATATAGTTCTTTCCATCACAATTACTCCCTGCAGAAAACACTATTGCTATCTTTGGAAGAAACAGTATGGTATCTGGTATTAAAGGATTAGGAAAATTCTAATTCACTACAAATCCATAAGCACCATAGTGAAACAAAAGGGATTATAAAATAATTTCCGATTTCAATTCCTAATATAAACTCTGTTTGTTATTTTGGCACATAACATCATTATGCTTTTAGACTGAATGACGATAGAAGAGAATTAATTGTTTTTTCAAAATGCATAGCAAACAACAGAAGTACTTGTTTTGTTTCCTACCAAACTATTTTTGTGTTTGCTTTAAATTTCACAAGAGATGGTTAATTTTAATAATAATCAAAGACAGACACTGAACGATGTGCTGTGCAGTTTCTGCTGCGCCGTTTATCCCCCTCCACATCCTCGTCAAAAAGCAGCACATTTGTAGTTGAGTGCTGGATAGCTGCCTCCTCTTCTGATGAAGCCAATGATTGTTGGCTGAAATACCTCTCTGCCTGTTTTCTTTGGCAAGCTGGAGGGTGGGGAGTGGGAGGTTGTGGGAGTACAGTTTTTTATAACTAGTTTTATAACTAGCAAGTTTTATAACTAAGCTATGAAGTATACAAAAAGCTTCATTCACATATTCATTTATTATCAAAAACAGTAAGGAATAACTGTAATGGGCAGGGCTGCATTAATATATATACTTTAGAACTTTTTTCACTCTGGTCAATAATATATGAATAGGTTTCTTCTGTCTCCTGCCCCGCCTCCCCGGCAGTAAGTATTCATTCCTCCTTTCGAATGAGCACGGAGTAATATGGTGTTGAAGGGATTTTCTACACCTCTGACACCAGCGACACCCAAGATGATCTGGGATTGAAACAAAATATTTTTCACAGCATGTGATCAAATCAGTGGCTGGCTGCTGGCTTATACAGTGGATATACAGTGAAAGTTGCCTAAGAAATGGTGTTGGAAAAAAAACTGGTAAGAGATAAGAGCAGCAATCACAGATTCCAATCAATCATTCACAGGCTTGCTTTTTCTGAGCATAACTGCTCTTTTCAACATTTTCGGTTTATTTCGAATGGTAGCTCTTGAATCGAAAAGTTAAGTGGATGAATCTAATTTGAACTGAGAAATACTTCTACACTTAGGATTTGCATATTCAATTAATGAGCACTCAACATGTTTCCTGCAGCTTGTTTGAGTGTTTTATTGTCACAATCTTCCCACTGTTGAAGAATGGACAATTGAGAGCTTGCTGCAGTTTGCGTTATGAGCTGCAAGTACTACTACATAGGCATAAACTATGTCCAACATCTCTGCACATGTAAGGTATACCTAGGTGTCAGCTGTTTCCTGCCTAGCTACTGACAAGAGCCCCATTCATAATTATTCTTTTTATCCTTTCAATGAATAAGTAATTATTCAATATGAGGCAGGATATTTCGATCAGGCTATTTAGTGTACTAGTGTAATGCAACCTAATCTGCTGTTACTGGCAACCTGAGAAGAGAATGTTACAGTTCCTGAACTGATGTAATATTAGCTGCTTTCAAGAGCTGTTTATTTGGCACATCAGTGAACCTTTTATTCCAGTAACTGACAGCAGAGGATAGGTTGCATTTACCTCTATTCTTTCAAGTATTGTAATATTTAATGGCAGACAAGGTTGAGTGGAATGGTGGGTAATCTGAACTTGGTTTTCCACAGATCAGAGACTAAAAACAAGTTGATCCTTGGTATTGTTGTATAATACAAGCAGTGACTTAGAATTTGTTGCCGGAGAATGATTGAACTGGTTTAAGCTAAGGAGGAGTGTTTCTTTTCTATTTGAGTTTGTTGTAGTTAGAGATGGGCAGGACATCTCTTTGAGCACAAGGGCTGGACGAATGTTCTTGTCAGTTTCTGGTCACAGACCCAGTAGATGTTTGTGGTTCAGTCATATAGTGATAAGCATGTATTTAAGAGTTAGGGATTCAGTTGAAGTTGTTTAAATATGAAAGCAATATACATGTTGTATAGTGGATGACAAAACTCAGTGTTAGGGGGTGATGATTGTGAGACAAATTTTGTTAGTGTAAAGGAAATCGCCAGGAAAAATAAGCCATTTAATTGATTTATGATATTAAGGATTTTTTTTTGGTCAGTCGACTGATACCATACTTAAGATCACAAGATTGGTTAGGATGAAAAAGGCCCTTCAGCCCGTTTGAAAGGATTATCAAGACAAGGCGCCATGTAAATGTTGTTATGTTTCCGGAAGGGAAACACAAAATATTGCTCACGCAGCCCATGGATGTTTCTCAAATAGGCCATCCGGCCTTGGCAGTCAAAAGATTGGACCACCCTGATCCTATAATAACTATCCTCAGTGCTGTTACTCTTGGACTGATAAATGGGACGTGGACCAGAAATGCTTTGCTCTTTTCTCTCCCGCTGGGGAAGCAATCTTTCATTACTTAATGAATAAATGCCAATGTATTGTTGTTCTCGAGTCACGTTTTATAATTTCCTTTTTAAATTATGTTGTTTTTTTCTTAGCTTCCTAGCACCTGCACTCTTTGTCCTTGTGCTTGTACAAAGACTGGAAAAGGTGAGAACGTTGCAAAAAGGAAGCAGAAAGGTGAAAAAATGCATATCCCGAAAATCTTTTTTGGGACTCGCACGCACAAGCAGATAACGCAGATCACTCATGAACTGCGGCGCACAGCATACTCCCGTGTCAGGATGACAATCCTATCGAGCAGAGATCATACCTGTGTCCATCCTGAAGTGTCGAGCAGCCACAACAGGAACGAGAAGTGCAAAGAACTCCTGGAAGAGAACAGTGTAAGTACATGTTATTCAGTATTCAAAAGGCAAAATATTGCAGATGTTGAAAATCTGAAATAAAAACAAGTCGCTGGGATCACTCAGCAGGTCAGGCAGCATCTATGGAGAGTGGAAAGTGAGTTAAAAGTTTCAGTTCGATGACCTTTCTTCAGCGGTCAAATTCCAAAGCAAGGTCATTGACCTGAAACGTTAACACTGAATGTAATTTACTGTTTTGAGGAGTAGAAGAATGAATGAAGAGTTGGCTCAAAATAGGGGAAACTTTAAGGCCCATCTTTATGTGAACAGGGATATTAGGACCAATGACCTTATTTGAATCCAAACAGTGGAGCATCCAACAGATACTGTCAGAGTAAAAGTTTATTCATAGTGATGGAATGGAATAGGATGTTTCTTTGGCAATGTTTTTCTCTTTTGGAGAGCAACTGATATCAGAAAAAAATGGATAGACTGAAGTATTGAGAGCAGCTTTGGCAAGGAATCAGGGTGGTTCCTGTGGTGGGACAAGAAGAAAATCGTTAGCATTATTTTTCAATAAAAATTCTGGTTAGTGGCTCTAATTGCAGATTGACAGAAGTTATAAACAGAGATAAAGTTAGCTTGAGATACTTCACGATGATTAAAGTGCCATGAGAGAAAGGAATAATGTTTACGAGACAAGAGGATTTCTTTCACCTACTTAACTGATGCAAACAGACAGATCAAAGAACTGCAGCATGCGCTGATTATTCTTCTTGTGCTATTTCAGTTTGGGTAAAAGCTGCAATGTAAAAAATGTCTATTGCTAGTGACCTGAGGTTCTAACAAGCACTAAGAACCATCTATGTAATGTTTAGCTTTGACTTTGTTTTTACATTTCTGCTAACTGCCTGGTTTAGTTCTGTGGTTTGAATGGATAATCCCCTAAAAAAAATTGGTCACTCAATCCATGACTGTTTGTGGGACACTGCTGTGCATAATTGGCTGCCGCGTTTCGTCCACAAGTATACGGTCAATTCACTTTACAGTCTATTCTGTGAAGCGCTTTGGGACGTCGAGAAGATGTGAAAAGCGCTATATCAAATGCAAGGATTATTATTATTATCTGCCATGTTTCGCCCACAAATTATACAGTCAATTCACTTTACAGTATATTCTTTGAAGCTCTTTGAGACATCTTAGTGACGTGATAAGGCACTATATCAAATGCAAGGATTATTATAGAATCATAGAATCGTACTGCACAAAAAGAGGCCATTCGGCCCATCGAGTTTGTGCCGGCTCTTTGAATAGAGCAATTAATGTCAATCCCACTCCCCAGCCCTTTCCCCATAACCCTGCAAATCCGTCCTTTTCAAATACCCGTCCACCGAGTTTTTAAAAGTAGTTATCGAATCGACCTCGACCCCCTTTCAGGCAATGAGTTCCAGATTCGAACAACTCACTACGTGAAAACATTTCTTCTCACCTCCCCTCGGCTTCTTTTGGAGACTATTTTGAATCTGTGACCTCGAGTCACCGACACACCCATCAGTGGAAACAGTTTTTCCCTTTCTAACCTATCAAATCGCCTCATGATTTTTAAGACCGCTATTAGGTCTCCTCGTAACCTTCTCTGCTCCAATGAGAATAATCCCGGCCTCTCCAGCCTTTCCTCATCATCAAGGTCCCTCGTTCCTGGTACCATCCTCGTAAATCTTCTCTGCACCCTTTCCAATGCCTTAACATCCTTCCTGTAGTGTGGTGCCCAGAACTGGGCGCAGAATTCCAACTGAGGCCGAGCCAGTGTTTTACGTAGGTTAATCATAACCTCCTGACTCTTGTACTCTATGCCCCTATTTATAAAGCCTAGTATCCCATATGCCCTTTTTACAGCTTTATCTACCTGTCCTGCCACCTTCAAGGATTCATTTACCTGCACCCCCAGGTCTCTCTGTTCTTTTACCCCTGTTAAGATTGTATTACCGCCTAATGGCCTCCCCTCATTCTTTCTACCAAAATGCATTACTTCGCATTTCTCCACATTGAAACTCATCTGCCATGTGTCTGCCCATTTTACCATTCTGTCTATGTCTTCCTGCAGTTGGCTCCTATCCTTCTCACTGTTTACTACCCTACCTAACTTTGTGTCGTCCGCAAACTTGGAAATGGTACTTGCTATACCCAAGTCCAGATCATTTATGTATATTAAGAAGAGCAGTGGTCCTAATACCGATCCCTGGGGGACACCACTGTACACTTCCCTCCAGTCAGAAAAGCAGCCGTTCACCACAACTCTCTGCTTTCTGTCTCCCAGCCAGTTCTGGATCCATACTGCCACTGTCCCTTTTATACCATGGGCTTCTATCTTTCTTACAAGTCTTTCATGTGGCACTTTGTCAAATGCCTTTTGAAAGTCCATATAAACTACATCAACTGCACTACCTTTATCCACCCTCTCCTTTGCCTCATCGAAAAATTCTATTAGAGAATATTAGGTTAGAGAAGATTTGCCTTTAACAAATCCGTGTTGGCTGTCCCTAATTAACCCATATTCTTCTAGGTGAAGATTTATTCTGTCCTGGATTATAGTCTCCGGGAGTTTCCCCACTACTGATGTTAGGCTGACTGGCCTGTAGTTCCCAGGTTTGTCCTTCTGTCCCTTTTTGTACAGGGAAGTCACATTGGCCACTCTAGTCCTCTGGCACCACTCCTGTGTCCAACGAAGATTGAAAAATTGTAGCCAAAGCATCCGCTATTTGTACCCGTACCTCCCATAGTAATCTTGGTTGCATCTTGTCCGGACCGGGCGATTTATCTACCTTCAGCGCAGTCAACCTTTTCAGTACTTTCTCTCTGTTTATACTTATCCTATTCATTTCCTCTGCCCTCTCCTCGGATACTGCGGCATTTGGTGCATCCACTTCTTTTGTGAAGACAGATGCAAAGTACTCATTCAGCACATCAGCCATGCCCTCTGCCTCCACAAAAAGATTGCCCCCTTGGTCCTTAATTGGCCCCACTCTACCTTTGACTAACCTTTTATTCTTGATATGCTTGTAAAATATTTTAGAATTCCCCTTAATGTTACCTGCTAACCTTTTTTCATATAATCTTTTTGCCCCTCTTATTTCCTTTTTCAAACCTCTTCTGCACTTCCTATATTCTATTTGGTTGTCTTCTGTATCTTGGGTGTGTCATACGCCTTTTTCTGCTTCATTCTAGATACAATTTCCTTTGTCATCCAGGGAGGTTTGGAAGCCCTACTTTTCCCTTTTGTGGGAATGTATTTATTCTGTCCCCGAGCTATCTTATCCTTGAAGACTTCCCACTGTTCTTTAGTTGTTTTACCTGCCAAGCTTTCTTTCCAGTCCACCTTGGCTAGGTCCCTTTTTAACTCACTGAAATTTGCCCTCTTCCAGTTGAATATCTTCACCTTAGATGGTTCCTTATTATTATTATTATTCATTTCTATAATGGAACAAAGGTATTTGTTTTAAAAAAAAGAAGTTGACATAAAGAATGATTTTATACACTACAGCTTTGTTTTATTTTTTGTTCCTCTGAAGTTTTATTACTAACATGTTTATCTAATTTATTTGCTAATAGATTATAGTCCTAACGAGTACTAACTGTACCTTGTTCTGATATAAACTGCATAAGTAATTGCAGTCAGTTTATACATTTTAAATTCCTATGCCCTGACTCCGGGAATCTTATTAAAGAATGGAAACTGGCGTGGGCATTAATAGAAACTTGTAACGCAGAGTTTACACATAATAAAAGGCAAGGAGTCGTTGGATAAACCTCCTTGGGGACTGGGAATGGGAGAAGTGTCTAGCAGACCACTCTGTACAATTGGATTGTAGTCAGATACTGTCATTGTTGTAACGTGAACCATGTTAGAGTTTACCTTTTAAACAGACATGTTACCACAGCCTCAGGGTGCAATTAACATGAATACAACCACTCTATCACTCTGAGGCGTGTTATTATTCAAGTCAGAACTACAGAATTGGTCTTTTGCTTATCCGATGTAATCGAGCATTTATTTTATGCATTCAGCAGCTTCAGCGAAGAGTGTAATTGTAATGATCAACATGACACTGTAACTGTTGGTGGTTCTGTTTAGAAACAGTGTATTATCCTTACAGATAAACAGATAGCTGTCAGTTTGTGATTGAAAGGATGTTAAAGAGGTGTTTACTTAGGAAGGAGTAGGCCATTCAACCCCTCGAGCCTGCTCCGCCATTCTATGAGTTCATGGCTGGTCTGTACCTCAACTCCAATTATCTACCTTTGCTCCATATCCATTGTAACCCTTACCTAACAAATATCTATCCACTTCAGTCTTGGAAATATGAATTGATCCAGGATCCACAGCCTTTTGGAGGAGAAAGTTTCAGATTTCCACTATACTTTGTGTGAAAATGTGCTTCCTGATTTGGCTCTAATTTTAAGCTCCACAGTTAAGATTATATTTTTTTAATTACAGGGGAAATCGTGTCTTTACTTTCATGGTGTCCATAAAATGAAAGAACAGAGTAGTTTACAGTGTGTTCATGGCCTGCATCTCGCCTGGGATATAGAGGAGCTATTGCGTGTTGGAAAGAAAATCCGTGCGTGTGCATACTTTGCAGCTCGGGAGCTCATGCAAGACGCAGATATTGTGTTCTGTCCGTACAATTACCTTTTGGACCCACAAATAAGAGCGAGCGTAAGTCCCTTTTTAAAACATTTCTTCATATGATTTAGTCATCCTCACAAAACTAGCAAAAATGTCTATTGTGTGGTGCTTTAATATGTTCTTCTTTCTTTACATTCCCATGTTTATTTTTTTTGGCCGTTTTGATAGATGGAGATTCAATTGAAGGATCAGATTGTCATTTTGGATGAAGCACATAATATTGAGAACTGCGCACAGGAGTCATCTAGTTTTACTGTCTCACAAAATCAGTTGCTGTTTGCTCGAGAAGAACTGGACAGCATGGTCAACCATGACATCAGGAAAACTGACCATGAACCACTGCGTGCAGTCTGCTACAGTTTCACCAAGTATGTCAGAGCAATGCAGTTTACTCATGACAGATTTTATCTAAATGAAATGAACACTGATAGTACTGAAGTGAACTGTTGATTTATACACTACACACTAGCTGTGAAATCGCAGCAAGGGAATGGTTGTTTGCAAATTGGTTGCCCTGTACTTATACGTAAGTCACTATACTTAATATCAACTACTGTGAAGCTTTGAGATGTGATAAGGCGCTATATCAAATGCAAGGATTATAAAACTAATCTAATTTCATCAATGAGAACAACATTCGTAAACTGTATAAGATTTGCTGTCTATGACATCCTTTGAAGTTCTTGCTGAGATTACTGCTGAACCATGCAACTTCTTCACATCTTGACAGTCTAACGAACAGCTAATGACTCATTCCTTAATCCTTCATCTATCTACATTAACAATCAGCCTAGATCTAAGTGGAATATTCACATTTCCATTGCTAAAAATGCTTTCTAGCTTGTCTTCCTCTTTCTGCAACTCTTAACTACTTATGCAGCTTAAGTCCATCTGAGACAGTGGTAGTCAACCAAATATATTTTTCTCTGTTGAATTTTTCTTCATTCATGGCCACAACATGGGTATTGCAGCTGGGTAGCTACTGAAACTTTGGCACAGACTTGCCTGGACTTATGTTCTTGTTTCTCTTTTAGGAATAACACTGTGGGATATAGTACATCTGTAGTTTTGGACATGTGTGCATGCGACTGACAGGAAGGTGGAAGGCAAACTAGATGGACCTTGGTCTTTTTTTCGTCTAGCATTTCTTATGTTCTTATGATTGGTGCGGGTATTTGAGTGACCATTTCTTGGCGTTCCAAAAATTGATCGATTAGTTGGGGACTCCCGATCTAAAACTTGAATGCCTCTCCCATAAGCACACCGCCTCTCTCGCAGTTCTGAACACCATGCTAGAAAGTGAGCATCATCCTTTAAATTCTCTTCCCCATTTGTAACCTTTCTTCATTTTCCTGCTTTTATTGTAGTTGGCTTAAGGAGAGCTCTGGCACTCTAGTGGAGAGAGAATATGAAACATCCCACAGGGTTTGGCATGGGAAGGAGATGCTGAATGTTTTTCACAGCTGGGGGTTAACAAGTTCTACATTTCCCATTTTACAGGTGAGTTGAGCGTCAAATAGTTGAGTATCAAGACTTCATTAAATTTTGGGTGTATTGCATTGTGGTTGGTGTTGTCCATCGAATGTGTATCTTGTAGGCAAATATTGTAGGCAATCTTTACAGATGTCTACAATGGATGCTGCCTGACCTGCTGCGTAGACCCAGCGACTTCTGTTTATATTACATTAAGATTATTTATTTAAGGTTATTAAAAGTACTTTATGGATCAGAGGGCAAAAGCTGTATCTTTCTGGGTTTCTTTGTCATATAGTGCTATGCTTGGAATGTTTAATGTTGTTGTTCTTCCAAACAAGTAATATGAATTACCTTTTGTTCAGAAACACCTGGCTGCTGTGATAGAAAAAGAAGAGAAAGTTATTACAGTGGATAGGCGAGAAGAGTTAATAAAGCTGCCTACTGTAAGTGCTCCAACACAGATGGTGTTGAAAGGACTCTTTATGGTGCTTGATTTTCTCTTCAGGGATTCCAGCAGGTAAGATTGATGTGTCTGATTTTTTTAAAGAAAAAACTTGTAAAATTGTAATTTATGATGTAATTTAATTATATCAATTTTAGATAGTTCTGTGATTATCTACAAAGTTGTAATAATGGAGTGAGTAGGATTATTATTTTTTTAAAAACGGTGATAAAAATGATCAGTTTGTGGAGGAAACTAGGTTGCTGCGATAATACAATTATGATTTAATACTATTTATCATTTTGGTGAATTGTTCTCTTGACCCTTAAGGTTTGCAGATGACTATAGGGTGGCAGTATTACAGACTTATATGTGGACCAACCAGCCAGATCTCGCTGATGAAAATGGTTTTTTTGCACGTCCACGGAATAGAAGAAAAGCACGGCAGAAAACGTCTGTCTTAACGCTGAATTTTTGGTGTCTCAACCCAGCAGTTGTGAGTAGATGAATCCAACAGAATAGTGTCATCTTTTCAGTAAGATACATTGATTAAAATTATTTAATTTTAATAGATGTAATAAGAACCTTGTATCCTATTGTTCGTTTATTAATTAATTTTAATTTATTCATTAATTCGATTTTAATTTACTCTATTGTTAGTTTATTAATTAATTTATTAATTGATTAAAATGATTATTATTATCGTCAGAGTCAGTCGTGCTACCAGCACGTTATCCAAAAAAGCACTTTTAAGAAATCTGAAATCTTGAACATGCTAGAATATATTTAAAAAGTTACATTTCATAATTATTTCGTTTTTAAATAATGCCCGAAACCTGATCCAACTGCTACTGTTGTTCACGAAAGTTTGTAGTATTACAATCATATTTGGCAGTAAATCAAATTGATTTTGTCTCTCTTGCAGGCTTTTTCAGATCTTAGTGGTAGTTTAAGGACCATTGTCCTGACATCAGGAACGTTATCCCCTATGGAATCCTTTTCCTCTGAACTTGGAGTGAAATTCAGTATCCAGCTGGAGGCAAATCATGTCATTGACAAATCGCAGGTAACTGGACACCAATTTTCAATGATTTTTTTAACAGAAATTTCAGTGATCAATTTACCAATGACGACTTGAAACTCTGCTAGCTGTTGTAACATGGGACCACTTTATTTTTTCTATAGGTGTGGGTAGGAACGATTGGGTTAGGACCAAAAGGTCGGAAGCTCTGTGCCACATTCCAGCATACAGAGACATTTGAGTTCCAGGATGAGATTGGAGATTTGCTACTGCACATCTGTCAGACTGTGACTCGGGGAGTCCTCTGCTTTTTGCCTTCATACAAGGTAACACACAATTTAAATACTTTACTGAATTGGTGTGGGTCGATAAGCCTTCTTCACCCAAACCAATCTTGCAATCTTGTGATACATTAAATTGAGAAAAGGACAAAGGCATGAATCAGGGTTTGGTGATACATCATTTGGAGTGAGATAGTGGGAGAGTTGAGACACCTCAGTAATTTGAACTAAAACCAACAATTACAGTGAAATGATTATAATTGAATGGTGATAAAACGCAACCTCTCTGGCCTGTCACTCAGACTTACTGAACCTGTGCGTAAGCTAGGCATTGGGTTTGATTCTCCAGCTGTCCTTCCAACCCAACGGCTGCTTTTCTCCACCCCTACTACTTTGTCCGCCTATGACCATACCTCACACCCCATGCAATTTTGCAATTTGTGTCCATACACTTGTACCAGACTCCGCACCCACATCGCCTCAGTCCTTGCCAGGCTCCAATGGCCCCCTATTGCAAACAGATTGATTTCTTCATGATTCATTCCTTACCATCGCCCTACCTCTCCGACCTGTTTACACCCCACTCTGCTACCAGCCTTCTTCGCTCAGCTGGCTCCTGCTTCCTACATCCGCTCAGCCACCATAGGTGGTTGTTCTTTCAGCCACAACGCTGAAATCAGATCCCACCTGAAGGCCTTCTCTTTGACTGTACCTATGGTCACCTTCCCTCTCTTCCCCTATTTGGCATGAAGCTCTGTCACTGTTAAATGCTCCAAACCCTACCCCACAAGAAGTTGTTGTTTATAGGACATTGCTGTGTGCAAATTGTTTGTCACATTTGCCTACAAATACCACAGTCACTACACTTTACAGTATGTCCTGTGAAGTGCTTTGAGATGCGTTCCTGATGTGAAAAATACTAAATCAAATGTAAAGATTATTATTGTTATGAGTTTTTCGAACTGTTGGACTGAATAAATTACTTAGATAATTTGACATTTATAATGGATGAAGAATAGTGTTAAGTTAACTGAGTCAAATGACCAGCTACTGTTCAAGATGTAATATGACCTGATGGAACCTTCAGCAAGCTTCTCGTGTGTATTGTGTGCGGTGTAGTTTCTAGGAAGTTCCATCAGATGGCTGCAGAGGCCAAGTATTCCCAATTACCGGAGATCGAACTTTATTACTGAAAGTACCTGTCAATGTAAATGACAGAATATTGATAATGTTGAAATGGTGATCCACTTTAGTGAAGCTCTTTTTTAAAAAGAAAATTAGTGGAAAAAATACGTTATCCACAATGATCTTGGTGGGTAGTCAATCTGCAACCACCAACCCAACTCCCCCAACTCCTCAGCGAGTTCATTTAATGAACAGCTGAGCCATGCAGACCAGGTAGGTCGCAGGTTCAATCATTAGTCTTTATTAAATTCGTTGACTTTAATCAGAGCGGAGATACAGGAGCTCAAACAGGTCTTAGCCCCCCAGAAAATCAGTAGCTCCAGCTTTTCTCTTCCTCTTCCTCCACCCCCTCACTGATTGACAGCCCGGAGCTGCTTGTGAATGGCTGGAGTCCGCTGTCAATCAATCGCAATTTGATTCCTTCCCATCCATCCGCAGCCACTCGTGGCAAATAGGTTGGCAGAAGCAGAGGGCTTCAGGGTGGCATTTTGTCTGGATTAAACCCGCATATTAAATACAAATGTAAGAATACAATTCAATCGGGGCTGGGCATTTTATCCGATTTACCAGGTGTTTGTGGTTAACTGGTGTCCGGTTAAAGCGGCTCCCACTATATCTTCATTTTGAATCTATTATTTTTCAATTTATTTGAAATGTGAGTGGTTGGGTGACCTTGCCAGAATTTTCCTTTCTTTTATGATATAAACAAATGGTCTACATTGTCTTAAATAGATATTGCGAAGAAGAATGTCCTCCTGTTCTTCTCACTCCACAAAACACTTAAGCTTTTTGTGTATCAGATTTCAAATGTTAGTGTGCTTATAGGGTACCATTGACAAAAACATTATCCTGCTGTGTTTATTATGCACTTTGTATGAATTATTTATTTGCATTTAAGATGTCTATCAGCATTAGAGTTGAGTGGGCTTTGTAACATTCTCAAATAACTGTTGGGAATCAATAAAGAGGTCGAGGCAGTTACAGTAACGAATCAGGTTGCTGATAAACCACAGAATCAACAATTTGTTAACTGTTGTCCCGCTAAATAAAGTGTTACTTAAATCTTGCTTTTATAGATTGTATTCATTAATTAAGACTTTCAGTCTTGAATTACAAATATATTCATAATTTGTTTCATTTTTTTCCCCTGACCACACGGTGTGTAAGTGTTGATTGATGTCACCATACTCTGATCCCCAACTGATCATGCTCAGAAACTGTTTGTTTGGTTACTAAACTACTCTTTGTCTGCAAAGTAGCTCAATTACATCCCAACTTATTTGGAAATTGTTGAGATTTAAATTTATTTTTTGATGTACAGATTTGTTTTATGTTACCCTATGTAATATAAATATGAATCTCATTTCTTTTATTGAAAGTGTCGATGACAGAAAAAGCCTAAGAAGGGTTTTATGAGTAACATTACTAAATGTTCCTTCCATCAATTACCATGCAGAAAATCAACATAGAAACAACAACAACAAATTACATTTGTACAGCGCCTTTCACGTAGGGAGGACGTCCCAAGGCCCTGAATCGTATGGGATTCGGACCCAAGCTGGGGGTTGGGATCAGGAGTGGTGGAGGGCAGGGAGGGTGGGGTTAGGACTGTGACCAAAGGTGCGATCGAAGTGGAAGGTCTTGAGGTGGTCCTTGAAGGAAGCAAGGGAGGAGGTGAGGCGATAGGACTGTGAGACAGAGATTGATTTGGGAAGTAGATGGATTGCGAAAGGGCCATTGGGATTAAAAGATCTGTCAAAATCTAATAAATTGGTGGGACAGGCTCAATGTGCTGAATGGCCTCCTCCTGTTCCTCTTTTCCTACGTTCCTAAAACCTTTGAGTTGGTTCTTATCATGCTCTTCCATTTCAGCTGGAATCTATTCTGCAATATAAATGGGCAGATTCCATCACGTACGAACTTTGGGAGGCAGGGGAGTGAATAGGGCTTTACACATGTCTGATACTATCATTGTTCACAATAAGGGTAGATGGGAATATACGAGCACAATATGCAGGAGAAATGAGCAAGATTCTTCAGTATTCCAGATGAACATGTCTGGCAAGCAAGAGCTCTGATCATTATCATCTGTTATAAACTGGAAGATGATCACTGAATGGAGAATATAACACTTTCTAAGGTATTCAAAGAAAGCACTTTAAAACATGTTTGCATCTGATTCATAATGTTACTGCAGCATTATTAAAACAAAATGTTAAGATCGAGTCTTTTCCAGAGCTCTCTGAAGTTGATAAAATTCTATATATATTCAATCGTGACGTCATGATGAAATGTCCGTATAGAGTATTGTTGCTTTGCTTGTTAAACCGTTTAATACTATGAATTTTGCATATTTTTTTAAAAAAGACTAATTTGTAGAAAGAGAACGAGAGTGTGTGTGTGTGTAAACTTTGTCATCCGCATTGCTAGGAAAGGAGTGTTCAAAACTGGAAAGATCACTCAGAAATCCAAGATGCTTTTACCCAAGATCAAGATAAGGACCATTAGGGTTTGTGTCGCCGCCCTGTCTGCATTAAGATAAAAACTGGCGTGGCGCCTAGCACTGGGATGATCCATTCAATATGTGTCATATCAAAGTGGAAGCCTTCAGCAGACAGAAAAATGCTGGCATGGATAAATTTTAACAGTGCCTTCCCGAATCTCTTTTTTTTTTGCCTTGGTTTTGTTCTGCAACAAAGGCTTACAACCTAATAATTTGTTTGAATGTATACTTTGGATTTATGGGATAACGAGCCAAAAGAATTCCCTTCATACTGGAGTTTTAACTCCTAGCACTTCATATTTATTATTAATGCAGTGCCCCAGTAATGCTTACAGGTTTAAGTTTCACATCTGTATATTATTCCAGAATCTTTGTTTATAGATTAGAAATGATGAAAGCTCTTGGGACATTGAACTTTACATTTCATGCCAGAAAGTCCATTACTAATTATAATATTTTTTAATAGTGAGGTAGTGAAATCGTTGCAGCATTTTTGTTTGGATGCATGTTTTTTGGATTTTCCTTGTTAAAAAGTAGCAGGCCTAGTAATGATATCACTGTATGAAAAACGTAAGTATCAAGTCTAGTCATGCTTGTTCATGAGGAAAACCCAGAAGAAAAACATTGAAAGATTGGTGTAAGGGAAAGGGCTTTTAGATCAGTGTTCATCCCAAAGGATTCCTTTAACTCATGCACATACACGAGAGCTGAAGCAGTAATGTTATGGTTGGTTTAAAGCGAACGGAAACCTCAGCGCTCCCAAATAAAGAGTAAAATCAAAATAAGGTTAGTGCAGGCTACCAATATTAAATATTGAGTTTTACTCATTGAGCTATCCCAGTATAAAACAATTCTATGTAAAAAAAATTAATGGTTATTCAATCCACGACTGTGGGACACAATCGGCTGCTGCATGGGACATTGCTGTGCGCGTGGGTTGCTGCATTTTGTCCACAAAACACACAGTCACTACTCTTTATAGTAAATCCTGTGACCCACTTTGAAACATCCTTCTGATATTTTATACGTTATATATACACAATGTTTTTTATGTGTGTGTATATGTACGTATATATTACAACAACTATCATTTATATAGCGCCCTTCATGCACGGTAGAATATATAAAAATATCAAATGCAAGGATTATTATTATTTTGGTAGTTGTTTCTTTGGGACAGACAAACTAACAATGTTTGGTTTGTGGACTCCATTTATATTTATAGAAATCATTCTGAATCTCTGGAGGAGTCATTCAGCCTTTCATCTGTGGCAAGATTATATTTTGCTTTATTTTATCCTCCTCATTCTAGTGATGAATAGCACAGTAACAATTTCAGCCAGGAGTGGACTATCAGTCCATCAAGTCTACTCATCCAAGTACGAGTATAGAATATTACACAAGGTAGTTTCCATACATCAATATGGTTTTGTATTCATGAAACAGCTTTTTAAAAAATGTCTTATTTTTGTGAATGTTGGACCGCACGAAAGGCGACCATTCGGATCATTTCCACTTGGAAATTCTCAACTGAACCATCGGGGAAGCTGGATTCATGTAAATAAACTCCAAGAACAACATTAGCCTGTATGAAATATTGAAACAGTTGAAATTTATCCTTCTCCATGGCCCCTAATGCGGGCTGACCATACTTCGTTGACTCCCTGATCACCCACACTCTGTCTTGGTGTGTGCACTCTGGCTACCGCCCCTGACCTGAGTTGTTTTTCCCCCATCCCTGTCCTCTACTCCCACTGAGCCAGTCCGGAGCCTTGATGTCTTGTTTGACCCTCAACTGTCCTTTCTACCACACATCCGTGCTGTGACCCGCTCTGCCTTCACCCACCTCCGCAACATCGCCAGTGGGGTTGGGGAGGGGGAAACAAACGGAGGGATGTTGTCCCTTGCACCCAATTAATCTGATGAGCACTCACATTCCTTGTATAGGAAGTAAATAGTTTTGATGTTTTAAAGTATTGGAATGGCACCAAAAGCATACAATATGTACCACTGTATTGGATGTTTTAGGCAAGGTATGGTTTATTACTATTTCATATTTTACGTAGTGTTAATTTAAATATTCATGCATCGAGTCAAAACATATCATCTAATGTGCTTGTGATGTGAAGTCAAAAGGTTTTGGGTTGACTGAACAAAAAAACGTCAGACCGAGACCATGTGCTCTCCTCGTGGGATGTTATTAAACATTGACTTTTTGAAACATGGGCAGTGTTTGCAAATGAGAAAATAATTGCTGCTGGTAAAATGCCAACACCCTATGGCTGAAGAGCGATTTTAGATGGCTTTGAAATTTAGTTTTACTGTTGGTGACTTGAGGCTTTCTGGGAGCATTTGGTTCCAATTTTGATGTTTTATTGAACTTGTTTAAATGTATTGTTTTAATTAAGTGGCCAACTAATTCAAGCAGTGGTTACCAACCTGACCATTGAATTTTGTGTGATAGGATTGCTCGTGTCAGAGTTGTCTGTGCTGCGCAAACAGCTATGAAGTCGTACACAAAAAAGTTGTGACTTCTACTGGAAAAACTCTAAACTTGCCCTTCCTCTCCAAAGTCCTTGAACTCGTTGCCAACCTAATTTGCTCACACTTTTCCCTTCTACTTCCTTCCTGATCGAGCTTCTCCAGGCTGGTTTGCCTCTGTCCCCAGTACCAAGACAGTGTTCGTCAATAGTCACAAATGGCTTCCACTCCCTCTTTCTCTCTCTCTCTGACCCAACAAAACAACAAAATTATATTTGTATAGCGCCTTTCACGTCAGGAGGACGTCTGCATCCTTGTCCTCCTGGACTTCTCTGCTGCCTTTGACATAATCGATTGTGCCATTGTCTTGACAGCTTCTTCTCTTCCTACACCAACCCCCCCTCCCCTCCAAAAAAAAACATAGCACCTTTTATGTCAGGAGGATGTCCCAAGGCGCTGACTCAGCTGCTTTCTCAGTGGGACTGCACTCTTCTGGTACAAGCCCTACTTGACCCCCTGTTATCACTGCATCTCTACAAATGATTTCCCCCTTCCTGGCAAAATTTGAATTGTATTTGTACTGTATTTCAGTATATTGTGGTGGAAGGAATATCTTGTTATTCACTCACATATTCATCTACTAAACAAATTACAGAGTGTGGAATAATACCTCCTGACTGAATAGAGTCTTGGAAAGAAAAACGCAGTTTAGCCAGTCATCGTTGGCAGGCAGACTCTGTACGTTACAAACAAGCAGAAGTCAAAGTGAATGCAAGTGAGGCGTGTGATGATGGATGGCACTTTAGTATCTCTGGTTTTACAAAAGAAACATGTTATTAATGGAATATTGAGCTGATAGCACTTAACTGCTTGCAAAAAGTGCAGTGATGATGCTAATGTGGTGATCAAAATTATGAGGGGTATTGATAGAGTAGGTAGGGAGAAGCTGTTTCCTCTGGCTGATGGGTCAGTGACTAGAGAACACAGGCTTAAGATAATTGGCAAAAGAACCAGAGGGGAGACGAGACTTTTTTTTACCCAGCGAGTTGTTAAGATCTGGAATATGCTGCCTGAAAGGATGATGGAAACCGATTTGATATTAACTTTCAATTGTAATTAAACTGCTTGATGAATTAAGACACATGTAGGGAATAATTCACTGATTGCAAACTTACAATTTATTTATTTAGCTTAGGCAAAAGTAATAATGCATTTATGTACATTCAATAATTTAAAATATTACTCAACATATTTCACCCTAGAGTAAATAAGGAACGTTAGTAGAATCTAAGCATCGTCGATAAGAATTTATTAATCCAAGTCAGTTTTACTATTGAAAGGTAGATCTCCCTGTTGTACAGGTTTGACCTTTTGGTTTCTAAATGGGAGATTTTTGAAATGATTCAACACACAGCAAGAAATCAATGACGTTTGCCTTTGACTGACTGCACTCACAGTTTAATGACCTGACTGGAAAGCTAGTGGTCTGTTGAGAAATGCGCCTTTTCTGTGTTCTTGTGTTAGTGGGAGGCTGTCCAAAAGCGCTTCGTAGGTTATGCTGCAAACTATGTTCTGTGGGAGAGTCCGGTAGCTAATTTGTGCACAGCATTGTACTGCAATCAGCCGTGAATTGAATGACCAATTTAGGGGATTATTGGCGAGGACACCAGGAGAGAAAAATTCCCATCTCATTTTGAGTTGTGCCATGATATTTGTAACATCTACCTGAACAGGTTTAATGTCTTATCTGATAGACAGGGCCTCTGACAGTGCAGTGCTCCACAAGCACTGTACTGGAGTGGTCATCTGAGACTACATGAGTTCCAATTCCCAATGTGGGGCTTGAACCCCAAATCCTTCGACTCAGAGGCGACAGTGAAGTATGTTTTGAACTTTGGAAAGAGTAAAAGTGACAAGCGATGCGTATTGTAAGAGGGTCTAACATTCCATCAAACTAATTTTTGTAACCTCTTTGTAGCTCATTAATGACCATATACGCATTCCCGGGCAGTGTGAAACCTTAGCCAAGTTTCCTTACTCCACATGCCTCTGTTTACCGAGCAGTAACCTTAGTTGTTAGTCGATTGGCGGATTGCTTTCTGTGGGTAACAGTACCTTTACAATATAAAATAAATAATAATAATTTTGTTCACTCAATCCACGACTATTTGTGGTTCACAGCTATGCGCAATTGGCTGCAGCGTTTCTCCCACAAAATATATAGTCAATCCACTTTACAGTATATTCTGTGAAGTGCTTTGAGAAGTCTCGATGACGTGTTTAGGCGCTATATCAAATGCAACGATTATTAGTATTATTTATTTAGGAGCAATGAACATGGCTGGTAGAAAGAACCATAACTGAGTTCTGAACCATATTAGCTGATTTTAAGCACTGATTAACCACTTCTTGAGAAAATATGATGGAACCAAATTTACTTAATAAAAGGGAAGATTGAGAATAAATTGAGTGTCTGCCATTTTGTTTTTCAGAAACAAGATGTGTTGCACTGTCAGCACAACACCTCATTAATTGATGAAATTTCTTAACTTTTAAAGGGACTGTCATCGTCTCACAGAAAGAGAGACAATAACTGCAATAACTGAATTGGGATTTCACAAATATCTGCCAATTTCAATTATCTACCGGGGATATCCCTCTGTTACCAAACACAATTGAAATTCCACTGCTTTTGAAAATGTAGTCTTCAGGGCATATTGGATTTCAGATAATAAAATAATATGACATGAACCTCTGGCATTGAAACAGCATTATTGTCTTCTTAAATACTCTTCAAAGCCATCAGTGGTGCTTGTCAGCACTTGAGCTGATGTAACCTTAAATTAATTGTTGTCATCTTTGCCTTATCCATTGTTGAAGTAAGTTTAAAACAATTTTCGCCCGCAAAATATACCGTCAATTCACTCAACAGTATATTCTGTGAAGCGCTTTGAGATGACTGGAAGACATGATAAGGCACAATATCAAATGCAAGGATTATTATTATTATTTTCTGCATTCTTCATGGAATTTCTTTTATCCCTAACTGCTAGATGCTGGACAAGATGCAAAATCGCTGGAGGTACACAGGACTGTGGAATAAACTGGAAGAGATCAAAGTGGTCATCACTGAGCCACAAGGAGGCGACAAAAATGACTTTGATGGATTGCTAAAGTCCTATTATAACGCTATAAAGGACAAAGGAGACAAAGGTACATCAAAGAGAAAATGTCACTTACTCTAGACCTGCCCAAACATTTGGACTGGGTCAAAGTAAATTGGAGCAAACAATGTTTAAACCTATGGTTTGGTCTCCAATTCATACACATGAATAATAAATCTCTGAATCCCGATGTGATTTATATGAACATATTTAGGTTCAGTGTTGCTCAGAAACAATTCTTCCCCTCTTCAGATGACTCTGAGTCTGATTACTGCTCCCTTTGGGATGTCAGAGTGCAAATATCAGTCAGCGCAGAGATTAAAATGCTTGTCACCTAATTGAGTCCAAACTGATTTGGCTACCAAGCTACTAATGTGCTAATTGAGCGAAAGGGGCACACAGAGAGAGGATTGGAGTTTGAGCAGTTCAGAGAGGTGGGGAGGTACTGGAGCGTAAATGGATTTGTACGTGAGTGTATTGTAAATACAGAACCATTTCATGGTCAAATTAATAGGGAATAAAAGGGATAGTGAGCACCAAGCAAAATATTTTCAACCTGTGTGTTTGTGAAATTAGAAAGTTCTGTATTGAACAAAATTAGTTCAGATTAAACTGTAAACAGTCATAGACTAAAATCACTGGATGTTTGCTGATCCTTTAATGTAAAGCCATATTGCTTATAATAATAATAATCCTTACATTTGATATAGGGCCTTATCACGTCATAGATATCCATAACTACTAATAATAATCCTTGCATTTGATATAGCGCCTTATCAGGTCTTTGAGACGTCTCAAAGCGCTTCACAGAATATACTGTAAAGTGAATTGACTGTATATTCTGTGGGCAAAATGCGGCAGCCAATTGCGCACAGCAGTGTCCCACAGATAGTTGTGGTTTGAGTGATCAAAAAATTGTGTTACTTTTTTTAACTAATCATCTTTTGTTGCACCTTTAACCTTTCCTTTGGAATCCTCTCAGCATTACTTTTTCTGTGTTTAGATGGAGCTCTCTTGGTAGCTGTTTGCAGGGGAAAAGTCAGTGAAGGACTGGATTTCACTGATGATAATGCCCGTGCTGTTGTTACAATAGGAATTCCTTTTCCTAATATCAAAAATCTTCAGGCAAGTAATCAAAACTAGGAACAATAGCAATTGCTGCAAGATGATGTAAGTATTTGACTGACAGAGATGGGGTATTTGTGAAATTCATGCAGTTTGCACGTCTGTGCAACTTTGTTCACTCTTTTTCTTACCAACCCATAACTAGGCAGTAGGAAGAAAGTAAAGAAGAAATCTCATGTATGATTTGGTGCAGTATTCTCCCTGTGTCTATCAGTCTCCGTCAGTCAAATACTTACATTGTTCAAATTGTGTTCTTCCACTCTAGTTATTTCCCATTATTCCTCTTGTTTTGTAATCCAGGGAATTATTACTGTGGTAATCACTTACAAATATTTGTACAGTGCAACACAATATAGAGTAGTGTGAGAGAGAGAGATTGCGGGGAGACTGTGGGAGAGAGTGTGTGTGAGAGAGAGAGAGAGAGTGTGGAGAGAGCAAACCACTTGTGTCAGTAAATGGATGAATCAGTTTCACCTTACAAGTTGTGATGCCTTGTGCTACCTTTTTGGTACATCTTGCCAGAAGCGTGAGGAATACATTTCATTGTGATTCCGATGCTTCCTGGTAGAAGTCTGCTTTGTTCAATTCACACGCAAAGAAATACTATTTTTAATAAGGGCACGAAATTCTAATATCTAGGAGAGCTCTAATCAGTTGGAAGAAACATTGGAATGGGCTGTGCTTGTATAATTCCCCCGTATCTTAAGACATTACTTGTACAATGGTTAGTGTATTGATGATATTTTAAACAATGTATAATTAGGCACTGGCTCAGTTGACAAGGATTATTAATTATTACTCTTTTGTTCTTTATTGGTAGGAATAGAACGTAGCTGATCAGTGAGGCATGAACCTGAAAACATTTCCCAAACATCAGTTAAAACTTATTTTCCGTAACGGTTTTTTGAGCTGTAAATAACAAGTCTGTGAAAATGGCAAGAGCAGTCCAGTTTTTGTTTATCATGTCCTCAGCAAGTAGCAATGACCTTTACGTTTTTACTTTCGATCAAGCAGCGCACAGGGTTTGAAAAGTGGAGCTGTCACCTTGGGGATTCTTAATGATGATTGACACTTATAGTTCACCTTAGACACAGTGGCATGAAGCATACAGCAGTGCTGTACCTCCAGGGAAGCTGTTTGATTTTTTTCACTTCTGCTTGGCTGGCAGTAGATTGAATTTGCTGTTCATAAGAGAGTTTTGGTTGCATTAGATTTTAATCATGTCACTTGTTCAGAATCCCTGGAAGCATTCAGGATTGAGATGAGTAGATGAGACCAGGGTAAATCTGCACCATCGTTTCTTGAAGCATAAAGTTTTGGGGTTTATTGAAATGCCACATGCTGCGCTACTGTTCATCGTAAGTGTCTGACACTTCCCTTAACACCGTCAAAACCGGGCTGTTTACAAATAAAATATTCTGATCTGTACCCAAAAAACTCAGGAAAACACAAAAGCTTAATGTAACTGACTCAATGCAAAGCTACTTATTTGTATTTTACCCTTAAATGCCAATGATTTGATCAATGAGATTTTTACTTTTTAAATTCGATGTTATGGGAAGTTTTTTTTAACAAAATAAGAGGTATCCACTTTGGGAACTGTACAATATTGTACAGTTTTAAGAACACTCAAATTAAGTACAGTATACCCTGATAACAAATTAAAGCTCCCTTTCTCTTTGTTAATCATTGAGGTGAATTCTGGTGTGTTACACACGTAGCCTTGACAATATCTAACACTAATGGGGTTTTCCATTATAATTGCGTATCACCAAAGACACTCACCAGAATTTTCCTACCTGCACCTTAACCTTGATATACGCTCAACTCAAACTCTGTAGTTTCCACTTTCATGCAGCTGTTGCAGTGGTTTCTGAATGAGGTTATAATAATAATGAAATAATAATATTCCTTGTATTTGATATAGTTCCGTATCATGTCATTGAGACATCTCAAAATGCTGTCATCTCAAAGCGCTCATTATTTTTTAAGGGATTATTAATCCCATAAAAGCAACCCACCAATCTACGGACAATCGGGTTCCTACTTACTGCTAGGTAAACAGAGGTGTGTGGAGTAAGGAAACTTACCCAATGTTTCGTCCTTCCCAGGAATCGATCCCAGGTCCTCTCACTTGCGAGGCGATTGCTCTAACCACTGAGCTACAGTACTCCACTGTACTTAAAATACAGTTTTAAGTACAGTTTATTATTATATTGTATTATATTGTTAAAAAGTAGTGACTAGATTTGTTTTTCAGGGGGGTTTACACAGATATTTTGTAATTCATAGAGACAAAAATGCTGAATTCATTTTAGCTGCTACTTTTTAATAATATGAAAATAATGTTCAACCCTAACACCATAATGTACTACATTTAAAATGCAGATATATACAGAATTTATGTGCATAAAATAATTGCACAATGTTTCAGCCTTGGCTCAGTTGGTACCACTCGTCTCTGAGTCCTCCTGAATTCCTCCATCCAATCTGTCCGCTCCCCTTCCTCCTCTACTTCTCCTACAGTTTTCCTCCCATTTCTTTGTCCCTTCTCCAATCTGATAAGGCAATTAATTCGACATTTGGTGACAGCTACAGTATGGCAGGCTTGCCACCTCTGTGTGTTACATTGCTTGCCAGCGTGTGACAGTGAAACTGTGCAATACATTGGTGCATGGCTGACATTTGTTGATATGCTGTTATATTGGTTACCTAAGGCGAGGGAGATGGCTCCTTATGTTAGATCTTGCTGAAATTTCCCTTTGACAAACACAACAAGCTCTTTGCAAAAGACTCATAGTCCTTCCATACTTTGCAAACCTTTCTATCACTGTCGCCAAACAGCGCGGTAAATGTAATTTCCTTTGACAGATTGCAGCATGTGTCAGGGTTAAATTTGGGGAAAGCGGAATTTTTGTGACATAGATTGTCTTGTTCATCATTGTCTGGCATTGGCCTTCAGCTGACAGGGTTCAGGAACATTTTGCGACAATTCTGCGGGATCTCGGGGAGTATTGGCTTGTGTTTGATCTAGTGCTGTCAGGTTTCGACATATTCACACTTTCAGTGTCACATTGTGCTCTAATGTTGATGATATTATGCAATCATTATCCCATCTCACATGCGTTTAAGATGTGATTTGTGTTTTGTCTGGTGCATGAATGTAATTGTTCTACAGGGCATTAGCTAAGCAGCAGATTCTCAGTGTACTGTCTTGATCATCACATCCTACATGGGTCAAAGTAAAGGTCTAAAACAACCTACCTGTATTTACTTGACAGACACAGTTTCAGTTGGTTGCGCAATAAAGATTTTACTGCTCCTGCTTTCTTCATGGTTCAATACTATATTCATTTCATTCGCTCTCGGTTGCAGCATTCAGTAGATCTAAATTCTTTAGACCACCGATAGAAAAAAATATGGTTGACTGTTTCTTAACCTTTCCATCTGAGCTTAAATGTTATTAATCGTTATAGAGTTTAAATAAACAAATCTATTGTTCTTCAATACTTATTTTCCATGTACCATGCATAAACTATTGGATAAAGCGTGTCAATACAACAACAACAATTTGCATTTATATAGCACCCTTCACGTGGGGCAGCGTCTCAGAGCGCTTAACAGTGGCGGAGCTTAACACTGAGCCGGGGGAGGGATTTAAAAGAGGGGAAGGCGGGGGCAAGGCAGAGGGATTGGGGGAGAGAGTTCCAAAACATTGGGGCGTAGAGGCTGAGGGATCCTTTGCCTCTGTTTTTCCTTCCTCCCTTCGCAATCATCATCACCAGCAGCAAGCCCACCACCTGCTGACTCGACCACTCCCGCCCCTCCCCCACCCACCCCCTCAAAAACCTACCCTTAATCACTCGAACATTGCCAACTTGCGGCTCAAAATAAGAATAAAAAGTATCTTCCGGGGAGGGGGTGAAGAAGGTAAACGTTGTGGAAGCCAGAGCGATTAATCTGTGTATCCGTTGTAGCCTGACTGCACGTCTACTGGAGTATCAAGATATATATGCCTGCCTACTGGAGTATCATATTCTGACCTGACAGACCTGCACCAGTAGATAGTTATAGGGAGATTCAGTGTCTGTTGTGATGCTTGTTGAATTATGGAGAAATTGGTTCCGCTGTGAGACTACAGCTGACATTTACTCCACTGTCAAACAGACAACCTTTTCTTTCTGATAGGGGAGGGAAAATAGTTTTATCCTGAACGCTATATGTTGGGAGAGTGAATGAGACACACAAATCATAGTGTGACAGCAGTATCAAGATTATTTATAATAGAAGTTTGCTTTGTCCTTCAGATGCTGGCCATAGAACTGCCCATTGAAGCTGCCCTGCGTATGAATCCACTTTGTCCATTCATGATACTCCTCAGTGAGTGGAGCAGATCGGGTAGAGAGGGGGTGATTTGGCGGAGGGGGTCGGAAGTGAGCGATGGCCAGGGTGAGGGGGGGTGCGGGTGGGGGGAGAAAGAGAAGAAAACAGAGAGTGTGAGAGAGAGCCCCTCCGCCTCACCCCCTCCCTTGTCCTACCCCCAGCCCTCAGTCTCTCCCTTGCACTCTGTCTCTCCTGCTCCCTCTCCATCTCTACCCCTCCCTGTCTCATTACTCTCCTCTCTTTGCCTCCCCTTCAACCACTTCCCCTCTATCTCATGTCTCCACACCGCACACCCCCTCCCTTCCATGCAATAAAACTGCATCATATTGCTGTGTTCATGGCGACTAAATCAGTCACTTTGGCTCCTGGCAATTACAGCTACTGTGGTTAATTATGGCTACTAGTCAAAACAATTAATTTCACCTCCTGAACTGTCAGGTTTAGCATGACATATCAGTAGACTTGAGGATAATTGCTTATAGTTGTAATTCTGTTTGAGGTCAGTGCACATTATACTGACATATACATACAACCGGAGCTCAAACTTAATTCTAACAGACTAGAAATAAGACAATTTTTCGGTTTTGCCAGTGTATTCCAACTACTTACAATAATTT